AGGATTGTTAGAAGTGAGTTGATGGCGACTAACCGTAAATCTATTACATTGTTATCTGTTTCTTCATCGCTATCAGAGCGATAGTCCAGAACACAACTGAGTACCGTGAGCAAGCACGACATACACCCATAACGAAACATACCTTTTTGGCATGGGGGAAAATTAGGCGAGTCGACGTTCGGTTGCCACCTATCCTCTACCCAAACAGGCAGCCTAATACCCACCAATGCTTGGTGCTGACAAAATGACCTGATGCCACCCCCCAAAACATGATCGAAAAGCGGAGGTGGAAGTTACTTTTGACCAATACAATCATTCGATTATTGATCGAAAGGTGACCAATCGTTAGGAGCATAAGTGAGGGTGTTGTTGAAAGTAAGCATGCCATCAGACAAATGGACCCGCAAACAATGTGCTGTGCATATTCTGTTAGATACAACAAATAGATAACAAAGAAAGGCTTACCGAGATGACCCTATCCCAAACATGTCGAATGCAGACGACACAAGGTTGCTGCTAATAATGGCCGACGGTCCACAAACGCTCGCAATCAGAGTCCCCTTCAAAGCGAGCATCGAGAGCAGAGGGAATCTGGTCGAACAGGTACAAGTAAAAGAAGCACCAGCCTGAGTACGGTCTCACTGGCACATGACATGCATGCTCAAGCGTGATAACTTCAAATTGACAATGCTCTTGCATTTCCTAAACGTTCATTCACCAATTTACGAGTGTCTGCCCTATGACGCTTTGGGCGACGTTGATGTTCGTTATCCAATTCATTTTTTCGTTTTGTCTTCACCAAACCCAATTGATCCACTGCTTCTTCGAATTGTAACAACTGTTGGTCAGCCGAGGCTATTAGCGTCAGTATCCTCATTCACATGAAGTGAATTCGGATTGCAGACTACAGCAATTTGTGTGAGCTCTTTATTTGCACCCTCTATCTCTCTCCTGTTGCCATATTTCTGATTAGTAAGTAACTGCAGAACCCTTAGTTCATCTGCTCTCGTTCCGATAGTCTTCTGATTGCCTCTTCTGAATCTTATCAATCTTAAAGGGCCTTAATATCAGCCAATCACTCAAAGACTTTGCTCATGATGCCATTACATACGGAGCTTCAGTGCCTCGAACAACTCTCTAAATCAATGATGACATTACGCAGTGTTTGCCCCTATGCACCTTATGAGCCTGTCATTGCAAAGGCTGGCATGATAGGAACCTGTTTTCAGTTTGATCAATAATTTTTTCTTCGAGTAAGGATGTCTGAAAATCAAATCCATTGTATCTTGCAGGGCAATGACCTGATTTTTTTGTACGCCAGATAAATTTGGTCCCAGTTATGGAAGGCAAGGATACCACACATGAAAGAGCAGTAACGTTCGGCCATCTTTGTCACTGTTTGTATCGAATATCGATCAAGAATTCTGATAGCCCCATTAACAATACCTGCTTGGACATCAAAGTTCACTGTGATCATCACAGGCATCCTGATGACAAGCAGCAATGCTCCAAGTCTTTGACATGTTGTGCTGGATGTCAGACCATGCAGATGACTGGTCAAGGAAGGATCGGTAATAACTTTTTGACTGATGCTCGTCTACAGAGTAATAATAGTCCAATTCTCTTCCAGTGCAATCTGCAAAACTTCGAGCGGCTTGATCGTTATATGCGTCTTTAACTGCATTTTCTGACACTATCAAAGGTGCATTCTCCCATTCTTCTGAGTTCCAATCCGGTTTAACACGACTTGCCAGTCTAGAATTCAGCAGTTTGAAGTCTGCCTCCTGTACATACACCTGTTTCGCAATCGACCCAAGAGATCGACAAAGTCAGCATTTTCAGCGCCTTCCTGTCTCATAACTTTGTGCAGAATTACAACCACATCGACCAGAGAACCACAGCAGTTTCCCCAGTACGTGTTTTTGAATGGAATCTGCCCTCGAACTTCTGTTCTTGACGTGACTGAAAATTCGACTATCTCCAACAGGAGAAAGTTGCGCAAAGTCACCCACAAAAATTATGTTGATACCACCAAAAATGCCATGTTATCTTCCTTTGCTTCACATAACGCTGCAGAAATCTGTACCAACATCTTCGAACCAACCATAGACACTTCATCAATAAAAAGATAATCCACTCCTTGCCACATGGAAATGAGGTCTCGACTGGAACCTGATTGAACAGAACCACGTTTTCCTCACTGGTTCAGCATCAGAGCACTGTGTAACGTCAGCCCAGATATATTTTTCGCAGCAACACCAGTATAGGAAGCAAGTCTAAACCGTCATGACTGATTCCTCGAGTCAAAGAAATCATGGAGCGCATTTATTACCATAGATTTACCTGTACTGCCAGGTCCATTCAAAAACATCCTCAGAGGCTTAGGCTTTAATTGCATACTGTGCTCAGCAATGATTCGGAACGCTCTCTGCTGCTCTGTATTCAGCGTGTACTTTGAATCAATGTGTCAACATCTACTTCCTTGTCTGCATCGGTTGCAGGAATGTCTTGCTGAAATGAAGGAGGTAAAACTATCGGATTGTTGAAAGCTTCGTGAAATGCACTGCCATCATTGACATTGGCGGTAGATGAAGAACCATGCTTAGAAGGAGAAGGTTCTGGAACAGTGTTAACCATTGCACTATTTTTCAACAGAGTATGCCGTTTCTCGTATTCGCTAAACCAAATAGCTTCCTGATGAGGTGCGTCTTCGTCAATTAACTCTTCCCCTGTCTCAGAGGCCGACTGAATGCCGTTTCTTTCAGCCCTCGACTGGATTTGCTCTGTAAAAACTCTGTTAAACATTCCAACGCTCTCAGCATGGCAGAGACTGTTGTGTACACTCCTCTTCATAAAATCCATACGTTCTCCCATTGCGCGGTCAAGGTTCTGAAGATGCTGCAGAATTGCTTCATCTGTGTCCTCGTCACCTTGGAAATTGTCATCGAACTGAGAGCGACCTCCATATCCTGGAAACGCATTTCCAGGCATGCGAATACGACAGTGCGCAAAATGATCATCACGACTATCACGACATTCGTGCATGATTTGCATGTTATCGATAACAGACAAGACATTACGAGCACAGATCGTACGGAACCTTTCAAAAGCGTCACTCCATGACTCCCCTGCATTTCAGCAAATCTGAAGCGGAAGTCCACAGTTTGAAAAGAATAAGCATTAGATCAACAGTAACATGGATAAACTTCCTCCTTGTCGCGACGGGGGAATGGATGCACCCAAAGGAACAGGTACCTTCCGTGACTCTGGTCGTATAATCACCTGATAGTATGTATCTTTTTCTATGTGCTCAGAACTGAAAGTAAACTTAGGTCTTTTCCGACTACAGTCCTCAAGAACATCTTGTAATGAGGCCCAGTTCGCCTTGTGCTAGCATTTCGACTGACAGCATCTGATCTATTTCTGGTTCTGCCATAAACTCGACATCACTATTGCCCTCATCATCTTCATTGTAATACTTTGTACCAAGTTTCTTACTTTTTTCTTTCTTAACACGAGCTATGTACTCCCATAATGATAATTCATTCAATGCAGGGCCACGGTGAATGTAATCAGTGACTCTGCTCACCCGTGGGATCAACTCGCCACTTTCATCCACGGACACAACTATCTCTTCCTCGTCATCACCTTCGATCTCAGCAGGATCATCAGGACCGTTGTCACTATGTTCACTCTCATTATCGGAATCATCATCACTCAACTGTTCATCTTGTTCAAATGTCAGACCAATGGTTTCTCTTTCATCCGATATCTCGAAATTGAATCCTCCTTGGTCATCAAATATGTCCATTGCCTCCGCTAAGGTTATAGAGGGTTTGTCTGGACTCTGTGGGCACACGTCCACTTGCATAGTGCTTTGCAACGGATCGTTCGAAATGTTGACAGGTATTTCAACGTTGCATGTCAAAATGGAATCCTCATGGTTTAGGTCTTGTGATGTGATCGATTGACAAACAGAGCATTCTGGAGACGGATCTTGTTTCTCAATGTACTGCTCGAAAGAACCCCAGTACAAACCTTGATACTCATGACTAGTAAAATGATCCTCGAAATCCATTAGGTAAGACATGACCTGCTGCCCAGAGAGTTCTTGATGTGATAACATAGTATAAGCACAACGCTGCAACAAACGCTTTGCTCTCACAGTGATTTCATCCTCGTTGGGATCGTATTCTCCCAACTTTTTAACAGAGAGCTCTAGAGCAGCATAAGCGATGTGAGTCTTAAGTTGCGATTTGGTGATATAATCAGTGATATAATATAGGACAGCCTTTGCAGATGCACCAGATCCGATGAATTTGATATCCATGTTACACCTCATCGCACGTAAGATTGTTTCATTGAAGTTGTTCACCATTCCATTCAGGCATCTCAAACAAAGTTCACCGGTTTCATAATCGAATGAAGATTCTGCTCTAATTTTGCTCTCGTCGAGGTCAAACCGACAGACCTTGGGTTCGCCATCGCCACAATACTTAAAACATGTTTTACTGTGTGAGTGAATCTGACAATCTTTTATGAGATTATGCAGATCTCTTTGGCAGAGTGCAGGGTCTCTTTCCCCACGATCATTCAGTAAATCAATGCCTCCCCTTATGGCAGATGCATGATAACCATCGGAAAGAATGGGAACCGAATTTTCTGGTATGTCTGGTATATAATTGCTGATTGCATCATCTAAGAATGAAAGCAGACGATCTCTGAACTCTTTGTCGCCCTGCCTGTCAATGTGGTCCTTGATTTCATTGGGATTCAATGATCCCTCTAGCCAAACTAACATGTGACAGTGAAGTGTACCACGTCCTTGGGCTTCAACGCATCCGTAATATGCCTTTACCAGTCCGAGAACACCTCCATCGAAGTCGGTTCGTTTTGGATCATAACCTAATATACATTTTATGAAGGCTTTCATATAAATGTTAAAAAACCTCACTGCGACACTGGGATTCTTGCCTACAAGAACAGTTTGGTCCCTATGTTTTGGAAGATCTCCACCTAGTATGTTATCCACATCGATATCAGAACCGGCCAGAAGACTGACCACCGGATTATAGATGTCAGTGGGATTGATTGTAACGTAGAAACTTGGCGAGCCTTGGTCTATCATCAGACCACGAATCTCATTCCTCATGACTGTATGAGAGGCACCTGAAGCTGGAACTGTCGCAGTTACTGCCTTGACTTCCTTCATCAATGTCAACACCTCCTTCTCTTCCGGGTTATTCGCCGTTGTATAATCACCTCTAGAGATGCACTCCGAGACAATATGAAGTGCTTCTGGGGAAACAGTAGCGAAACTTCGAGCAACAGACATGAAACTCTTGCGTTTCACTTTCAAACTTGTGCGTAGCAACATTTCTCATCTTTGAAGCATATTAAATGCAGAAAATAAAAAAGAATAATGCTCTTGAAACCTTGTATCGTTCAGATTGAAAAAATGTTTAACTTGGGAGCGCAATGATAGACTCATCCTTCTACTTGGCTCCTCAAACCCACCTATGCCATATGGAAACAAAGTTGGGTACATCATCAGGAACAACAAAGGATTATTAAATTCGTCCGTGGGTGAAGGATCATGCGTAAGTTCAATATAACCCCCCCCTCTTTTGTGGATGTGCCTCATTGCGGCCTGTTTAAGATTATTCAAAGAGGAAGAAAAATCAACATCCGCTATAATGACACTCTCAAAATTCACTGAGTCGGGTACAGGCAATTGTACTTTGGGATTATCAACAGATGCTTCATATCGCGATGTCAGAGTGTCTCTGGCTGCACTGGGCAAAATATGCTGTATAACAAAAGGCAAGTTTGGATTGTCGTCTAACTCCTGAAGGACCGTTTCATTGATTTCAATGTCACGATGAAGGGGATTATTATTTTTCAGCCATTTCAAAGCTGCCCAGATGCGTGCCCCATTGACAGCCAGGGGTTTAGCCTTTGTTCTGAGCCATTCATCCGAAGGCTTATACGCACCAATGAAGAGTACACATAATGGAGACGTGATTTCCTTGACAGACGGTGGCAACAATCTTGCTATTTCTGATGGTCTTTGTGGATAAACAATAACATGTCCTCTTATTCCTCGCTGCATGTAGTCCTTCTCGATACCACCTTCTTCTTTCAACTGAACTACAGTGCACTTTGAATGACATAACGAGATCATATTCTCTTCGATCATCATCAATTTGGCCAACTCGGGGGGTACCGGTCCCTGATATAACCCATTAGCAAGGCTCAGACGTGGAACACGACCACGACGGATGCTCCTGACACAACATTTACACATGCTTAGAATGGAGATACCGTCGACACCAACCTCTATTCTGCTTGAGTCTAATTGTAATCCAGCGAGTTCACCTGTTTGGAATGGCAAATTGTTGTCAGTGCCGGGCCATTTCATGACATCTGTCCCACCCTCACCGTCGACCCATAAGCATGTTAAATCAATTTCATTGACAGTCAGTCGACGAATGTCTTGTATACGATAACGTGCAGCACAACAAGAGCATGTAAACATACATAGTGAGTCGCTCCCAGTTTCATGCATAAAATCAGACAGTAAGCATTCCTTCAATGATAGAGATGCCTTTCTTGGCCATTGACTCTGAACTTCTTCCAGCTGCGCTTGTCTCTCATTGTCCACATCGTGAACCACCTCTTTTCTAATAGCATTTTGTCCAGAAACAAACTCTGCATATTTTTTGCCTTTTCGGATTCCGTGAATGTGATTCCTTATAACAGTACAGGCTTCCTTTGCAGTGGATACATCGGGGTTCAAACCATAACTGGTCATGATGCGACAACACGCTCTTAAAGAAAGGGTTCTAACAATACATTCCATCCAAACAAGCAACAAGTCTGTGTCTGAACGAAGAGGTATATCAGAAAGGGAGCGATGTTCGTCACACATAGACGTCGTATCATCGTGATGGGCACATATTCCATCCTGAAAATGTTCACTGAGATCAGTTATCAAGTCAGAGATCGTAGTGTTAACACCGGAAAAAATTCCGTGAGCCTTGGCCATGCGCTCCAAAACAAGTGTTGGAGTACCATCCAGAAAACCCCGAGTAGGTGGATCAAGAGTGTGCATATAATCTGTGAGAAAGTTAAGCATTCTCTGCCTAGTCCAGGACCCTTTAAAGCCCAATGACCCAACTATAGCGCCAAGCTTCGATAAAGTCAAATGTGCAACATGCCCTGTGTAACTCAATACATGTCGAACAGTATGTAAACTGAGTTCAACTGCAGATGTGAATCCAGATGCAAATACAGCACACTCAAATGTATCATTCGGGTCCTTGAAAAATTCATCATGCTTTCTAAATCTTCTATGAGATTCATAGCAGTCTCCTACAATCAAATGCCATATTACAGACTGTCTAATTGTAATGATGTCAACACTGTCATCATACGTAAGGCCATGACTGCGAGCAATAACATGAATAACATCGAAGTCCTCGACAAAGAGAGAAGCATGAGGACCAGTAGCAATATGACTGAAAAACAGGGAAGTCAGAATGCGATGTTGAATACTGGATCCAACACCAGATGAATCTGAATCTCCATGCAACAGACTAGGCACAGACACAGACAAACCATCAGCAGTAACATCAGCAGTATCAGCGGTAATATCAGCGGTAACTTCAGCAATATCAGCGGTATCAGCGGTATCAGCAGTGGTGGATGCGCATGGTCTAGCACTATGACCACTTCCAGTAGCCATGCCATTTAACATGGATGTGGTGATGTGCTCGGTAACGGGCAGCACGCAAATGAAACTAGCGTCTAGATTGTCAATCTAGATACTAAATCACACACACACACACACAATCACCAATGTATATAAGTTCGAGGGTGAGTACGATAGAAGCACTCGCGATGTACTTAGATTTAGATAATCTAGTGGGGTTTTGCCTGAAAACAACTTCAATTCTTCTTTCGATGTGTTTTACACAAAGTACACTAGTCCGCGATAGCGGGGTTTTATGAACTTGTTTTGTAAGGTATAGTCGAGCAAGTTATGCTCATTTCGACGTCGTCTAGAAGAACTTCTAGTGGACACTTCAAATAATCAAACAACCAAAGACTCCGAGGTCTACAAAGAGTGCAAAATCACTCTACAAAGAACGCTCAGGTTCTGACTTCAAGTACAAGACTTGCAAAGAGTACACAGACTCTGGAGTTCCTTGAACTCGATGATTGTTTGAACTTAAAGCGTTCTAGGGCTTATTTTACTTCAACTAGATGAGGTCTTTTGATTTAAAGTCGACTCAGCACGTCTAGATCGCTAATCTCGGAGAGAGAGAACACGAGGCCTTTGTCCGTGGAGCAGTTCAATTAACTAGCAAGGCGCAAACGCGGGGACGGCTCTACTTCCTACTTAACTCTTCTAGATTACTGTAGTCGCCCTTATGGGTTGACTTTGGTAACTTAATTCACTTCAGTCGAGGATATGCAATAAAAACCAGTGATTGATTAGGTAGCTATACAGGCTACTAGCACAAACGCGGGGGGAATGCTTTTCCTGCTGTTATGCGTCTAGTCGCTGCTAATTTATATGATTCGTGTTTTAGGTATAGGAGCCCGTATCTACAGTAATTATGGTACGAGCTTTGGAATTAATACAAACAGTGAGTCACTATCCTACAAGTATCGCGCCATTCCGTAGTTTCTATTCAGTTCGACGCGACTGCGCCGGGTTATTCTGTCGCCGAGGAGTGCCCTACTAGTCCGTGGGTGCTCCTTCTTCCGTCTGCAAGGCCTGCCGTGCGCCGTATGTATTGAATACTGCGGTATGCGCAGGATCTCGAGGATGTAACCACCGATCGCGATCGACTGCAGGTCCGAGATTGTATTCTGTTGATCACTGCGTGATCAAAGTCGGTCATCTCGGTACCCAACGCGGCTATTCATTCTTCCAAGGTTATTCCTTTCCTAGCCTGAGTTGATCTCGAAAGCTGATCTGTTTCTCGACTTAGCAATTTTTCCTGACAGGTTCTTTCTACTCGTCGAGGTGACGAGGCATCTAGTTCATTCCATTCTTTAACTTCTTGGTTTTTATACTCCATACAGACGAGTCCCCGAGATTTGACTGTAATAGTCTTGTTTAGGTAGGGCTTAGCTTGGCGTGTTGACGGCTGGTAGAATTGACTCTTCGAGATGTCGTTTCTAAGTCCGTTCTGTACTGCCGTGCTTTCATTCTTTATGTAGTATTTAGCTACCAGCGCGAAGCCTCCACTGTAGCCCTCTGTACCGCTTGTAGATTGCATAAACTGATGTAAAATCGCAAAATCTACGGGTAGCCTGATACCAGGCATATCAGCGGAAGCACCTGTCACAGACAGGACGGTCGAGGAAGATGGATTAATCGCCGAATTGATATCCCTTGGGATAACATTGTCAAAACAACGAACAGGAATGGCATCATCGGTGGAGTCATGCAACACACCATCAACTGCAACAAATACTTCAATAAAACAGTGTAAAGAATATAAGAAAGAACAAACTGGAGCCATAAATCGGGTACAGTTCGCGATACAACACCGAGAAGTCACGACCGAAAATGATGTCGTTGTCAGGGATCCTGGACGGCTGGAATCGCATGGTTAACATGACAGTACCATGCTCTCCTCGGCAATGGACAACAAGTTCCAAAGAACGGGATGTCAGCAGCCCACGGGAAGACAGCCATGACGTTGACACTATAGAGTTGAACAGATAACTGTCGAACAAGTACCGAACAAGCTCGTCGTGAACAGAGAAAATAGTGAATTGAGAGTGAGACATAGGTGGGTTACATGGAAAGGAAGAAAAGGAAAAGGAAGAAAATCTTTAGTATCAACTCTTTAAAGCTCCGCAAAAACCTCCAAACAACCGGGACAAACAGTCAGCAAGGGGCGATGCACAGAGGTGAGACAAGATCCCCTGAAAACATGATCGCAGACACGTGCACGTATCATTTCAACACTGCATTCGGTGCCAAGACCATGGGCTAAAGCGATTTTAACGACGTCTTCACGTCGAAGTCTCTCAAACCTGGTCAAAAGATGAACAATGTAGTCAGGATGAGGATTGTAGGGCATGTGCATTGTGGCATTCACTCGTTCCTGGAGGGCGCTCTGTACATGAATGCTTTCGCTGTCGGATGAAAGTCCAATAACATCGATGACGGCACAGAGCATAGGCGATGGCATCCGTAGCACTGCGTTTGATGACAATAAACATGACAAAGAGAGCAAAGATGGATGGATCATGACTGTGTGACACTGAGTCATGAATGCAGAGCACAATAAACCACCCTCGCCTGCACAGAGGCCTGCGAGGAAATGCTCCAATAACAGCCTTCCGAAATTGCGAAAATCCATGCAGGATGTATACGAAAGACAACCGTGACCATGTAATTGGTGTGCAAGGTCACGATGATCGAGGGTAAGAAGTCCTCGGGTAAGATCCGTCATTGCAACATAGTGATCAATCAAAGCCTGCAGAGCGATAATAGGTAGCTTGTTATTCTCTTGAAAGAAATAATCAGGTAAAACGAGATAAAGAAAACAGTAGTTGATATAACACACCTTTGCGGAAGTTAGGACTTTTGACGAGTTCTACAAACCAGTCAAATCCGAGTTGAACGACGGCGTTACTTTCTTTTCCAATCACGAGTGGAATTTGAGTCGTGAAAGTCCTTGCTCGCAGTGAATGGTAACGGAAGAGATTCCTCCAGAAGCATGAATGAGACTGCCACATCGAGAGTGATCGTTTTCAAAAGCGAGAGTAAGTTGGTACTTCTCCTTCCCAACGAGACAGTGAAGCATGAGGAATTAAAGACAGAGGTGGTCAAAAGAGCCGCCATGCCGCTTGGTCAGGATCGTGCCCTCACGTGATCCAGAGGGAACAGAACGGATGAGGGTGTACGGTCTCTAAACCGGTTATCTTTCAATTTCACGCCAAAAACACAAACAGTAGCGTTTTTTTCAGCGAGACGCATCGGGCAGACACGGAACATGGAGAGTGCTCACTGCCTCCGGCTTCCATGGCAGTGTTGCGGAAAAAAATGGAACAGTGTCTTCGGTCAATAAACCGGTTATCTTGCAATTTCATGCCAAAAGTTCAAACAGTAGTGTTTTTTGGACTGGCACCCATCAGAGACAAACGGATGCGCACTGCCCCCAGCTTTATTTCCGGCTAGTTTGCAATTTCATGCCAAAAGTTCAAACAGGAGTGAACCTCACATGACCCACTACCAAGGTAGCGGGAATCAGTGCCATCCAAAAGGAGGAGCGTTATGAAATGGCTCATGAGACATGTGCATCATCAATGACAGTGAAAGAACATGTGAACAAATGTGAAACGCGTAACGGGAGAGTGAGACATGGTGCACGGACCATGAGGTGTATGGAAGGTCAGCAGCAATGAGAAGATATCAAGGGCAATGGGAGCATATGAATCATCCACCAAGAAACAAAGAACCACAGACTGCAGGAATGAAACACAAGCATCATGTGCACACAACAAACGAGGTCCGTTGTTTTGCTCAAGCCTTAGCCCATGAAAATGATGAAACGGAAACCAAGAACAGCGAAACAGGCAAGCTCCTTCGAGAAAGAGACTGCCTGCGAACGAAACACCGAGTACCACCAGACTGGTGAGATCCTTCGCGAAGGACACCACCAGCAGACGTAACCACCGAGTACCACTGCACAGGTGAGATCCTTTGCAAAAGACACCACCTGTGGACATAACAACCGAGTACCACTGCACAGGTGAGATCTTTCGGAAAGGATCCCATCTGTGGATGTAACCACTGCACAGGTGATATCCTTCGCAAAGGACACCTCCTGTGGATGTATCCACTGCACAGATGAAATCCCTTGCAAGGGACTCCATCTGTGGACGTAACAACAGAGCACCGTCTGCAACGGCATCGGCAGGGCCTTTAAGCCCATGCGAAGGCTGAGCGATTGAGTGGTAGCAGGAGGCAGGGGTATGGTAATGGAAGGAAAGAGAAACGGGAAAATACGGAAGTCACGGTCACAAGCTCGCTTTACAGCTGACACCACGGCCTTTGACTTCAACCAGCCCACAACTACTGGATAGCTTTCCTCACAGACCATATTGTTCTGTCGTGTATATCTCTTGAAGAAATACAGGCTAATGGTCGGAGTTCTGTAATTTCGAGTTGACGAGGAGTTTATGCCTAGTAGGGGGTATGTTTTCTGTTCCTCATTACTGTTTCTTCTACTGAGGAAAATTTTAACTTAGATTCTCTTTCTTGGACTCTACTCTTCATCTATGGCTAATTAGAACCTGTTCACGATGTTCTGGCCTGCTGGAGCCAGCTACAACCTACATCCTTGTTTCGATATCACTATCCTGCCATCATATGATGCAGGTACAGGCTTAAGCCGCGATACGGCATTCTTGTATGGCAATTTCCGTTCCACTCACCTCTACAACTCCACCTTTTCCAGGCGTCAACAACTCACCTGAGTAACGATTCGCAACGTAGTCCATGGTATGAGAACAACATGGAGAAACATATGTGAAGATATCGTGGACAAGGAACTTTTGGCATGTTCTCATCGTCCATTGGTCCTGCTTGTACTAACAGCAGGATATAGTCTCAAGCGTCGGGTCCACCCAGAAGCAAAAGCAAGGTGTTTGATGTCTCCCCCATGCGATCCGGAACTAAACGACCATCATGTTGGTCCGAGGCTTCCTTGATATCGTATTAGCCCAGCATCGTCAAGTAAGCCATTCGTAGTGTCATATCTATTTTTTACATTATCATTTCTATCAGTAGAATCACACCGCTTGTGGAAATCCCTTCCCGTCACTCACCCTGGTCAAGAACTGGTGATAAATTGATACTCATATGCCGTAAACGAGCTGCATATGTGACTATTTATATCAGATTTATACACTTGCTTTCTCAGACACCTCAGCGTTCACTATCTTTTGTCACATACTATTGGCTTGTAACGCTCAGATTCTTGTCTTTCTTCGCTATCACAGAAGGCATACTTCCATCAGTCAGGGGCATCTCAAGCTGCGGGCACGGGATCATATTAGCATCGCCTTCCTTCAGTGACACAGCAATGCATTGATTTCATCTTTGCCGCTGATCTTGAAGGGAAATTTTCCATGCATTGGTCAGTATAAAGCACCAAAAGCATCGCTAAAATAGGCACGATTCTTTCTTTTTCCCTCCTGGAGGCCTTGATGTTTACTAGGATGGATAACAAGTCTGCTATCCCAGAGCTACCCGAAAGCCAAATCGACGACATATTTCAGTGGCTGGACATTCAACTAAATTCCATAATCCTCTTTGTGTTAATGCATGGTACACCATCTGCTTATAATAGGTTGTCTGCATGCCAACTTATTTCCCAGGATTCTTCACCGGGGTACTGGCAATGACCTTGTGGACCACTGGTTTATATCTTCTGCATCTACCGATCTTACCCTTTCTTATTTGCGATTATCTACAGTTCAAAGCAAAAATCGTCCACATGGTCGAGGGATCCATTTCCTCATGATCGTCATCCTGCTTCTATATATTTTCACAACTGTCGACGTTTTCATCTCCTGGATATTTTTGACTCAATCATTCATTATGAATGGGAAAAACTTCTGGACGGCATATCTCACCAACACGTCTATGCCGATTAGCATCATTGAAGGATTTACCGCTTGCTTGAGCACTATACTTGCTGACGCCTCTCTGGTATGGCCGTCTCCGTTTTCTGTGTATGATCAACTTACAACAATCCAGATCTGGCGTTGCTGGACTGTGTGGGGACGGTCTTGGCGTGTCGTGCTCGTTCCGACTATTTGCACTACTCTGGGAGTCGGTAAGTTTCTAGTAATGATTCTCCAATATATGCTAAGACGATTCTGTCTTGAAATCTTCATTACAAAATCAGTGAGCAGGGCATTCGTACTCTATTATAGTACTTTCTGGTTGGAGAGCGGCCTACCGCCATCGATCCTCTACGACCTAAAGTCTGTCAACTGGGCTGTTCTCTACACTTCGCTCGTTTTGACTACCTTACTTTGGTGCACAATCCTCATCGTGTACCGTATCCTCAAAATCACCGGCATTGCCACAGGTATCCACAGGTATCACAGAGCAATAGAGGTTGTTGTGGACTCTGCCTCTCTGTACTCTGCCATAATTGCCGTTCTGTTAGCGTTCCAAGTTCGCAATGAGCAGATCGGGATTTATCTGGAAAACGTAGCCTCTGTGATGAGGGTAATTTCTCCCGTTTTGCAATGCGAACTTTGCTCAGATGTCCTTTTTCAGGGAATTGTGCCCACAATCCTGGTCGGCCGTGTTGCAGCAGGGCATACACGCCCAGATGATGACTGGGGCGGTTCGAGAAGCACGGTATCGTTGCTTGAATTCGGAAATCATTCAATCAGCCAAGACAGGAGCACTGGAATGGATGCTGAAGGCGATTTGACCTTGCGCGCAACGCCGGACCTGGAGGAAGGCCTAGAGGAAGGCTCGCAAAGCAGGGACTACGGAATAGCAGAAAATGCGTAGCATATATGTATTGTTCCTAATTTTCGAATTACATTTTATTTCCTACTAGTTTGCCTTCGATGCGTGGACTGTCACCTGTACTACGCGACAAGGTCGACAAGATCTGTTACCACGACAATGTTCACGATGAACCATCGAACAGAGTATTTGTAAATACAATGTTGGACCATGGCCTTTGGCGACAACGATGACCGGTCTCTCCCTCGCACGAGCTGCCATAGTGGATCATTCCTCCCGAGCTCCCTCCATTGTTCCACATCCCGAGTCTCCTCATCGACACTGCAATCTCGAGCCGGCTAGGCGGTGCAGAGTCGTCAGTTCCGTTCGTGTGCCATGTGCATATACAATAATTGCGTAGCAACGTCGAGCTATATCTACAAGCTTCATTTAATTTCTTTTTAGAATAGAGAAAATCGTTTCCAAAACTCACTTTTCGAAGCCTGCAAGCCTGTGAGTAGTCCAGGTAAACCTTGAGGAGGTATGATTACATCAGTGAGGTTGACTACGAGGCGAGACAACGGTACCAATGTAACTACTGATCCTCTCATCAGCTGCTCTTCATCAAGGAGAAATTGTCACAAAGCGTCACATAGGGCGTCGTTGCCAGCAAGACTGAGATGCGGTGGTGATTGTGGAAGGGAAAGGAAGGATCGGTCACCGGAGGGACAGGCCCGGAGGTCCCGGAAGAGGATACGTCACGTTACGTCACAATCTCTCCTTGCTTAGCCCGGGACCTCTCTGGACCTTCTTGGACCTCCATATCTACGACGACTCAATACCTGCACTAGAATTCCTCTCTTCCTGCATCTGTCTTTGAGCTCTCAGGTCACGAGCTAATATCCTGGGATTCCGAAGAAGGAGGGGTGAGCTATCTGATCTTTTTCTTATCTATTTTCTTGCTGAGCGAAAACATTGTACAGGCTCTTTTTTTCGGGCTATTTGTTTTAATATTTTTCATAACGTCAATATTCACCCTCGTAGTGGCGCAAGATATGCGTAAGGGTGCGCGTGAAGAAGTGGACGCAAACTACTAGGTGCGTTCTTCCTCTTGTTGTGTTCTTCCAATCCCGACCACGTTTATAGGTCCCAAGATGCCCAGCCGGCGACTCGTTATGGAGGGAAAAGCATCCACTTCTTAGCACTAAGCATCGTGCGTTAACGTGTTGATCTGTGTGACGAGTCTCCAAGGTGGCATACACTACGGATCCGCAATTGAGACGGATTGGCTCCAGGACCCAGTTTAAACTGAAGCGTAGAACAACGATATATGGTGTTATCCAGGTGCGATGCATAGAATTTTGTTCTTTGGCCGTAAGCTGAGATGTTTGATAGGCCTGTTTGGTATGGATAAAGGTCTGGCGGGTGGCGAAGGGTTCTTCTGGAGTTCAACGATCTATACGCGTTTCTTACTGAGCCTTCACTGCATCAGTACTCGCTCCCTTCAAACGGAGCTTGATGCAGATAGGGCACGATATGCAGACGGCGACTCGCTTGTGCTAGGACCGCTTGTAGTGCCAAGCGTCGAAAGCTGGTACAATCTATCGCCTTGGACAAATGATTACATACCCAGAAAACTCTTGGAATGCAACACCGCCGAGCCAACATGATCGTTACGATCGTCCAATTTTCAATCGGCGGGCCTTGGCATCCGCATATGTACGAAACGCCAGCGGCTATTACCTTAATCGAAGACACGGGGCGGTTCGTTGTGACTGGGTGTAACTTGGAAATCATCAATCTTTCTCTTTTTGGAAAAATCGCCTTGGACAGCGATCGACGAATGCACAGAATGACCACCGCCGAGCCAAAGTGATTGAATCGGTTGTCCTTAGCTCGAGAATATGCGGCTCCCTTACAACACAGGTTGCATTCACGCTCTCCATCCAACCTGGATTTCACTACTCAAAGCAAAATTGTTTTGAGGCTTGGTCCTTGAAATGAATGTTGCCCTGCTTTTTCATTACCGCACGCCTCCCGACTTCATGTCGGGCATTGTCTTACTCTGAATGCTTCGCCCTTCAGCTGTGTATCGTCTCCGGGACGTACAAAGGTGTATAAAGAGGCTGCAAAGAGGCCTTCACGCTCCAGACAAACTCTCCATGCCCGTCTAACCCCCTCTGTCTACTCGTTCTAACTCATTCGTCATCATGGTCTTCTCACTCGCCTCGCCCTCTTGCTGCCCTTGTCGTCCCCGGCCTCTTCGCCACTATCAACGCCCGCCAGCCGGAAACAGGAAACAACACCATCCAAGGAAGGGATTACTATGGTTCTTATGCTCCATGGAAGCCGTCTTGGACCTGGCCAGGAACGGACAAGCATTGTCCAACAGATGTTCCAGAGTACTGTCCCTGCCTAGACGACGTACGTTTTTCCTCCGGCTTCTCTTCTCCCGGTTCTGATTAGATCCGTACAGCCCGTCTGTGGATTTGAATGCCCCTCCCAATGGCCCTTATAACAAGTGTACCTGGGAGCCTGTATTCGTCGACAGGTATGACCGGAAAGGCTGGAAGCCCGGCAAGCGTAACCCATTCTCCTGCGGATATGTCGACAAGGTGACCTATGAGATTGGTACGCGTGTCTTCTTTCGTGACCTAGGCTTTCTTTTTACTTATACTACGTAGACTGCAAGGACCTTTGCTTGGCCCACGACAATTGCAACTCTTGCCAAGGTATGTATCTGAAGCTCGCCTTCTTTTGACCGTTTATTGACTGAGGGTCTTCCTTCTAGTCTATACGCTTGAGGAAGCGGCCGAGCAGTTTATTTGCGCGCTCTTCGAGGAAATTGTTGATGTCACGACGTGGGAGGACGACTGTGAGGATGATTGGGTCGACGATTGGGTGTATTTTAGCTCATCGTACTGGAACGTCTATTATTAGGCAACGTGAAGTTTGTATTGACCCGGACATTGGACATGTACGATTATTGTATTTTTTGTAGGGCCTTTACTAAATGTATTTGGTTGTCCCTTTGTGACCGCAGAGATGGATTTTGACTTGGCTAAACTCAGTCCTGCCCGCAACGTGGAAAGCAACGTCGTAAAATACGAAAGTCTGAGTTAGGGGGCGATTAGAACTGGTTCCTTAACTAACTCGCATATATTCCAGGTTTATTGTACTTGGTGCGACTTCGCGCTCTTCATGGTGTTCGATCGAGGTACTAATGCTTCTAGGTTCGAGTCCGAGCGAGTCACAGCCTCATTTTGATTCGAATTTGGCTGCTCAGATGGCAGATGGAGCATACCCTCAGTCAGGTGCTTCAGTTGTACTTAGTAGCACTGAATTATAATCCAGCGAATTCTTCGCATGTCCGATGTCCATAGGAGACAGTCAATAATGAGGAACTTAAGAGACCGTGCGCCTTGATATCCTGTAAAGATCACGCACCCAGGTTATCGATACAAGCTCGTTTGTACGAGATAACTACGGGTATGCGATAAGCACGTTGGATGAGCCTGCCAAGTACTGCCGTTGGACCTCAGATTTACACCACAGGTCGTTGTAAATTTAAAATTACGAACCTGCCATCATTCAAGATGAAGGTACAGGTCTGAGCGAGTCAAGACTCGATGCAAAAATAACGTTGATGTCAACGTCGAGAAGACTTCAAACCGCCGCGGTCCAACATTCGCTTTGCCGTAGGCTCTCGTCCCTCAGTGGATCAAACTTCTATCAAACCCCGCGTTGCTGTCAAGATTTTCTTATTGGATACTGATGGCCGCTCCCCTCGTTTTCCGGAAAATAATTTTGATCTCCACCACCCAGTCTCCAGAGTCTGTTCGAATGCCAGCTCTTTTTTAAATCAAGTGCCGGACCACCATAACATAGACAGAATTTCACTCGGCAGCCGTCAGGTCTCCACTGACATGCCAGAATACTCACCTTTCAGAGGTTCAGGGTACCCCGTGCTTCTTGGCTTCCTGAAACTCATCATTATCTGGGCGTGATCATGATGGGCCACAGCGGCTGCATCGAATGTCTTTGGTAATGGTGATTTCAATTTATTACGTTGTGCTAGGTTTATTCTACATAAAGCACTGATGTTGTAGTAGCAAGTATTAGAACCCATCTCTGCTCTTCCTTCAAGGATCAATGCTCTCCAGAACTTATAGTGCCGGGACACCTATCCCAGAGTTAACCAACAGTCAAGTCCAGGACATCCTCCAATGTCTGGATCGAACATTGAACGGAGCGGTCCTCTGGGCGTCATTACATGGTCAGAGGATCCATCCACTTCCATCGAACTGTCTGCAACTCATTATTTACAGGATTTTACACTGGAGTAGTGGGCATAACGATGTGGATCCTTGGTTCATGCATTACTCCTTACCAATGATGTACCATTCTGACAAGTTGCAATCCTGTGTAGTTTCAGGCAAAAACCGCCAAAATTCTCGGGGGCCACATTTCTTCATCATCACTGTTCTCCTTCTGTATGCCATGGCGACTTTTTCCCTTTTCTATGACTGGATGAGTGTTAGTCGAAGTTTCATCACCCATGGACAAAACTTCTGGACGACATACGAGGCTTCAGTGTATGGATCTATGCCAATGGACTTAACGGAGAATATCAATGCCGCTCTGAGCACTCTCCTGGCAGATACCACTTTGGCATGACGTCTCCTTTATTTTTGATGCAGCCTTCTCATAACTAATCGTAGATTTGGCGTTGTTGGAATGTTTGGGGACGGTCTTGGCGCGCTGTATTCATTCCGATTATATGTACTACTATGGCAGTCAGTAAGTCTGTGATGCATTTGGTCTGTTACCGGTACCCGCGACTCATCGCCGTCCCCCAGTTAGTAGAGGAATTATACTCCACGATAATGTTTTCGGCAACATACAGCATCTATCCGACCTTTTCACTCTAAATTCTGTCAGCTGGGCTGTGCTATATTCCTCGCTCATCATGGCCACCCTACTATGGTGCACCATCTTGATTATATATCGCATCCTCAAAGTTAGTGGCGTTGCCGAAGGACTTCGCTCATATCGCAGAGTAATAGGGGTCATAGCAGACTCGGCCTTTCTTTACTCGGCTTGCCTAGTGGTCCTGTTGGTGTTTGAAGTTCGTAATAACGCCAGAGTCGGAAGCTATTTGATTCTCGTAACCAGCGAGATGAAGGTGATTGCATCCAGCATCCATTTCAGCCTTACCATTTTGACCGTAATATCTTTAGGGAATTGTGCCTACAATTTTGTTCGGCCGTATCACCGCTGGGCATACACGCCTAGATAATTCCTGGAGCGAGGAAAGCATTGTGTCGTCGCTTCAGTTTGGAGATCAGTCGATCGACCAAGACAGTACCGAAATGAGTGCTGAAAGCGGCTCCTCTTTTCACCTAAGATTAGACCTGGAGGAGGGCCTAGAGTCAGACGATGACAAACGAAGCGGAGATGGGACGGCAGATTTTCCGTAATTATGGCCTGTTGCTATTATCTACATTCGACACAGTCGTTGAACAACAGGTTATTTCTTTCGGGCGAGAATAATATGAAGATGCGAGTGTACAAGTTTACACGAAATCCATAGCGATCCGGGGGTTGTATCGCTAAAAGAGCATTTTGTCACGATGGAAGTATCATCTGGATGGTTTCAGATGTGCAATTTATGCCGCATAAATTGCGCAAAGAACTAAGTAGTCCAAATCAGTTTGGGCACTGCTCCTGGATGACTAATGCGTACCTTGCAATTGTACACTGCCGTCTCTAGAACAGTTCCCGTCCAGAGCTACATCAAGGCTCCGTATGTCGTCGGGTCGGAAGTATCTCTGTAAAGCATTGGTGAAATTGGATACGGAAGCAAGTAATACTGGACCGTGCAGTAAAGTGTTGAAAACCAAAGGTTTGTGTCAGAGGTGTTCGTTGTTGATGTTCCTTTAATAACGGTCCGCACAGAAGCGCCTCTATCAATCCCCGCATTTCCGCCTGAGGGTACGCTTGTCAGCCTTCGAATGCCTAACAGAATTTTCGTTATTCACCTGTAACATTGATGACACGTCTAGAAAGTCAGAAACGAAAAAAAATTGACTATGCAAAGAGTCAGAATACGGATATGAGCGTCACTTCTAGGGGTTCTAACTCTCGATTGGCAGACCTCTGGACAGCTATAGGCCATGGTAGCATCTGGTTGGCCACCGCAGATGTTGATAAGGTCGGCAGTGTCGATGTTTTAGTCACACAAGTCTCAATGAAAGTCTTTTCTTCATTAAGCATTGCTAGACCTTTTGCTCTTGCAGTCGGGCGCACCGTGCAGGATATTACGAGCGCATATAACGAGACCAAAGAGGCTTCGTTGCATCTCAAGCTGATTTCCAGGCCCGTCGGCACCTTGGGGGTCGCCTACGAAGCTGAATAGCGGTCGGTACATAATTGAACTGTCTTGTTTCGACCAAAAGTATCCTATAAAGACCTGAGGAAAGCTTTAGAAAAGAATAAGAGATAGAAATTGCACGAACGACGCACTCAGTCGCGAGTCAGCATTTCAACGGCGATATCTTGGGCACCAAACACGCATATATACATTTTGAATTACTGCCAGCATGAAAATGACTAGTAGATGAGGCGTAAAAATGATGGATCTATAGGAATCAGGATATTCTCGCTAGTCAGCATCGAAGCGGCACCGGGATGTAGCAGGAGATGTACATTTTGTGGTCCTCAACATTGTACACAGCGCCAAAGCTATTCTGGAAGGGAGATTTAGCAGAAAGAGGTAGCAATGTTGACAGAAATGAGGTTATTCATGGTTACCGGGAGGAAGGAAGGCCGTGACCGTGACGGCAAACCGTGGCCCGGGTACGTGGCCCGATTTCTTTCTTTCCTTCCACACGACCAACCGGACTGATTTTTGGAAATTCTTACCCTCTCGAGAGCGAACTCAACACGCCTTGCCTACGAAGCTCGTCGCCCCCGCCGCTCATGGAAAGGGCTGTTCTTGTAGCACGCTTGCAGTGTTCACCCGATACCTACCGATGATGAGATTGGCTCGTGGTCCTAGCGATATAAAAAGTGGGTTCGGTACCATCATCATTGTTGAAAATAACTGAATAAAATCATAGTTATAGCCTTTTTCCCTCACTACTTGCTTGCCAGAGCCTTCCTCTGCGGTTGGTAGGCGGATGCATCGACATTTCGTATGCTGAGCGAGCCTACGAGCTTGGAGCACCGAATCATTCGATAAGCAAGGCAAGAGATGGAGATTGCGGCGATGGAGAAGCTTCTTGGTATGCCTGGTGCCAGTGGTGAGGCTGAGGCGGTGGGTACGACTGGTTTGGCATCATCGTTGTCAACCCCGATGGGCTGACCGATGCCATATTATCGTATATGGTATTGGTAAGTCTATCGCGATTAGCGCGATGGTTCTGGATCTCGTTGTCCCTCCTGCTGCGCATGAAGTCCGCCCAGTCATCGGGCTCGGTATACGGATCGCGTTGTACGGTGCGCCAGAGCAGCTCCCGTTCTTCCGAAGCCTTCCTGTCATCGTAGCGGAATTTTCCAAGGAGGGTTAACAGGTACCACCTAATGTATTCGCCAGTATTGAGAGTCGGTGCGTCGTCTGGGACCTCGGTGGCGACATTGGGCCTATTATTCAAGATCGAGAGCAAGCGCCGATTCGAATCAAAGGGATGTGTAGGCGGCTTGTGGTTTGGTACAACAGGAATATTACTCCTCCAGGCCGTAACTCGATCGGTTACGGCGGAATGATTCCTCTACTACCAATGAGTACCCCAGTTTGTGCAATTGAACGATGCACTCACCAAAACTTCACCTTCACAGGCAAGTAACATCACATCCCTCTCATTCAACGAGGTTTCCAGGGCCCTTTCCCTTAAAGATACGACGTTTTCGTAGCCGAAGACGTCGATCTGTGATGCGGTGGTCAGTGGCGACTCCTCAACATACGCGATCGTACTCACCAAAGTGTAGGTCCAATCTTGCACCTCGGACACCGGTACCTCCCATTCCTCCATTTCCCGAGGCAAGTTCATAGTTGAAGTATACAGGTGAGTGTTTGTGACTTTGTGGATGTTGGACCAATTACAAATCACGAACCCTGAAGGCATGATGAGCCTTTGTTTTGTTTTTGGACGCCCAGCAAACCACAGTCAAGGGTGCCTCCTTCGTCGTCGAATATTAAGTTTTTACGCTGGTCGTTCTCTCTTGGTTTGGCGCGAATTATTGCTTGGTGCGCCAACGAAGAACCCGCGTTCGAATTATATCATGGACCGGCTCGCCACAGTGATAGACACCGTCTTTCTTCCCAAAATTTCCTCAAGAGTTGGCCTTTCTGGTCTTCACTTTTGCTCTCAGTGAGTTAAATGACCTACTAAATTGTAATGGACCCGGCTGGCCGGCATCCAAACTTGTGGCGTAGCGTCGACCTCGCTTCAAACGCCAACAGCTGTGAGGTACAGTTATTGACAGGTCATTGCAACACCATCAGTCACTGAAACAGTTGATTTAGCCTCCTTCTCCCCAGTTCCGCTGCCTGACAGTGTTGTATAATCGGAGACATAGATGTTATAGATTTTTAGTGATTTTTTGGGAATTTTAGCGCTACTGCTGACCCCGTGAAAAATCGAACAGTGATGCAAATTTGGCAGGGGTTTGCCATGTGGTCATTTACCAGTCAATGAAACACCGTAAATTAAGAATATCTCAATACTAGATGCTTTGATCCAGTTTATACTTTGTATTGACATCACTGAGTAATATTAAAAATTTTGTGGCTACTTTATTTGAGGAAAAAGACGATGTGTGGTGGATGAGACAAAAAATATTTTTCGGCGTTCCAATGACCGGTAAATAACTGTACATGTTCACCGTTCAACTTGGATTATTTCGACAGGTGACTAAAAGAAATACTACAGAAATCTCAGGTTCCCTTGAGCGGTTCAAAGACCTATCCCCAACGAGTCTTGTAGGAAGGTGCTAGTCCTGTGACAATACCTTCTATGTGGCAAGCCGACGATAGAAGGTCCTGGCTTTCTGAGTTTAAACTTGGCAGGCGGTACAGATTTCGCCTAAAAAGGCTATGATCGAAGTTTCGCGTGGCTCGTACGTAGTGTTGCCGCGACTCGGCTAAACTCGGCTCGGCTAGACTTATTCCGACTTTGGTAATTGCTCTTAGCCGAGTCGGCTATAGCCAAAATTATTACCTGAACTCAGGCTAGACTTCGGCTTTAGCCGGCTTGAGTTCAGACTAATGTATAAATAAGGCAATTGATAAATTAAAATGCGTCATTGCCCTTTTCTAAGACAAGGCCTTTGATAAATGCCTGCATATCCTCCGGAATTGATGTCTGCTGCTCGATTAATAACTCCAGCTCACGAATCTCTGACATTTCATCTGTTCCCTCCATAAAATTCAAGCCCTGCCCTTTTCTTACTGAGAATTTCAACATCTGTAGTGCTTCCATTGAATCAGCACCTAGCCGATTCCGCCGCAGAGTATCAGTCTCTTTCCCACTGGAGAATACCCACTCAGAGGGCACAGCAGTGCCTTGTATAGGCAGAACATCTAGTGCAAATGAAAAGATTGTTGGGTAACGCTTCTGATTTTCCTGATATAACACATCAATACTAAAGACTAAGTAGCTGAATCGTTGCATGCTTACCTGCCAGAACATCAGAATTGATACATCACTTCTGATCGGATCCGAGAGATATCTTTCAACCTCAACGTCAAGGCTGTGCCGCGGTTCTGAACTGGTAGCATTAGCATGCCTGTCCAAACATAAGATATTTCTAGCACGAATAAGCGGGTTTCCTGAATCTGAGGTTGTCGGTGGCACTGGTGTGTGAAGATCCGGCATATTGTGGTATTTCCGAAGCTATCAAAACAAGTTAGGAAGGATCAATGATAAATGACATAAAGCTCGCACCGTATTTATGAATAGATCCTTGACTTCAAGAACTTCCCCTGGCAAGTTTTTCTGGAACCACTGGAGCTTGTATGCAGGATGGATAACTGCTAAGATGTGAGTAAAGAATTGAAAGCTAGAGAATGACATACATATCGCCAAGGAATAGATCGGAACATTGCCAACTCGATTACGATACTCGGCAAGTTTATCAAGGCCCTTCGCAATAACGTTGGCAGCATGGGGCATTTCCTTCTGTAGTTCCTCCCACGTTAATTGCATTGCTTCAAATGCCGGGATGGTGTCAGAAATGCATGGCGTCTTTTCACATGAGAGAATTTGCTGAAATGCGTGCGGAACCTGGGAAGCAATGTCAGCTGGGAAGTTCCTGAATGAAAATAAGCACACAGCAAGTATATCTTTGAAATCAGAAAGAGCACCCCACTCTGCACTACTCAGTTGATACTTATGAAATTCAGGAAAGTCTCGAGAGCTAAGGAAGCTATCAATTGCCTTTAATCAATGATGAGAGCAATACAACATGATGTAAGGAGAGAACTAACTGGACGCAGATATAGAACACGTTCAATCATGAGCAAAGTCGATGACCAGCATGTAACGACATCTCGCAGTAATTGAAGATTATCAATGTGCAGAGATTCAAGTATCTCTGAGAAAATTTGACACCTTATAGATGAGCCACGAACCTGAAAAGCAAACATCAGACAGTCCAAGATTATAATGGGTCTATCTAAGACTCACGAGCCGTACAATGGAACGAGCAGTAGCAATCAGATCACGTCTGCATGCAGCCATAAAATTTGTTGGTTGTCCTGGTTGCGGAACGAACTCGGTATCATCATGGGCATAGTCAATATTTGTGATAGCTGTCAAAACAGCCTTGCAAGCCAGGTTGACGATGTGGGCAAAGCAGCTAACAACAGTTAGAAAGGCAGCAAGTACTGGAATGATTGTCGTACTGGATATGCCGTTTGATTGCATCAAATTCAATTCCACGTTGCATTAGTAGCGTCTCCAGGAAAGCCATCATTGTATCATTGTTCGATGCATTATCCAGGCTGATCCAACCCATCTGCAAACAATATAAACACCGAATAATGATCATTGTACACTGGAGAACATACCTTAGACACAATTCAAAGTCGATCAACAATGAAAAGGAATGCTCACGCCAGATGTTCTCCATCATGACGGCCAGGTACACGATGGAAACCAATCAAATCAGCTCGCAGAGAAAGGGTCAAATACGGATCACCGCCATTTGGAGGATGGACCTCCTTGGTTTCAATCCAATGTGCCGTGACAGCCATGAAGGGCACAAGGTTGGCATTTGACCACATGTCACACGTGAAGGAGATTTTACCTAAAGCACCCTGCACATATCTGAGCTAAGAGGCTTCCGAAACCTTCAATATTGTACACACCTGCATTTCCTTGGAAAGCTGCTTTAAATGATCCTCCCATATTTCCATAACTCGCTTCCGAATCTGTGTTCGGCGGGGAATATCATCATCGGTAAGCTCCTCACGAAGCATCAAGAATATCCGGCGGAGCTCCGGAGACTCAACAACATTGAAAGACTATGATCATCATTAACGCTGCAATCTGAGTAACGCAAAGAAAGCCTACCTGGTCATTGCTAACAATAAAAGCAACCAACGCATCAATGAATGCTTCTAAAGAGAAGCCTGGCACCTCGTCAAACCCACTAGGCAAGCTTGAATTCTGTTTCGGGTCCTGTCCCTTTGACTCCCGGTATGCGGCGACAGGACCCTCAGCTTTGTCCGCTGTAATCTTTACCTTAAGTCTGTCACACGCCTCTACCCAGAGTCCCAGGTGCTTCATAAGAAGGTGGCACCGCCAATTGCTTGTGGACGTTGTTGAGCGGCTGAATGACGTTGACTTCTTCTGTGCACTAAGTATACCAGCATAGAGTCAGTAGCCCTTTGCACGTAGAAAGAACAATACTCACCAGCAAAAGATGCAGTGTACTCGATCTTCACGCACTTCGTAGAAGGGGCGAAGGTCAGGTATATTAGGCATCTCAGCTGTTGTACGCTTAGCACGTCGGCGCCTTCGGTTGCTCTTTGGAGTTGCAGCTACTGGCCGCAAAACAGGCGTAGGCGTGGCTGGGGTTGATGGCTCAGACAAGTCTTCGATGTTGAAAGTTTCGCCACCAGAGAACTGCACATTACGCAGAGGTTGAGCGTGTCTGGAACTACGCTCAGGGGTGGATGTAAATGGGTTGTCGTCATCAGGATCAGGCTGACGCCTACGTCGGCGAGCGGATTGCTGGGGCACAGGCGTTACAGGCGGCGGAGGTGTTGGAGGTGTACCATGTGATGTTGGAGGCTGGCTGGCTGGAGCTGGACTATGGTGTTCTAATTAACGTACAGATATAAGTACATATGGCAGCCGTTGAAGATAGAAATACATACCTAAACCTGGTATAAAAAACCGCGCATTCAATGCGCCTCCTGGGTGTACGGTGATAGTCTCAGTTGGCCCAGGAGCCTCAGGATCAGCACCCGCATCATCGGGGACCACTGTAGGTTCAGCGTCTGCGCCGCGTCCTTTTCTGCGAGGTCGTCCGCGAGGTCGTCCAGGTGGTGCCATTAAATAGACAAGTAGATAGAAAGGGAGAAAAAGAGATGGGTAGGTCAATGGGACATGCTACGCTTGCTGAGAGAAGTATTTAAGGAATTTGCGCGACGCAGGGTGGCAAAATAGAAGGTGTATATTCCGTTAACCAGTATACAGAACATTTGTAAATTACAACAACACCAGGCGACTATCGGTACCTACGGGGGCTTCAATGAGCAGAGTTAGACCAAATAAAGAGTTGAATAACGCACCCTCCTCGTAATATTCGCTTGTTCTACCATCTTTCACCCTGAAACTGCCTTGAGGCCTTGCTTGAGCCTTCGGCTAGGATTTGCCACAGCAGAGATGAAGAAAGCATGTTGATGGTCACAAAAGCATGCTTCAAGGTTGGAAATTGGTGGTAATTTGTTTCTACGTTGTAGGGATGTTGAGGGAACGATGGTAAGCGAGGGAGGAAGTCAAGAACGAAAGTCGGTTATCGATGACCAATTTGGTCATCGATAACCGGCTAAGTCGGCTCAAGCCGAACTCAAGCCGACTCCAAACGGGGCTTGAGCTCGGAATTAGCCTGAGCCAATCAAAGGCTCAGACTCGGCTTAATCCGGCTCGGCTACGCGACTAAGCGGCTTTTAGCCGAGCCGCGGCAACACTACTCGTACGGACCCTCTGAGAGCGTTGGACACTCCCCGGACTCAAATAACAGCCCATAGGGCCTTGGAAACAGTGTATAATGTGTATATTAATTATTTGTTCCATCTACTTGGTTGCCCATGGTTTCATTTCTGCCCGATTCACATCTATCTCATGGTTTTTGGTACCTTTATGTGTTTTTGCACATTGCAGACAGATGTTGTAAAAAAAAAAGACATCCTTGCAAGCTTGGTGCATTTATTGGGTATTTAAACAGATAACGATACCCCAGGTGTGAAAACAGAGTGTCGAACATTGAAATAGTGCTCTGTGCATGCCACGCGAAACCCGATCATAGCCTTTTTGAGCGAAATCTGTACCGCCTGCCAAATTTAAACTCAGAAAGACCAGACTGTATATCGACAGCTTGCTTCATATACAGGATGGTAACGAGACTAGGAAGGTGCTGTTGTCAGAGAATGCTCGCGGGAAGATGCTAAAATGACTCGCATTATCGGTGTCATACTTACTAGTACAATTGAATATTTCTTCACCATATGTTCAGGCGGGGACCGAGTCCCGGTGACTTGCGCGTCTTTATAATTGTAAAACTTGTTTTGTTGATCCACTGTCGAGTGGCTCATCAAGATCAACGGACCTCCGCAGTCTCAATGCCAGGTCTTACCTACTATTCCATATCCTAGGACCAGTACCTCTGGACTGGTTCAGCAATGGGAACTTCTCACATATATGTCGCACGCGTATATTGACCAGACAGTGTTGTCAAACGACGTGGTCTGATTCATGTAAAGAACTGGTCTCATCGTAAATCATTTTACATCGAAGTAATCGAGTGCCAGTCTCCCTCAGAGTTACGAAAAGATTTCGACAGACCGTGTTTGTTAACAGGCTGGCCATGAACTGACGACGACGGAAATGTCAGTTCAAACACTCGACATATATGACTATAAAGGCACCGTAGCGTATATCCAGGACACCGTACCATACATGTCTTCTAGCACGTACTTAGAGCGTTTGTATGGAACCGTCCTAGAAGAGATATCAGCACTGTTTGCGAAGATATGATGCCTACTCACGGGTCGGGCTGAACATGACATCCACAAGAGCTATGCGTCCGGCTGGTAAGGATAGTGCAGACGCTTAGAATCCGAAATTACGATGTACAGTCGCCCATTATCTATTCTTTTTTTAGGATGTCCGAATCAATCCCGGATAGAGATGATTCCTGGACAAATGCGTCAAGACTGGTCGTGAAGAACGAGTTAATAAATGACGAACCAGGAAGTTGCCTCAATGATGGTGTCTTCTTCCTCTGCTCATTGGTATGGCACATCACGCAGAGGATCACAAACGCATATACCGAGACTGAGGTCTGAGGGGATGAGATATCCTAGGAGAGGTGACAAGATGTTAGGTCTGCTTGAAGATAAAAAAACTAACCATCCACCGTATTTGCGAGTCGTCGCTGTCAACGACGATATCGGTGGTGCATTAGGAGCAATAGGTCACGCGTATTCGCTGGTGAGCACGGTCAACTCGTTGGACTTGAGGCGTTTCCTCGAGACCTGGATGAATGTATCAAGACCAGCTGTAAAAAAATTGAACAAACAACGCACCAGAAAATAGCCTCAACGATGGTCACCTTTTCCTTGCTTGACCTCGCTCTTAGGCTCCAGCACATCGCATTGACTGAGACCGAGGACGCGTCATATCTCAGGCTGATTCACAGTATCGAGCTTGATTCCTTTTTAAGTTGATACCCGTTGATGCCTTCGTGTGGTCATCGTCGAGTCTATATTGTAGCCTGCCCATAATGGAGCCGTCATGCTTCGACCGCAAGTATTCTGTGGAGACCTAGAGAGCCCGAAGGCGTCAAGGAAGGATTAGAGAGGCTGCATGGACGACATACCCGGTCGCCAGTCTGTTTTTCAATTGCAGCATATTCGGTGCCCAGCCAGCATATATGCGCCTTGCCTTCTCTCCAGCATGGCAAGGGCCGGTCAAGAGAAGGTAGAAGCGACGGATCTACGGAAATCAGGATGGTCTCGCCGGTCAGCAACGAGGTGACAACGGTATGTAGCAGGAAACGTACCATTTCTTGGTCTTCGCCGTCATAGACAGCGCCGAAACTACTCTGGAAGGGAGGTTCAGCAGAAAAAGGTAGCAATGTTGAGCGGAAGGAGGTTATTCATGGCCGTCGGGAGGATGGCCGTGACCGTGACGGCAAACCATGGCCTGATTTCTTTCTTTCCTTCCTTCCACCACGATAACCTGACTCACTGCCCGCAATTCTTACCCTGTCAAGAATTGACCTCAACCGGTGCTCGCTGTGAGGCTCGTTTGCCCCCGTCGTTCATAGAAAAGGCTGTTCTTTTAGCGCTCTTGTAGCGTGCACCCGAGACCTACCGATGAGGAGATGTCTTGCTTGTGGTCCTAGTGATATCAAAGGTGCGTCCAGTACCATTATAATTCTTGCAAAAAATGAATAAAACCATAGCTACGTTTACTCGCTATCTGCATGCCCGAATCTTCCTCTTGTGAGCGGACCTGTCAGCGTGATGGAGCGAAGCCGTACGGGTATCTAGCATCGAGGATGGAAAATGGTGGCTGCAGCGTCGGCGAGGCTGCTTGGAATGCCTCGTGCCAGTGATGAAGCTGAGGCGGGAGATTTGGCATTGTCGCCGCCAACCCCGATGGGCTGACCGGCGACATATTGTTGTATACGTTGTTGGTTATCTCATCGCGACTGGCGGGACGGTTCCGGGTCTCTTCGTCCCTCCTGCTGCGCATGAAGTCCTCCCAGTCGTCGGGCTCGGTATGCGGATCGTGCTGTAGCTGTACGCTACGCCAGACTACCTCCTGCTCTTCCCAGGCCTTCCTATCGTCATAGCGGAATTTTCCAAGGAGAGTTAAGCGGAACCACCGAATGTATTCGCCAGTACGCAGGGTCGGCGCGTCGTCCGGGACCTCGCCGGGGACATAGTCCATGCCGTTCAGGATCGATAGCAAGTGTCGGTGAGTATCGAATGGGTGAATAGGCAGCTCGTGACTCGGTACGATAGGAATATTGCTCCTCCAGGCCGTAACCCGATCGACAATGGCAGAATGATTTTTCTGGTCCCAATGAGTTCCCCAGTTTTTGTAATTGAATACGATGTACTCACCAAAACCTCACCCTCGCAGGCTAGTAACATCGCGTCCCTCTCATTCAACGGGGTTTCCAGAGCCCTCTCCCTCAACGCCTTGACATTTTCAAAGCCAAAGACCCCGATGTGCGATGTGGCGATCAGTGGCGATTCCTCAACATACGCGATTGTACTCACCAGGATGTACGTCCAGTCGCGTATATCGGACATTGGAGCCTCCAGTCCTCCATTTCGCGGGGTGGGTTCATTTTGGAAGTTTCCAGGTGAGCGTTGGTTACTTTGTGGGTGTTGGACTAATTACAAATCACGAGCCCTGAAGGCATGAGCCTTTGTTTTGTTTTCGGAAGTCTGGCACACCACGGTCAAAGTACGTTCTTCGTTGTTGAATATTAAGTACTCAGGTTGAGCGCTCTCTCTTAGTTTGGCGCATATTATTACTTGGTGTACGAGCGACAAAATTTCGCTCTCGAGTTTTCTTTTCGACTATCAACACCAACACCTCGCCACAGAAATGTCTGACGCAGACAGAATCGCCTTTCATATCACGAACTACTCTTTCGTTGTGTATGGGCTGGGTACTAGGGCAAATCAATGCCCGCTACTGATATAGCGTTTATTTCTGTGGCGCAGCGTCAACCTCGCTTCACACATTCGCCGCAATGGACCAAAGTGCATTCGATGTCTTTTGGTTCTTCCGATAAGTATCTGAAGAGTATGCACAGAAACGTCTGGATCACATATGCACAGATCAAACAAAGCATTCACGAGCCTTTGTTTTCCGTTCGGACATCTGGCAAGTCACAACCAAAGTATGTCCTTCTTTAGCGATTATTACCTGCTCAGGCTGAACGCTCGTTAGTTGCGCACTCTCGAGTTCTTTTTTTAGCCAGTTCGCCAAGGTGATATCAGACTCGAACAGGGCCCCCATCAGAATTTCTGCCAGTGATGATCTCCTTGATCGTCTTTTCACTTTCATGCCTTCATACCCACTAGCCAAATCCTCGCAACAGATCTCGCGGCCAATCCTTCGGTACACCATCAACTTCGCCTCACATGTCCGCCGTGATAACGAATTCACGTAATGTTGCCTCGGATATGAGGCCTGTACGATGATTGGATTTTTCTCTAGGGCTTTTTCTGTGTACTCGGTTATATCTTTGTGATCGCAAAAATGGATTTTGACTTCGTTGAACTCGGGCCTGGTCGCAACATGGAAAACAGCGTCGTAAAACACGACTATCTAAGTACCATCTCTTCCTGCCCATTGCGACGGGACTCTCTGCTGACAACTTTAGCATCCTCAGTGGCACTTTCATCAGGGAACGATCGGACACAGTTGACCTTCACATGTATTGCTTGATGCAACTTCCTAATTAGCGATCCTAAAGGATCTTTCAGAATGTTCGTCACATTTCGATATCAAGCATCACATCCTCAAACGGTACCAGGGATGTCCTACACCGTATTTGACGAGGTACTGATGCTTCCCCAAGTCATCGGCACTGATTAACTTCGAGTCGTAGCCTCATCTTCACTCGAATTTCAAAAGACTGATGCTCGAGTTTAAGTTAGGATTCATACAGTATGGCTCCACGATGGGGATCAATGACCACTTTGAAGATAGTCGCATCCAAGCGCTCAAGGAACCCGTTAAAAATGTGTATCTCATCTCGCCGAGAGGTACAAAGTCCCCTCTCGTCCTGGACTTGTAACGCATGTAAAAAGGTTGGCGGCAGCTACAAGCGATGAAGGACGTCGTAATGGCGTGTCGCATTTGTGGCACATTTTTCACGAGCCCATTATTTATAGTAGACGTCTAAAAACGCAGCAAAAAGCATAAGAGGGACCCAGATCGAAGCACGGTCAAGGGTTCACTGCGGTCCCGATTTTTCGACCTGGATCAGCTACCTAGATCATACTAGGTTTTTTTCATGGCTTTCTTAATATATCTGTTACCTATCTATCTTCAATCACTTCCTCTGACTGATGGCACATTCCTTCATCCTTCCAGGAAATAATTCAGTCCTGATACCCATCTGTCTAACCTCCTAGCCTTCTTCAAATGAGACGCTGACGCCTGGGCCGGTTCAACACCAATGTGCGGTGGGAACTTCGTCTACTACAGCCGTTGAGTTCGCATTTTTCTCTCCTGCGAGCTCCGTTCTTCTCGGTCTTCCTAGAACCCATGAGTCATCCAACTCATCAGAACAGATTTTTGATGTTTTATTTTGTACGCACCTCTCTTTGAATCCAACAAGCCTTCTTTTGTCCAATACTGAATCCGTGATAGATTTGCTATGCATCATCATATATTTGATATAGTGCCGTATTACTATATAATGAACTGGCCTCGGTAACAAGAAGCAATACTCTCCTCTTTGAGATTTGTCTCCGAGTCGCTGCCATGATCGCTAACACGTCTACAGGGATTGACACCCTGGAGCTCACCGACAGCGAGATCGAAGCTATTTTTCGCTATCTAGACAAACAATTCAATCAGGTGATGCTACAGGCACTAACACATGGTAAGATATCATCTCTCTGCAGCTCGCGGGAGATCGTCCGCCAATCCTGGTTTCTTTTCAAAGGGATTTACACTGGTATAGTGGCTGTCACCTTGTGGGCAATTGGTCATACTTTTCGTTCCTTTCACATGTGTCTCTCTAACTTGCACGACCAGCTTCGAGAAAAAAACCCCGAATAACAGAAGGCCTTTTTTTCTTGTTCTTATCATCCTTCTTTTATACCTTTTAACGGCAGTGGGCTTCTCTTGTGAATGGCGGATTAATATCTCAATATTTATCATCAACGGTAAAACATTTTGGACGGCATACAAATCGAATATCCCCACTCCGATCCTATTGGTCGAAGGGATTGAAGCACTTCTGAGCACGATTCTTGCTGATGCTAGTTTGGCATGGGATTTCACCTTTGCTTTTGGAGTGCTTGCTTACGAACTCATAGATATGGCGCTGTTGGGTTGTCTGGGACCGGTCATGGCGCGTTGTGCTCGTTCCAATTGTCTGCACTACCTTGACAATAAGTACGTCTTCGAATTCATGATCCGGCACTGATTTTACGATCTATGAGCACTAATGTAGACCCAGTCAGTAGAGCGATCGTAACTTATTACTCCGCTTTTGGACCTATCGAAAATATGTCGCCCCGAGCCCTATACCTCGCAAACATTGTCAACTGGGCCGTACTATACTCCTCGTTCATATTGGCCACCTTGCTATGGTGCACAATTTTCATTGTTTATCGCATCCTGAGAGTGACCGGTATTGCTGGGATGCGTGTATACCATAGGGTCGTAGAGATGCTCGTAGAATCGGCGTCTCTCTACTCTACGGTATTAATCGTTCTGCTTGTGTTCGAAGTTCATAATGAGGGAGTAGCTGGATCTTACGTCGAAGAGCTGGCGATTGCTGCGAGGGTACGCCTAATCAGTCTCAATTTTTTCCTTTATCATAACATAACATCTCTTCTAGGGAATCATACCTACAATTCTAGTCGGCCGTATCGCAGCAGGGCATGCACGCCCGGACGACTCCTGGAGCGAAAATACCACAGCATCGTCGCTTCAATTCAAAAGTCACTCAGATTTGCAGAGTGACAGCTCTGAAACGAGTGCGGGATCTCTATTCGACACATCTCCGCATATAATACCTGACATAGAAAATGGGTTAGAGGATAGAACACAGATTTAGTGCAAACTTGCAACGTACGCAATTGTTCGACATGCCACTTTTAATTCCGTAGATTGTAGCGTTGCGTAAAGTAGAACGAGTTTTAATTTGGTAACGGTCAGCTACGAACTACCATCAGACTTTGGCACCTAAAAATGATCAGAAGTTACTATTATACCTTCTCACCTGATTTATAAGGCAACCATAGACGGAATCCGAAATGTCAGTCCGGACCTTGCCTTCCAAGCGCACCAGAGCGGTTATCATGACGCCTAGCCATGAACGCGGTGATTCCTAACGCAATTTGGGAAAAGAAATGTCGGTGGGTAAAGCTGATATTCATGCTCACAACATAGCACGTACCAGAGCCTGAAGGTGTCCTCGAGATACCGCAGCCAAGTATTACAAGCATTTATGCCGGTACTTTGGCACTTTGGAGAGGGAAAGCGCGTCCCGCTTTGATCAAAAGGATGCCAGTGTAATGGAGGCGCTGGAACGTCGTGATTGTGGTCTGCCTGGACGTTCAAGCTTGGTTCGCTGTTAGGTCCATCGGTACATTGTGTTCATTCTCGAGTGCATAGTGGCTTGCCCAGAAGGAAGCCGTCATATTTCAACCAAAAGGCGCGTCAAGAACTGAGAAAAGCTGTAAGAGAGAGCAAGAGATAGAAATTGCACGAACGACGCACCCGGTCGTGACGCAGCATTTCAACAACAGTATCATCGTTGCCTAGTCAGCATATATGCGCCTATAATCCTCGCCAGCGCGAAAAAAACCAGTAAAGAAGACGAAAGAGACGAATCTACATGATATTTCCGCCAGTCAATAACGATGCGACGTCAGGGGCAGGAAACATACCTTTGCCTCGTCATCGCTCTTCAATGTCGTAGACGGCGTCGAAGGTTTGGAGGGAAAGCGCAGTGGGCATTAAGGTTGAGCGGGATGGACGTCGGGAGCAAGGAAGGCGGCGGCGGCCCGAAGGCGGCCGTGACTGTGACGGCATACAGTCGTTTCACTACTTTTCTTTTCCCCACGACAACAAATCTCACTGCGGGCAACTCTTACCACGTCGAGACTCACCTCAACAAGAATCACCTACTCAGCTCGCCACTGCCGCCGCCGACAGAAACGGCTCTTTTTGTAGCGAGAGCCCGATACTAACTGATTGTGATGATGCTTTCCTGCTCAAGGTTCTAGGGAGCTATCAATGGTCGGTTGGACATCATTATCTTTATTACAAGGGACTGAATAGAATTTTAGTTACGATATCCCCATTATTCTACGTTGCTGGTCCGAATCTTCCTCTGCTGTTGGTGCCTCGTAACATGGACGAGCAAACCCGCCCTGGCTATGTAGCAACTAGGCTGAGAAACGGCGGAGATGTCAGAGAAGTTGCCTGGCAGGCCTAGTGCTAGTGGTGAGGCAGAGGCAGAGGGTCTGATAGGCTTGGTGTTGTTGTTGCCAACCCCGATGGGCCGACCAGCGACGTATCATTGTATATGTTGTTGGCAGGTTCATCGCGATGGCCGCGATGGTGCTGGGCCGCTTGGTCCTTCTTGTTGTGTATGGATGGCCCTAGGTGATATCAAAGGTGCGTCCAGTACCATTATCATTGCTGAAAGGAACTGAATTAAAATCATAGCGATGACTTGGTTTTCCTACTCACTTGCTCGACCTCTAGTGCCAGTGGCGAGATGGAGGTGGTTGGTATGGCTGGCTTGACGTCGTCGTCGTCAACCCCGATGGGCTGGCCGATGCTGTATTGTTGTATATGGTATTGGTAGGTTCATCGCGACTGACGCGACGGTGCTGGGTCTCCTTGGCCTTCCTGTTGCACATGAAGTCCCCCCAGTCATCGGGCTCAGTGTGCAGGTTGCGGTGTATGGTATGCCAGAGTACCTCACGTTCTTCCAAAGTTTTCCTATTATCGCAGCGCGGTTTTCCAAGGAGTCCCAGAAGGAATGACCTAATATATTTGCGAGCATCGAGAGTCGGCATTTCGCCAAGGACCTCGCCGGCAATATAGGGTCTGGCATCCAAGATCAAGAGCAAACATTGATGCGAATCGAATGGGTGCTTGGGCGGTGAATGGTTCGGAGATACAACAGCAATATTGCGCCTCCAGACTGTAACCCGATCCGTGACCGTGGAATGGTTTCTCTACTACCAATGAGTTCTCAGTTTTTGTAATCCAGTATAATACACTCACCAAAAATTCGGCAAGCAGCAGCACATCCTTCTCATTCAGCAGGGTCTCCAAGGCCCTCTCTTCCAAAGTCAAAACTTTCCGGAATCCCAAGACGTTTTTCTGTAATGTGGCGATCAGTGGCGACCCCTCCGTATATGTGATCGTATTCACCAACATATACGTCCAGTCGCGTATGTCGGACACCGTTACCTCCCACTCCTCCAATTCGCGAGGCCAGTCCATATTATTGGAAGCTGGTAGGTGAGCGTTCGTTACTTTGTGGGCCGATGTACTAATTACCAATCAAGAGCCCTGAAAGCATGAGCCATTGTTTTCTTTTCGGATATCCGGCCAATTACAGTCGGGGTACGTCTTTCTTCACCGAATATCAAATCCTCAGGTTGGGCACTTTCTTCTAGGTTGGCGTGTATCATTATTTGGTGATATTCGACAAAAAATTCCCGCACTTGAATTATCTCCCCGATCGACTTGCCACTGTGAAAGGTGTGGCTAGGACCATCCTTCATACCAGAATTTCTTCTCCAAGGCTTGGCTTCTTGATCTTCTCTTTTGTTACCAGCCGGTTAAACAACTCAGCAACAGTCCCGGTACTATCTAATCCTGTGGCGCGGCGCCAACCTTGCTTCAAACGTGAACGGCAATGGATTATGTACTAAGGTATGTGTTTCAGCCTGGATTATTTCGATACGTATCTGAAGGATATACTTCAGGAACCCTAAGTTTCCCCTTGCGTGGTTCAAAGAAGATGTATCTTTAACTTGACTCGTAGAAAGAGAGAATGTTCGCAGGAGGATGCTGAAATGGCTTGAATTCTTGATGTAACGCTTTCCAGCACAATTGGATATTTCTTCGCGCTTTCCCCGTATGTTCAGGTAGAGACCGAGCTTGGGTAAGTTGCCCGTCTCCAGTTCCCGTACATCCTGATAGGTGTTCCCAGCTACAAACCGCCCCCACCAACACCATCCAAGACAGTCGCCTAGGACTAAACGAGGTGTATGCACAGTCTGATAACAGATGGACGATGAAAGCTCCTTAACCATCTCCTTCACGTCGTTAACGATTGCCATAAACATCACGCAGCCTTCCTGTGTCGTAACATCTAGATTCCATTTGGATGCGTATTGGGGTACCACCATGAAGGCACCCTCTGTAAAGCACCCGTTTGAGAGGGTTTTGGCGGGATGGTGGTTGAGAACCAAATAAAGAAGTACACTTTCAGCCTCAGGGTCGGCGGGATACGAGAAGTCACCGGTAGCCGGTCGCTGTTGAATTATTATTATGATACTGACAGAAATCAATTTACACTGAACAATCGTAGTACCCTTGTTCTTATAGCAGAACGGGGAGCCAGAAGTCACAGAAGAATTCAGCATGTATGCGTCCCAGCTTGACTTTTCAAGCGCATATATCCACCTTGTAGGCGTGCCATGCACTGACAGAGATACCAGTTCGATGTGAGGAAGCCTCATTTCGGTGCAAACGTGCCCGGCGAGGCTGGTTTCATTGTGGTGATCGCTGAAGCTGGTGAGCAATCGTGAAGTCTGCATTATACTGCTCGTCGTGCAGTCTAGAATTGCTGAGCATGTCGTACCGCTTCGACAGAGAAGATGGCTAAAATCATAGACGCCTGCATCAATATTGGTCGGGCAGTGAAACCGCGAGAACGACGTACCCTTGTCTTCCCAAATCAACAAACCTCTCCTCAGTGGCCGACTCTGAATCTTGTGCTTTCCAGTTCGCCGTATTGGACGCCAGTACAGAGGTTCCAAGTAAGGAAGAAACGGTAAAGGAAACTGCTGGACGTACGTGATGTTTCTGTGAGACAAGCAGCAATACGAGAGAGCGACAAACGTACCTTTCTTTCCCTAATTCCCTTCTTCGACGTCTGGTACCTAGTTAACGGCGCCTGGAAAGGCAGGCGCAGCGACGAAAGAACGAGATTCGTGGCATAGATATCTTCATGGACGCTGGGGGCAGGAAGGTAGAGAGGCTGTGACTGGAACTGTGACAACATCGGTTCGCCCTGGCTGGGGGCAACCTTCCTTCCTTTTCTTCCACCACGACAGTAGCGCTTGCTCTCAGCCATTCAGGCCGTCTCTTTTTCGTATCAAGCACAACATTCTGGAATTATTTGGAGCACAGCACAAATTTCCTTCCCGTCAGAAAATGGACGTATACCGACCAAAGCGGCGACATCTTGGGGCATGAAAGGTGCGATACAAGATTGTTATCACTGCTCATGGAGCTGAAGAAAAAGTATTAGATAAACCTGCAGCTTCACTCGAGGGGGCCAGTCCCTTCCATTCGATTATCAGCAATTGGCATGTCCTGCTCACTCTGAGCTAGCCGGTATACCCAGTAATCAAGACGAGAAACAGAGGATGCGGATGCGGATGCGGACTAGCGGCGAGGTAGAGGTGGTGAGGCGTCCTCGTCGATTCTCAGCTCCAGTAGCTGAACTCTGTTCCATCCTGATTATTGCAAGTCAGGAAGATTTTAGGCTCAGCGTATGGGTGCGTCCTCTTCATCAATATAGCTTCAAGGCCTTCCCTGATAAAACTTCTAGCTGACGGTGCATAGCACAACGGTATGCGTCAGAGTACCTCGTGCTTTTCTGAGGCCTTCCTATCAAGGACCGGCAAGGATATCGGGGAACGACGGATCGTCCAGGAACTCCCCAGAAACAGAAAGAGAAGGCGCCGAACCAAATCGAACGAACATGTGGATAACGTCTTCTTGTGAACTAGGCCGTTTCATCGCGATGGAAGCGACGCTTTCGGGAATGAGAGGTGCGGCACGAAATCGTTATCATTGCACACGGAGCTGAAGCAAAATTATTAGCTCTACCTGCAGCTTCACTCGACGGAGTCAGCCTCGACCATCTTGTCTTGGGTTCATCATTATCGATATGCTCATTCCGAGCAAGCAATACCCGAGACAAGAGATGGTGGATGTAACGGCGTATCCGTCTGATGCAAGACATAACGGTGAGGCTGAGGTGTGGCCGCGTCGTCGTCAATCCTGATAGGCTGACGGATGGCCAGTCCATCTCGACCTTCTTCCTGGCCAGAACGCTTTCCTAGTCTTCGGGTTCAGTGCATAGCTGCATCTTCTTTTCAGTAATATATATCCAAGACTTCCCCACGAAACCCGTAGCTGATGATGCACGACCCGACGGTATGCACCAGAGTACCTCGCGCTTCGCTGAGACCTTCCTAGTCCTATCGTCGTATCGCCGTCTACGGACTCGGAGGCAGGTCAGCAAGAGTCACCATGGGTATCAGCCGCGCGTCGTCCGAGGAACAGAAAGCTTGCTTGTTCGAGACTGAGAGCTAGCATCGAATGGATGTGTGGATAGCATGCTGTGCCGTGACGACGTGCCAGTCATTGTGAACCTTATTACTCCCTGTTCTGACATACTCAGTGACCTCAGCGCAGTTCTCTGGCAACCACATCCAGTAGTTTGTGAGGTATTTGACTGCTTCTCTTTGCCAGACATAGACTAAGAGTAGGTCCCATGACAGAGATGGTTGGTAATGCAGTGAACATCTGTTCAAGGGTTGAGGCTGAGGGTACAAGTGACCTGGCATCTTCATCGTCAGCTCTGATGGGCCTACCTATAAGGAATCAAGTGATTCTTGTTAGAAAGGTTCATCACGCACAATACGATGCTGGGCCTCATCGACCTTTCTGCTGAACAACAAGTCCTCCCATACATACGTGTCGTGGCATCTGACGCGCTTTGAGCGACCGTTGTCTCCACTCGCATGTATTGAGGATGGCAGGGCCGTCTGGGGCCTCCAGGCGATTCGATCTCAAGTATCGTTGCTAGTCGAAAGCGCCCATAGTCGCTCTGTCGTACAAACCATCCGTTTTGGATCCCACTCCACAGCTCTGTCCGCGGTAACATTCTCCCTTGCCAATGAGTTCCACTTTTGCACGAGAGAATGATCTACTCACCAGGATCTTGCTATTGCAGCCAGTGTGCTTCTCCGGCTTAATGGAGTATCCGTGATCCTATCCCTCAAAGCTACGACTTGGTAAATACCTAGCACATGCAAGGTGCCAACGTAGGAATATCATTCATGTTCCCTCTACTATAGCAATCGTACTCACAAGTGCGTAGATCTATCCTTGTGTTTGCGACGGAGGAACATCCCAGTCGGAGGAAGACGAGCGTATTATCACGGTTGGAAGCGAAGCGACATAGAGATTTTCTTGCCGCAGCTGTGATTGCAAAGACTCCAAGTCATCGTCTTTCTTTCGGACGTCTGGCAAGCAAAAGCTAAAACAAAGGTACACCTTCCTGCATTCGATATTTCATGCTTGAACTAAGCGCTCCGGAATCATTAGTTCATTCTAACCCAGTTGCTGGCCTCCTGTGGGAGAAATCTATCGGCAATCAATATTTGTTGTACTTGATGGGTGTACCGCGCTAATCAAGGAAGTGGATTTGACCCTCGTTCGTTTGATGTTGCGACTGTTCCGTTTAATTACAGAATTGGCTGCCAGAATTGTGCTCGGAGAAACATGGCTGAACCAACCACGAATAAACGGACTTCTCCGCACCGACCCTGATTTAGATATTTCAACTAGTTTGCCACCCATTTTTGCATTGTTCTCCAAATCCGCCACATTATCAGTTATCGATCTTCAAGTTTCCGTTCCCAGTAGGTTAGCTTCAACCCTTGACTTTCTGATACGTTACGTCTCTAACTTCAGAAACCTGCAGGCTTGTACGCCATCAAGTCGTCTTTTTCCGTCGCCACAGATACCGACCATCTCCAATCATGTCCACGTCTTCCCGTTCACTCAGTGACTAGCGAGCGCTCTTTGCTCGGGTCTGTAGGTCTAGCGTCACCGCCGGTGTCCACTCTGTTACTTTTCAGCACACTCCCGGCGCCAGAAATGAAGATCGGTTTGTGGTTCAGGAATGGCTCATCGCCGACCGGACGTGGAAATTCCTTGCCGTCTTCGATGGTAAGCCTTTCACTCACAGTCTTTACTTTATCCGACTAAATGTTTAATTGTAGGACACGGAAGCGCCTACACGTCGGAATACGCCGCTGCCAATCTTCCAAGGCTGATCGAGGAGGAACTGCGCGACGTTGTCGAGGAGTGCAAAAACCGATCTCGAGATACATTCATCACCAAGGTCAAGAGGCTTTTGAGGCGGACGATAGAGGATTTCGATGAGGATATAGGCGATGCCATCAAGAATTTGTGCCCCGATCCCTTGTCACTTTCGTATCCAGAAGCCCAGGATCTCGTCAATGCTAATAGGGATATCTTCCAACGTGCATATTCTGGTTCCACTTTGGCGCTCGCTCTTATTGACGAAGAGCGGGATAATATGTGGGTAGCCGGGTTGGGTGATTCGACTGTCGGTATGTTGTTCTTCTCCACCCAACAATGCGCCATTCTGATGTTTGCTTAGTATTAGCTTATGAAGACGACGATGGAACTGGGTACGGCGAGGGACTGCTAACCCTCCACAATACGGATACTCCAAAGGAGTACCTGAATATAGCGATGATGCATCCTTCGGAGGAGAAGGACACCATCATGGAAAAGGACCAACTGTTAGGCGCTGTGCGCTATACTCGAGGTATACAACTGGCTTGATCATTTTTCTTCTCCTGTAATCACGTCTTCTATCCTTGCAGGTTTGGGTGATTACGCGCTCAAGCTACCGTCAGAATTTTCGACGGAGCTCTTCTTCAAACTCCCGCGAGGACTGCGACCACAGAACTACCGGGAGGGCATACGGTACTACAATGTGACGCCGCCATACGTTCTGAATTCGCCTGGCACCCGCTTCATCAACCTTGCTGAACTTCGACCTCATAAGTCGACGCTAGTTCTATACACCCACGGCGTCGATACGATCGTGAACGGCAATGTGAAAAGGATCAAGAAGCTGGACAGACCCGATCCCGCCAGCATCGTAGGGAAGCTCACAGGTAGTCAGGTTGACGAGGCCTCTATTCAGGAGGCTCTCAAGCATGGTGTTGAGCTTAACTGGACGACAAACCGGGCGACCGAGCTCTTGGGAAACTTGGTAGCAGGGACTTCGGTAGAACATTTCGCCAAGCTCCCTGGACCTGCGGAACGTAGGGATCGGGACCGGGCGGTGTATGTTGATGATGCAACGATCCTGCGGTATGAACTAGCAACGGAGGCCTAATTTTCACTTATTCTGTACTTGCATACTTATTCCATGCTTTGCTGTGCTGTGCTCAATACACAAAAAAATACTAAATAATCTAGTGGTACTGAAGAAAGGCAACCAATGACTGTTCGCATGGGTTCTCCGAGAAACCTGGGAAATGTTAATGAACTGCGATCTAAAGTTGATGTAGCTCCCACCGCCGCCGGACTGTAATATTGGACATCCTTCAGGCCCTTCCACGCAGATGCATGCTTCAATCAGTAGTTCCGTCCGATGAAGGGAGATCCATTGGTCCTTGCCTGATTTTACGGAGTCGGAACGTACATGCGTAGTCTGATATCTGACGGCGCTAATCACCTATCGGGCTTCGCGGTGAACGTAAAGGAGACTTGTACCACATATTTCGTAGTTGACACTCAAAATGGCAAGGTCCCTTGGCAAAAAGAAGCGGCTAATTTCTCTGCAAGGACGTGATATCTCACCTTGACACCGTGTAAAACATGAGGTGGTTCTAATCCTGATGTTCAGCCTTTATACATAATTACGGCCATATGAACGAGGTATAAAAGGACTTCAAATTTTCAGGAATCTCTCAGACCAATCGCCAGCCACAGATGTCAAACAACTCGTCTCACCGTAGCGGCCGCTCTTCTAATTCCGTGTCATCTCGCTCAGGACTCCCGTCTCTGAAAACCACGGCCCTATTATCCGAGTCCCTGAGCCCGACTTCTCCAATGTCATCGACGGCGGGACTGACCCCCCTTTTGAATCAGTTTCCACAGCCGCCCTCTTTGGAAACTACGAAGTTGAACCCGGATGTACTGAGCAAATCGTATAGAAAGCCTGCGCAGCTCATGTCTGCACCGTCGACTCCACTAAGCGGTAGCACCACTCCCTGTAGTCCCAGTCCCAATGCAGATCCGGCTAAAAGTCGTGGAAGGCCGAAGAGCAGTGGGAAGTAACTCAGGTCCGTGAGAGGATTGGATTATGTCTGTGATGCTGACTGTTAATATTTTAGTGATTAGAGCTGGAGTCGTTGGATAGCGTACCAGCTTCAATTCCCTGTCACTCTAGCCGGTGCTCCTTGTAGACCAGAAGGAAATAATAACCACAGTCTGTAACCAGTATTGGGTGTCTACATTAATTTGGAAATCGTATTTCTAAGTGGCCAGCCATTCACGAGAAGTCGTTACCTCTCTTCATAGAACAATTTTTGTTGTATCTTGGCTCGAACTTGAAATTTAGAGAGTGGTTACTCAAATCTGAATTACAAGAGTCAGTAATAGGAATGCCAAAGGAATGCGCTGAAATGACAGACTCATACCGCTTCATGGCTCCTCCCGCGGTTACGTTCTTCGGTTTTAACCGAGAGAAGTCCAAATATCTCATCGAGGGAACCCGGAGACTGGTATATAGCAACTTGAACTTGAAGGGTAAAAAAAAAGAGTAGAACCCTAACCCGTCGGGAGGCGGCCCGGCTCGTACCGAAATGCCGTTGAGGACAATTCTTCGACCGACCACCACCACAATGACGCATGATACTATCCTTTGGTTGATATGACGACTTCTAACCACGCTGCAAGAGGCCCTTGGATGGAGAAACGTCGCTATGATTCCGGGAATTACTGGCAGCGATGGATTATCGGGATGTGCTTCCAGTTTCGCCTTGACCTCGGATTCGCTGTCGAAGCTGCACTGGTGATCAGTCTTTAACGCGCCGGCCAACCAGTCATGCGGTTAGTAAACCGGATAAAACACGGGAAGCGAAGGGAACCGTTTCGCCACATGATGATGATGTTTAATCTAACAGGACTGCCGTGTATAAGAAGAGTTCGAGTTCCAAGAACAACGTTTCGTATTCTTTCCCCACGGCATTCGTCATGTTCCCCCGAGTACAAATCTACCTCCTTCTCTTCGCAGCGGTCCTAGGGACCAACGCGCAGAAATACTGGTTCAGTTTGTAGGTACAATTTAACTTTCGGTGAATCAAAGATTGTATTTGACTATCCGAAATTCCAGTGGTGACTCATACACCCAAACGGGGTTCACCACCAATGGTACTGTGCCGGCTGTAGGCAACCCACTGGGGAACCCTCCGTACCCAGGTTGGACAGCGACCGGAGGCCAGAACTGGGTGGACTATGTCACGACGGTGGATAACACCTCTCTTGTCTTGACATATAACTTGGCGTATGGAGGTGCGAGTTCAGATTCACACCTCAGCCTCGTTTGCTAACTCCTTGGACAGGCGCTACGATCTCCTGCAGACCTAGTGACGCCCTACGAGCCTACTGTCCTCTCGCTCACTGACCAGGTCAACGAGTTTCTGACTAGCTATGCGGCCAGACCGTCGACTACGTCGTGGACGAGCGCGAATACGCTTTTTTCGGTTTGGATTGGGATTAATGATATTGGGAATAGCTATTACTTGGGGGGTGATCGGGATGCGTATGTCTTCAATGCGATGTCACGGCGGAGTAATGTTGATTCCCTGGTTAGGTTCTCAGATACGCTGATGGATGCGTATTTCGCGCTTGTGGAGCAACTCGTGCGTTGGTTTTTTTGTTTGCTATTTGTTGAGCTTTATCTGACTCAACTCGATTTATAGTAGTTGGTGCAAATCTTCGAAGGGATTGGTACATATACTGATCTTCTCACAGCAACGTTGGCGCGAGGAACTTTTTGTTCGTGAACGTCCCTCCGATTGACCGGTCGCCATTGGTGAGTGTTTGGACGTGAATTACAACTCGCGAGCTCAACTCGGCGTAGATGCTCGCACAATCGACGTCGAGTCAGGCTCTCGAGAAATCTGTGATTGCGGGTTTTAACAGCAAGCTTGTAACTCGTGCTGCTGCTCTGGAAGCCAACCATAGTTGTGTATGTTCAATGTTTAGACTCGAATGGGAGAATTTGTACTGATGTCTGTGGCATTGTAGGTCAAAACCTGGATATGGGACTCGAACGCTGCGTTTACGGCGATCCTGGATGATCCCACTAGCTATGGTTTCCAGGATGCGACAAGCTATGGAGATGGCGCAACTATCTTCTGGGGGTGAGTATTCTTCGCGTTATTGCTTCGTATTGTGGTACTTATAGTTCCGATAGCAATAACTACCACCCATCCAGTAAGTGAACTTGTTTGAGCTTCTGAGTCTAGCTCTTTGCTCAATTGGGCCCTGCCAGGCTACGCGCATGCGTATTTCGGTCAAGATGTAGCAAAAGTCCTTGGAGGATTTATTTGAGGAGGGGCGGACTTCATAGTAGTCGTTGTATAGAAGTAATAGCGTGTGAAAAATTGGATGGGCACAAATTATCCGGTCGCAACTTGCAAGCTACTTGTAAGGGAGCAAGCTCGCCTCCCCCGGTAAGTCCAGGGGGTTTCTGTGACGATATACGTCTGTGTCAGTTTTTAAACTTACGTAGATATCTGAACAGAATCTGAAGGACATGGGTTGAGGTAGTTCAACAAATTTGGGCGCTTACATAATCCCGCCTCTTCCTATGACGTACTTGCCGACCATGACGCAGCGGAAGTCAAGAATGGGACGAAAAGCTTGGTCCGAGCGTGACGTACGTGTCATATAAATACTCGAAAGGCGCACCATTCCCTTCTTTCCTCCGAGCTTACTCCCACATAGACTTCTACGCGTCGCTCACCGTATTTGCCGCCTTCCGTAAGTTCCCACATGTTTTCTGTCTCCCAGGACAGGTTTCCAACTTTCCTCTGCTGCCGTGGTGGCCCAAATTTCTTCAGCTTCTCATTTATCTGCGTTACCTATTTCTCATCACTATTTCACGCTATGAACTCAGGTTCATTGCCCTTCAATATTCGATCTCAGTAGTTGGCTATCCTCAAGGTCTCCAAGTAGAGGTACGCATGCCTTTTGTGTCATGGTTTATTCGGTAACCGGCGTATATTTCGACATCAATTTAGACAATCAACTCTGGATTCAAATGCTCCGCATACTGCAAGCCCGTGAAAATCAAACTCACTGCGACGCACTGAGAATGAAATTCTGGAGATCGGTTCGTGATTACGAACGTGTTGCACGCGATTACGCCCCTATTTGCAGCACGACTTAGAGGTTAGGGGCCTCGGAAACGCGCCTGTGGCGTGGGAATTCTAATAACTTTTCTTTTTTCAGTCGCCGCCATGATGCATCTTGGCTGCGCCCGTCGTCTGCTATCCACTGCGTGTCCTCGGCGTACCGCCCGTATCGACAAGCTCCCCGACGGATACCGAGCAGATAAAATCATAGCAGCTCTCAAGGCGAGCCCGGTGGAGTCCGTCATACCGTTGAAAAATCACCTCCTGCTCAGGTTTTTTGATGAGAGTACGGCTAGGCGGTGTGTTGAAGGGAACGTTGGTGGGTATTCTGTGAGGATGGATGAAGAGCCGGAGCCAAGGTTGTCGGCATATGTCGTTGCTGCGCTTGGGCTGGAGGATGCGTCGAGGACGTTGTCGATTATGAATCCTCCGAAGGAGAAGAGGGCGCTGCTTGGGGAGATGGAGGGGCTTCAGTGGACGAGGATTGAGAACGGGCGATTTGAGTATAGGTTTTGGGGTGTTGTGGATGCTTGTAGGGTGTGTTAGCTGATTTTTTTTTTACTGTTGTTATACTGACATATTCGTTTGCAAGGTTTTCTCTAGGTATAATGCAGTGAAAGGCGCAGTGTTCATATTCGTGCCTGATGACAAGGACGAGTATATGTTTCCTTCTTGGTATCCCCGAGGAGAATTTCTCGTGGGCAAAGTGGAACGGAATGTCTTGGTATCCAATATCCAAAATGGGGAAACGCTGCGGATCCTCGGCGAGCGGGTTGCGGAGTTTGATGCCCATGGATTCTTGTTGAAAGCTCATTATGAGCGGAAGACGAAGGTATGATGGTGTTCAGTTCCTTGTGGTTCCGCGCTCAAATATGCTTGCCTGTAGGCGATGAAAGTGGTCCTGGCGACATCGGGACACGCTAAGCAATTCCTTGAGGCTTGTAAGGATCTGGGAGATGTCGAGCTATCGTATCAGGAGGATAACGATCCTCGTTGGATATCCCGAGGGATGATAACCGCGCTGACCTTGGGCGCCCGACGAAGCATCTCGCTGTCCGTACCTTCAGAACACCGGAGCAGTATGACCGCATATCGGAGTTTCTTCTCACAGTACGGTGCTCTTCGTCCACAATCAAGGTGAGGGGCGTATTTGCTAATTGATCCGTGGCCTGAGATTGTTTTTACAGCGAGGACGACGGTCCTGAAGAGCTGCGCTTGCATTTTGAGAGTATTCTAGGTGCTATGAAGGCAGTGATGTTGACGGAGGCGACGTTTGAGGGGGCCAGCATTACGTTCTTGGGTGCCCGTGATCTCGCACCGTATCGCTTGACACATGTGGGGCGTAGGCAGCATTGGAGGTTACCAGTTCCTTGAGTACACTGCAATATATATCTTTAAAGGAAAGTTTGGCCAGTAATACTTTCTTTGGAATGATTTTTTTTTTCTTTAGTATTACGTTCTTGGATGCCCGTGGTCTCGCGCCGTATTGCTTGACAAAAGTGGGTTGTCGGCAGCATAATAATAATGCCAGCATTCGAGGTTGCCAATCCTTTGATATTTAGATAACATATATTATTCAGAAGAAAACAGTACCAAAGATTCTGTCCCAACCACTTCCCTCCTCCTAATGCAAGCTTAACGACTATATCTGTTTTCATCTCTTCATTCTGTAATTTTCCGTAGAAAGTTTGAAATGCCGATCTCCTTGTTTTTACCCCTGATTTCGCCGGAATCGCCCCCACGTGGCCGCCGGCGGTGACGGGAGCAACTCTGTCTTGTACCGGTACCACCACCACCACTTTAACTGTGGAAGCCCAGTATTGACTGCCGGCCTCTCCCACTGCTCTGTTGTGCTCTACCAAGGGTCTTCTAGGGCTCGAAAGGACAACATATAAGCCCTTTTACCACTGGAACTGCGGTCCGCTACCGGCAAAGAGTATTGTAATCAACGACTGTCCTATGCTGGATCTGTCCAATTGGTTCTCTGCTTTTTGTGAGAAACAGGTATTGGACGACCAGGGTCCAAGCGACTCAGCGGTGGAAATGGGCTTGCAGACGTTGCCGTACGACTTGCTGCTGAACATCGCTGCCTATCTCAGCCTATACGACGTGCATGCGCTACATCTGGTGAGTGGTCGTTCATTTTTCAAGAGGGCTGGGAGCATAGTATCGTGGAAGGATGGCAAGGCGGGGAAAGGCAAAAGAAAAACCAAGCTGACTCATTCTCTCCTTCCAGACTTGCAAATCTTTGTACGATTTCTCCATTACCCGACCGGTATACCGCCAGCTCGCCACAGATCTACTCAAACGATGTCGGGCACTCCCTCTGAAGGGCTTCCAGCGGCCTATGGAACTCACGACACCCCAGCTAATACGCGCTGTCAACAAAGCTACCCGGAACGAGCATGCCTGGCGCCGACGAACACCCAGGCCCATCACACGGCATTACGAACCAGGCATACACCCGCTCAGCAACTACCTAGATTCTGACGAAAATATTTATGACCCTAGACCGCCCTCGTGGTACAGAATCGTACGGTCTCCCCCAGAGGAAGAAGTCGATTGGTTATCGCCTATCACTTCGAGCTATACACTGTGCGCCACAAAGAGCGGCAAGGTCGTCTGCTGGGATATCCAGACGGACACCTGTCTCGCTGAGTGGACCCCGGGGGAAAAGTGGGAGCTGTGGAAGTGCAGGGTCGAGTTCGAGACTCGGTCTGTTTACTTTACGATGGCGAAGGTGCCGTCGGGCTCGTGAGTGCCGTTTTCTGGAACTTTGTCTTTGCTTATGCCTCGACAGCTACGACGATGCACAGATTATGGAATTCATCCTCATGCGATTGCGTTTCCCAGAACCCCTCGCAAACGGTGCGCTGAATGGGCCACCTACCTTTAATCATGTTACACGCTTCAAAACGAAGGGAGTCGTAATGAACGTGTTTCTGCTCGATCCGGTTGCCAGACTCTTGTCGAGCTACATCTGGATATCGACGTCCAACACTATCGCGCTGTATCTCTTGCCGGACTGGAGCAAGGATGAGTACGTCTTCATTGATACAGGTATCGAATGTGTGAGTGCTCTTGCCCATTACGTGCACTGATCTCTGACATCGTGCAGTCCGTCTCATCCAATTGGTCCTGTATACTATTGGACAAGATCATCGTTGTTCATTGCGAAGAACATGAGTCTCTATCTCAGTATTTCTATCCAGTGGCGCTCCTTATGGCGCACATCAGACCCGCTGCAAAAGCCCCAACAATATCGGGGCACGTGCCGCCCTTTCGCTCTTTAAGCAAAAAGTTCATCTTCCCCCCTCCCATCCCGTTTCCCCCACCTAATGGCGACAACACTACTCCGACAGTACTTGGCATCAGCGCACCCGGTGCAGCACCGGCTAGCCTTCTCGCCCTATCCACCAATGGCACCGCAAGCACCGCGACAAACCCCTTTCCCTTCCCTCCCTGGTACCCAGAAAGCGCTCATTTCGTGCGCCAATGGTGGCCTGCACTGCACGGAATGCCTCGGGTGAGCTGCACCGTGATACTCATGGCCTCGCACGACCCCATAACCCACAAAACCCGGTTCATCCTCGCCCAACACTACTTTCGCGTCCCCATGCTCGATGTCGACCCCGACTGGCTTCACTTTCCATCCAAACTCCCTTATTCCTCCTCCTCTTCCTCCACAAAGTTCCCCGACACACACCTGATGAAACTCTGGTACGTCAGCACACCCTTCGAGATCGTCTGCGTCCTAGACGGGCCCGAGCCCGAGCCAGACGAGGAATCCGACAGGCCTCGACCGCTCATCGCCGTGGACTTTGGGCACGCAGTGTGGATCGAGTACGTCGAAGTCGACGGGGACTCGGGGGTAGGAGACCCCGAGGCCAAGTGGCTGCGCTTCGTAACGTTCCCGCCTTACGACGAGGACGGGAGCCAGTGTGGTGGGTTCGCCTCACCGAGTGAGGTGCGCACGCTGGAGATCCCGGAGGAGCTGGATTTGGATACGGTCGAGACGATTAATATTGATCAGAGCCAGGGAGCGGTGATTTTGTCTGTGAAGGAGGGGAAGATATTTATTCTGTGTTATGAGTGATGGATGACAGTTTATGTGTGTGTATTTAGGCGGTGTATATGTACTTGGTGCTATTTTTTATTCTAGTCATTCTAATTCTACTCATTACGAAGAGCCGATTATACGTCGCAACGAAGAGATATGTTTCTCTCGCGGGTAAACGTGACGATATGATCCCCCAAGCTCCGGGTAGAAAACCCTGCTTCGCAATAAGAGCTAAGAAACGTCAAACCCAAAACATGTAGCAGAAACAAATCGCAGGACGTACAAATAATCTACGTATTTCATCAGTGCTACGGCACCCAGTATATATCGAAATTTAACTCACAAATCCATTTCCTGCGGAAGACTTCCTGCTCAGCGGCACTCAGATTGTACTTCCGGACAAGCGCCGGGGATATCGTGGCTTCCCATGCATCTAAAAAGTTTCGCTTCCACTCACGCAGCGTGCGCGCGTAGTGCGGTCCGATATTGACCATAGAGTCGACTGTAAGACGTCCACAGCTTCCTTTCTTCATAGCCTCCATAAGAACGCACAGGCTGGGAATATATCCCCCTGGAAAAACTGACGACATCGATCCATTAGCTGCGCTGTATCGACAGCGTCATTAAGGGCTCACTCTGGAGAGATAAAAACTATTGTCAGCAATGAACTAACTAACCTGGAACAATAAAGCGACAGACCCATTTTTGAATAAAGTCGACACCTCCTGCATGATATGACTCGACTCCTTCCCAAAAATATGAGTTTTTCAGGTTATCAACGCCAGCATAAATACCAAATACCACTTACTCGCTTCCGGGAAAGTAATGACCTGTACTGTCCCCGCTCCACTATCTGGTTTCATCGCCCAATCGACTACCTTCCAGTACTCAGCCAGAAAGTCCTTACCCACATGCTCGATCATCTCTATGCTAATGAAACGATCAAAGGCTCCAGCCCATTCCTGTTTGAGGTAGCATTCGCGAAAGTCCATTTCGTGTACTACGATGGAATCGGACAGCCCGGCTTCGTTGATACGGTTCCTTACAAATGCGGCGTGGGTGGAAGAAAGGGTTACGGTGTCAATGGTACACCCTGGGACAGTGGTGGCTGCTAGGATAGCTAGCGATCCCCAGCCCGTTCCTACATGGATGGTTAGAATATCGTCGTGTAGAAAGCGTGCACTTTACCAATCTCAAGTACGCGGTCTCCCGGTCGAATGTCAGCTTTTCGCAGTATCATCCTAGATGTATTGATACTAGATCAGGATTGAAGTCCATTGTATAACGCTTACCTCATTTTCCGCATCTGGCCATCTTCTAGTGTATCCTCAGGAATCCCAATGAGATCCGCGTCTACTTCGAGGAAGATGGCCGCAGAGTAGCTCATGTCTGGGCTTAGAAAAGCGGGGAACCTGGGGCCGCACTTGAATCGTTGCCTTGTTTCAGAAAAAAAAGGTTACTTACAGCTCATCTTCGAGATCATAATGAGCGCATATATTGGCCTTAGAGTTGGCCAAGTTCCCGATGAATTTGTAAGACGTGAGGAATCGTCCTCGTGCGAGTAAAGAGGACGTAAAGCCACTAAACGATCGTAATAGATAATCGCGATTGAGAATCAATAACTGTCCAATGAAAAAATGAGCATAGCATTCTACAACATTGACAGTATGTGGCTTACCTTGACTAGTTTCGATACATCATCACAATCGACTTCATGGCAAGTCAGAGAAGGATGGAATTTGTAGACAGCGCATACCGATGCTACTCATGAAGGACTCTGCGAGACCCAAGTCTGTAAACAGGGCTATCCTCGTCCAAAATTCACCTGATCGAACACGCAGGAAGGCATAAGGTGCTTCTTCTGGTCCGAATTCGTACACATCGTCTCCGTCTATTATCGTGAGATGACCAGTGCTGATACCACTCAGGGCTCTAGAGAGAGTAGCATGATAGACGATAGCGGTGGATGAGAACAGAGCGGGCGCACCTTAGGACTTGGGATTTGCAGAAAGTTAGGACAGGCCCCCAGGTTAAAGAGCTGATGGTCTCGGTGAATGAGAACCACAGGCCTTCGATAGCCCCTCCAAAGGACGGACCATATTTCACGCCTAGGGTCTGGGTCTTGGATAGAGATGTGATTGGAATGCCCTCCATTCAGCGGTCAGACCGAATAATACGTGGGAAGAGCTGCAACGATAATATCCGCCAAGTCTGGGTCTATATGCAAGAAATGCAGGCGAATTATAAGCGCACCCGCGGATCCAGGGGAATAGAGCAGCTCAAGCCACAACGTCTAGCATCGCAGAACGCATGGTCATGTCAGCTCGGCAGCAGATCCTGCGATATTGACGGATTCTGAGTGGAATAGGTTCGCTAACCATAGATGTGGAAATCTAGTACTAGTAGCAAAATGTGAGAGAGGGTGAGAGAGACGAGCTAGTAATGAAGGAAATACGAAGTTCGTAGGCGGGCAGCTGCATGAGAAAGGTCAACAAATCAGAGTTTTCTTGAATGATCTGCGTTCAGGAGCCTCCGCAGTAATCTCAATACATAAATATCAGTAAGATACGGGGATATTTTCGGGCTGATGTGGTACTCAACCAGTGGCGTGAGAACCTTTCCACTTTCAGTCAGCCGTACCCGTCCGCATGTGCCGCCGGACACTGCATGCTGTTGAGATAAGCAGTAATTCTCCAGCCGCTCACCCGGATGTAGCAGGGAACCCTCGCAAACAGGCGAGGGTCGTCGTCGTTTGTCTACCTATTTATCTACATGCCGTGTACACTAATAGAAGCAATGCGATGTAATAAGGAAAGCCGAGGAGGAGAACAAGTGAACAGTACTTCCTACCGAAGATCCCGACGTCGACTGCACCATGATGCGCGACACTTGACATTCCAACACATGCCGCTGCCACCAACCTTTTCCTTGGCTGGATAATGAGATGGTGGGTCGTCTATTTCATTTCACGGCACATAATAGTCATCTTTTTTGTGCAGCTTCGAGTAATATATACAGTGATAGTGCACGTATACTTTGCAGTTCTGTCTGCTTTCTCATTTGTGTAGCCACAGATCATACTTGGAAGGAACGCTGCACACATATGGGCTCATTCAATAATCCAGCACCTGAGAAGAGGGTAGGACTCGTGCGAGACTGCACTGAACGATGTAGACGAGGATTTGAGCATTCGCCCTGTGCTCGGGGGATCACTAACATCATGATGATCCTCTGCAGGTTGCGAATCAAATTTTGGGCGGCTATTTTGCCTCTGAACTGCAGATCAATGTTACTAATTAATTAATCACTAGTTACCTCCGGTAGCGATGCATTTTGATGGCGCTCGCCCGGCACGTGACGGACGCTTTGTTTGTTGAAGACGAGGCGCCCTGATAACAAACCACAATACAAACCTCCTGCGGGACGTACATTTGTATGTGTGCTTGTGTTAGTTTCAATATTTCACGATCTCATTCTGACTACGAGAACTTGATATTAATATGCTAGCGAAATTCCAATCGGTATTCCTTCATCGAAGCCCGTGCAAGTATCATCTAACGCCTTCCTATGGATTAGATCATACATCACAGCGAATAGACATGTTTCCCTCGCGAGTGAATGTCACAATATGATCCCCCAAGCTCCGGGTAGAAAACCCTGCTTCGCAGTAAGAGCTAAGAAACGTCAAACCCAAAACATTTAGCAGAAACAAATCACAGGACATACAAATAATCTATACATTTTATCAGTGCTACGGCACCTAGTATATATCGAAATTTAACTCACAAATCCATTTCCTGCGGAAGACTTCCTGCTCAGCTGCAGTCAGATTGTACTTGCGGACAAGAGCAGGGGATATCGTCTCCTCCCAGGCATCTAAAAAGTTTCTTTTCCACTCGCGCAATGTGCGTGCGTAGTGCGGCCCGATATTGACCATAGAGTCGACCGTAAGACATCCAGAGCTTCCTGTCTTCATAGTCTCCATGAGGATACATGGAGTGGGAAGGTACGCTCCAGGAAAAACTGAGGGACGTAACCTCTTAGCCACTAGTATTGTACTAAAGTATTATTAGGCTTACTCTACCGAAGATCCAGTCAGAATCAGATGGACGAGAAGAGTGAAACAATTTACCCATTTCTGTATAAAATCAGCACCTTCCGAGTTATATTCCTCGCCTCCTTCACAGAAACAATGAGATTAACCAAAAGCGAACCAACGTAGATAACACTTACGAGTTTCCGGAAAGGTAGTCAATTGCACCACACCCATTCCAGTATCCGGTTTCATTGCCCAATCGACTACCTTCCAGTACTCAACCAAGAAGTCCCTACCCACATGCTCGATCATCTCTATGCTGATGAAACGATCAAAGGTTCCAGCCCATTCCTGTTGGAGGTAGCACTCGCGAAAGTCCATTTCGTGTACTACGATGGAATCTGACAGCCCAGCTTCGCCGATACGGTTCCTTACAAATGTGGCTTGGGTGGAAGAGAGGGTTACGGTGTCAATGGTACATCCTGGGATAGTGGTGGCTGCTAAAATGGCTAGTGATCCCCAGCCCGTTCCTACATGAATGGTTAGAATGTCGTCATGTGGAAAGCGTGCACGGTACCAATTTCAAGCACGCGGTCTCCTGGTCGGATGTCAGCTTTTCGCAGGATCATCCTAGATGTATTGATGCTAGGTCAGAATTGAAGTCTATTGTATAACACTTACCTCATTTTCCGCATCTGGCCATCTTCTAGTGTATCCTCAGGAACCCCAGTGAGATCTGCATCGATCTTGGAGAAGATGGCGGACGAATAGTTCATGTCTGGGCTTAGAAAAGCGGGGAACCTGAAGCCGTACTTGAATTGTTGCTTTGCTTCAGCACAACCCATGGTACTTACAGCGCATCTTCAAGGTCATAATGGGCAGATATATTGGCCTTAGAGTTAGCCGAGTTCCCGATAAATTTGTAAGACGTGAGGAATCGTCCTCGTGCAAGTAAAGAGGTCGTGAAACCATCCAGAGATCGTAATAGATAATCGCGATTGAGAATCATTAACTGTCCAATGAAAAAATAAGCATAACATTCTACAGCATTGACAGTATGTAGCTTACCTTGACTAGTTTCGATACATCATCACAATCGACTTCATGGCAAGTCAGAGAAGGATGGAATTTGTAGACAGCGCATACCGATGCTACTCATGAAGGACTCTGCGAGACCCAAGTCTGTAAACAGGGCTATCCTCGTCCAAAATTCACCTGATCGAACACGCAGGAAGGCATAAGGTGCTTCTTCTGGTCCGAATTCGTACACATCGTCTCCATCTATTATCGTGAGATGGCCAGCATTGATACCACTCAGGGCTCTAAAGAGAAATAGAATGATAGCCAACCACATTGGGTCAGAACAGAGCGAGCGCACCTTAAAACTTGTGATTTGCAGAAAGTGAGGAAAGGCCCCCAGGTTAAAGAGCTGATGGTCTCTGTGAATGAGAACCACAGGCCTTCGATAGCCCCTCCAAAGGACGAAGCGTATCTCACACCTAGGGTCTGCATCTTGGATAAAGATGATGTGGCTGGAATGCCCTCCGTTCCGCAGTCAGACAGACGAATAAGTGGAAAGAAATACGATGATAACCACAAAGTCTGGGCATATATACAGCAAATACGGGCAAGCTGTAAGTGCTTCCCTGGATCCGGGAGAGTAGAGTGGCTCGAGACACGAGGTTTAGCGTCGCAGACCTCATGACATAGCTCTATCCAAAACGCGTATGAACTCGGCAGTAGAATTTTGCGATTTCAACGGACTATAGATGTAATGGATCCACTAACCATAGATGTATATATCTAGTAACAAAGGGTGAGAGCCGCGCGCCAACCGAGTCACTAGGTCCGCAGGCAGGCAGCTGTGTTTAAGAAAAAGGTCATGAAAATTAGAGTACCTGGAAGTTCTATGATGTGTTAATATGCTTTCATATTCATTTCAATATGCAAGTTCCCGGATAGAAAATGCGAGATACAAGAGGATTTTCAGGAGCCGTGACTGGTGGTAGAGAAGCCGCGCTTGTGGCGTGAGAACCTTTCCATTTTCACTAAACCGCATCGGTTCGAATGTGCCGCCGCAGTTTTGCTACCAGATCAACCCTTTCCTTGCTGAAATTGGGATTGATGGTCCTGTAACGCGAGGCAGTGGGTCGTTCTGTTTCGTTTCATGGCACATGATGTTCATCTTTTTCACGCAGCTTCGAGTAATATCCCGCTATCCCGCTACCTTGGTAGTGGGTTCTTATCCCTTGCTAATGGCAACATTTTTGGCGGTAGATCCTTCGAGATCTAGTTCAGTTACTCCTCTCCTATCTTTAATACTATGTAGCGTGAAGATCTGGACACCTGTGCTCGGGGGATCACTGATGCAACACTGATGGATGATCCTCTGTAGGCTGGCTACGATCGAAGTTTGGGCATCTAGCTGCTGAATCGCAAAGCGATGTGACTGATTGAACGATCACTCCTGGTAACGATGCATCTTGATGGCGCTCGCACGGCACATGACGAATACTTTGTTTCTTTCTTGACAATGCGCCTCTTTAACAAGATAACCTCCCGCAAGACGTACTTTTGTATGTTTGCTTGTGTTAGTTTCAACGTTAATGTTTCACGATTTCATTCTGACCAGGAGGACTCAATATGCTTCAAAATTGGAGATGGAACCGTCTTTATGCAGATGTTCGTTCTCCATCTAGCTCTGTTGAACAGGTATGCATATAAAAGCACTCCCCAAAGGATAACACATAATATATATATATAGTCGCATCTCAAGCACGAGAGTCTCCCAGAGGTTGTCCTCTCGGCCCTCACCGAGATTGGCCAAGAGGAATCTTCAGTTCCGGTTTCGAAGCAACGAAGCTACGCCGGTAAAAAGCCTGTCATAGCATCCTCTCTCGCAAACACACCCTGTGCTGAACTCGGTGTTGATGGACTTCTAGAGAAACTCAACACCATCTTCGGTACACCATACGTTCTCGACATCCCATCCACAGCTTCCTATCTCTTAGAGAGGCTCTTATTTTTCCTTGGAATCGTGCACACCACGTCCCTATACTCCCTTCTCAAAGGCTATATCGCCGAAGACTTTGGTACTGCCTACGCTCATCTTCGCCCAGTCCGGCACACGGACTTGACTATCACTGCACATAAGCTACGCACCCGCAAAGCCCGAGACCGCAAAATGCGGCATGCCGTACTGGTCAATAACACACTCGTCGACTCCCTGGTGCCTCCTCGATGTGTCTGGGATCTATATAGTAATCGGGTAGTTCCATGGTGGGCTGTTTCCCAAAAGCCTTGGGCGATATCACACGCTTGGATAGAAGAATCGGATCGCACAGATGTGACAACGCCCATCAATGGCTGCAAACGGCCCGTGCCAATCCCGAAAGACACCAACCTGGACTGCATCCGCATCGAGATGCTGAATCTGGGGGCTGAGTATGTCTGGCTTGACGTCCTTTGCTTGAGGCAGAGAGGCGGAAGAAGGGAGGATCTGCGCGCAAAAGAGTGGAGGGTCGATGTACCCACTATCGGAGGGATATATCGCCAAACGAAAATAGTATGCTACTTCGGCAGCCTCGGACGACCTTTCAAGGATTTGAAGGCGGACGACTTTGAGAGTGATCGGTGCTGGTTCAACCGAGCATGGACACTGCAGGAGACTGGCGAGGAAATACTCATTGGCGGGGATACAGATGAGGACAGGGACCATAGAAGAAGATATACAAAGGAGGCTTCATGAGCAACTGACACTGCTCCGGAAGTTGCAGGACGCCCGAAATGTGTTTCACGTGCTATTGCAGATGCAGAGCCGCGTATCCACAAATAGGGTGGACAAGGTTGCGGGATTAGCGCACCTTCTTCGCTCGATATCTATTCCGGCATACTACGAGAAACGATCTGAAGAGGATGCCTGGACTGCGCTGGTGAACGTGATGTGGAAATGCCTCCGAGAACAATTGCTCTTTGGATATCCTGGTCCTGGGGACGGAAACAGGATATGGCGACCGTCATGGAAGCAGGTCATGACTGAGAAGCTTCCGTTGCAGTCGATGGGCCCGCATAATATTGTCACTGGTTGGGAAGTCGACCCTGATATCGACCTATGCAGAGGGTACTACGTTGAATCGGCCCTTGTGCAAGGATTGGCCGAGGAAGACTCACGAGGGCAGTCCCGACGGGGGAAGTTGATTGTCAGAGATAAGGACGGGATGGATCATGTGTTCGAGATTGTCGCTAATCACCAGTACCCAATAACAGAGGGCTCATATACAGTAGTGGGCAATATCGGTGAATGGAGCACTGAAAAGAAGATGAAATTTTGGCTTGTTGGTCGAAGACGGTCTGGCTATAAACGGAGGTTCGAGAAAGTGTCGATCTTCATACTACCCGACAACGAAGACAGAAAGAGGTTAGAGAATCTGGACGTTGTGAAATGGTCTACTGTGCTTCTTGCTTGATATAATCATGTATCCTTTTCGGCATACTTAGAGCAGTGAAAAATATCATATTGAATCCTCCTCGTATCCCTTCCGGTACGGGTCGCCATAGGTGCTGAACTTAGTTTACTACAGGGTACTAAACACTAGACTTCCCCGAAGTAGGCTGAATGCGAAGGATTACTCTCCTTATTTCGATTCCTCGCATTACAAGTCTTCAAAAGGTTCAGAGATTGGTAAATACCATAAGAATACAGTCGTATAACAAATCATTTGGAATCCTTCATTTTTACAATTGCATACGCCGCATTCCACCGCTGGCCCGAGGGATCTGTCGAGTAGAGGGCAACCAACCTCAGGGTTTTTTCGTGGACAGGTCGAGGCTGGGGGCTCTGCCATATTCGTCAGTCAGATAACACGCGAAATCAAGAAGTACGATACACATACCTGACTGAGGACATCATGAAAGCCGTTCGCAATTGCCTGAGCCAAGCCCAGGTGAGTTATATACGCATTACTGCTATTCGAGGGGAATAATAGCAGTATGCGCCCTTTTTTCGTGACCTACTACCTAAACGCAATACCAAGCTCAGCAGTGCGAGTAGGCGAGAGATACTGACACCAGGAAGACCAAGTGCTCTGTCGGTCGGGTCGGTCGAGGTGAACGAAATAGTCGAAGCTACGGGGATGACAGAGCGTTGGTCCCCCATAATGGGGTGGAGATATACAGAATGATTTTCCTTGAGCCAAACGTGGATCTGTGAATGTCTGTGAATTAAAGTTCAGTGTCGAAAGAACAGCAAAAGACATGTATGTGAATGTACTAGTGATTTGGAATGATAGAGATCCTTTGCAAAACCCCCTGATGGACCAAGACAGAGATCGGGCTCAGTTGCTATTGCTGCTGAAGGTTTATCGACCGTGTAGTTGTTTCCCCGCGGCTGGATATTTCCGTAAGATGAAGATCCAATTAAAACTCGACACCGAACTAACGCTGTTTTCATTCGTGACGCCCTGCGACCTGTTGTCGTGGAACAGCCACCAGTACTGATCTGGAGTGGGTGGTCCTTGGATGATTTGATATCCTTGAGGATCGATGTTTAACTAAAGGGATTTCAGATGTATAAAGGTGGCCCGGGGAGACGAACTGGGGAGGATGGACTATAGGCCGGGGAGATGTGATGAGGGGAGGTGTGCTAGCATTAGGCTGCACAGGCGCGCTGTCACGGTGTTGGCGCTCCGGAGGCGGGACATTCTATAGAGAAACATGTGAGAATACATGGCCGACTGCTGCCACTCTGGAGTACGCACCAAGGAGTGGCGAAGCTCTGCGAAAGAAGGAAGAGGTACGTTCTGAGGGAAGAAGTGAGACGCTGTTTGATGCAAAAGAAGATATCGCTCTTACCGTTGATGGCATTTTTTGTAGAGGAACAAATATGGGATGTGTCCAAGACCGAGATACTTTATACATTTGTGCATGTTTGTGCCGCTGTAGATTTGACCAGCGGGTCAATGACAAGGAAAAAAGCCAACGCTAAAGACATTTCAGCATATTTTGATATGGGTAATGCAATATTAGAGAAAAGCCAGGGATGTCATTATCTTAAAAGGATAAACGCCAGAGACATAAATCAGAGCATCATTGTTCATATCAGTCATCAAAGAAAATGAATCCGACTTGGCCAGATGCAGAAGACAAGCAAAATACGGAAATCGGGTGGCAGTTCTCCTCGAGGATGGAAGGATTTCTTGCAGATGTCATGTTCAGCGCGAGCCAAGCACATTGAGAAATCTTCGAGAAAGCCACAGAGATGATGCCGGACAAGTGGATGGCTAGCTTTTCGCTGCTCTTGGGTGGGCCGTGCAGGATCGCGCGAGTGGCGTTGAAGCCGCGGGCCGCGGCAAGTGTCCATGATGGCTGTGCATCGGCCGACTTTTCTTCTTTGACCTTCAATTTCATACCTTTGTAACAGTCTTCGTTCGAATTTGTTCTAACTAGCTACTTATCGTTATTTTCAAGTTTCAACCTGCCTACATAACTAAAAATTCTTTCCTAGTACAGCTCTGTAATGTAGACCTCATGAAACAGTCGGTACCCACTACATCTAATTTTTTTAGTCTATGTCTTCCAACTACATGCATCAACAGATAAAACGCCCGTAGAACACAGACCAAAATTCATCTTTTCAAGAGTTTTGCGGCATAGCTTATGGGTGATATTACCCTCCCTTGTCCCCCACGTCTGGATAAGCTAGTGGACATCTGTCATAGGAAAGCACTGTACGGTTCGAGATGATGCGACGGACCCTTCTTCCCTAAGGGTAACAAATCAGCTGCACAAAGGGCATAACTACACCTGTGCGCTTGACCATCCTCGGAAAATATCGTTTCGTCATCTCCGCTAGAAAAAAAAAAAGGGGGGGGGGGGACCAGAACGCAGGTGCATCTCACATATCAGGACTGTAGCAAAGCAGCTGCACAAAACGCGTGACTGGCACACGCTGATGCGCACTCTAGGGCAAGGTTCATCAGCCATGCTCACATTCTACCCCGCGATATTACCTGGCACGACGTAGAGAGGCCGAGAATCATGAGTCATTCAATCGGAATACAGTGTTGTACTGTTGGGAGTTCTGCATGACGGTTGCTTCTTCATACGAGTAACAAAGCAGCACATAGGTACGCTGCAATAACGACATGTTAGAAAACGGACACGACTAAGCATTGATGGTTCCCCGCAAAAGAAATGCACCAGTATCACATATCAGATTCCTCCAAATGTAATATACTTTTACTGGGCGAGTTTACTATAAAGATAGGCTGTAAATGATTAGCATCCAAAAAGTTCACCCTAGCACCTTCATACATATGCCCCTTCCCTGGTATAGACAGAGAGACGATCGCCTGCATAGCATCGTGCACGTCTTCGTACTGCACCGACAGCCGGAGCTCATCGTGCCTACACAAACCCAATCAGTCGTCAAGACAAGGGAAAATAGTTCAGAAGTTCACCATTTCTGCTCGGATATCAAGGCTATACTCCCAAACTGCCCAAAGAACGCCCGATATTCCGACTTTTCGACATGATGAGCCTTATCAAATTGTACGACTAGCGTCCGACATGCACCCATGCTGATGGCAGTTACCAGACTGCGGCGCTCCGCCGGGCTGGCGACCATGCCATCTTCCACGGAAGAGCCGTCGCCCAACGTAACCCTGACGTTCAATCCGTCTGACCGGTCCTCGAATTTGGCAATAAACTGTCGTGCGACGTCTGGTGAGACGAACCGTAGTCTCATCATCTACAGCCAAAAGCGGGGTCAGCTAACACTCAAACGAGGACCGAGCAAAAAACAAACATTTTGCTCGGGTCGGAGGGCTCCGTATCCGAGCCCCGGTACCTGTTTGTCGAAAGAGCTGACCCAGTCTCGGACAGCAATGGAGGTTTGCGACGTCAGGATATTGTCAATGATGACGGATCGCTTGGAACCCTCCTTGGGCGGTGAGTACCACTCGGGATACAGGTAATCGCCCTCGTCGATGAATGTCATCCGGCAGTCCTTGAATTGGGGGTTCTCTTTCAGTGTAAGCCAAACCTGACGAAAAGATTAAGCACAGAAAAACAATGAAACATTGCAAGCAAACGTACCAGCATGGCATGGTGCAAAGAAAACACCCGCACGTCGGCTCTCGTACCCTCAAGCCGCCAAGAAACCACCCTCCTACCACTAAACAACATCTCCTTCATCTCCTCCTCCATCATACCCCCAGGCAACCCCTCAACAACAAAGCCCAACGACAGCCCATACCGTCCCAGGGCCGCAACAGTAAACGCAGACAATGGCGGCGTCCGGACCTCTTCGTCAATCCTCACATCCAACCGGTCCGAATTCCTCAACCGATACCTCTTCGCCAGAGTCTTCGCAAAAAAGCGAAGAGAAACATAGTTCTGCGACGGTACTATCGCCTCGACGGGGCTGGCCCTGAGTGTGCCGACGACGTCGCTGACGTCGTATCCATCTGGGAGCTGTTCGACGCGGACGGTGCGTCTGGTGGCAGAGAGAATGGGGACTGATGAAAGCTGAAGAAGAAGAAGAAGTGGTGGTGGTGGTGTAGGAGCGAGAGAGGTTACCGACAGCGTAAAGGCGGTGGTGATGGCGGGTGACAATCCGGAGCATGGAAGGTCATGAACGGGAGGGAAGAAAAAGAATTTGGTTCCCACGCTGTCGGAAGATTCGCACGCCACAGACGCGACGAGTGTAAAATGGCAAAAGGCTTTTTAAGACGATTGTTCATCGAAGGAGATGGTGTACCATATTTTTTCTACGATTTTATTTCATCTACTGAATACACACAAAGAACTCCAATTGAAAACCAAAGCGGTACCCCAGCACAACCTGTGTTCCCTTACATCAATCAAGTATGTGCTGAAAAGTCATTCATGAATTACCAAATGATAAATTAGATTGTCTTCTCCCGCCTCGGTCGACTAAAAAGAGCGAACCTGCATGTCAGAGCGTTAGCTGATCATCTCAGTAATTGAACAATGTGAGCAAATGTAGCATCCTAACAAGTGGTCTCTTTTCGAATCCCACAGCCCATGACTCTCAATGACGGTTTGTGAGCCGGGATGGCCTCGAGTTTCTATACAAAATACGGGAAGTGACACCACCCAGGTATACGTGCAGGTTGTTCTGACACCTAGATAAGCTCAAGAGCAGTGTGATCTGTAGCAAGATGACACACTGTAGATGATTACAGGACGGTAAACCTACCGGTACATCCAGAAAGAATCTCCATTCTTTCGCAAGGCTCACCGAGCTTTTTACTGTGGAATGCCAGGCTCTCAAGCCCAGCCAGATCACTTTAGAGAAAGAGATCAAGTCGCCGGTACATTCCCATCAAAGCAGCGGCGAAATAAGCGCCAAATACCCAAATCCAGTACAAGAACACATGCAATGCAACGGAGAACACCGAATAAGTACCCAAAAAGCGGAACATAGCACGGTACCGAGATGTTACTTAGGGTTAGGTTTTCTCTTGTTACGCAAGTTACCCATAACCCAGCAATCCTACGTGTTGCCCCTTGTTCATCACCTTCGATCACCTTCACCTATCATTTCACAATTGGTATGGTTTCCCTTTGTCGTGGGCCTGTACGGGCATCGTTAATGAGTGCATATATACAGGACGAGGATGTTCCCACCACAAGCCGACACGATCGGAAGGCGGAATTCTTGCAGTCAGCCTCCATCGCCGTCGGAGAGCATGAATACATTCACCGGCAACTCTAGCGTCCTCGCACCGAGCCCAAGGCCGTCACCAGCGCTCGGACCACCCACGACAGACCAACCCCAGTGGACCCACCCATCACAGACGCCATCTAACGCCCAGGACCAGGCGCCTTCACCACATCGCCGGTCACCCCATCCAGCACCCACATATCCATCTGCAACATCGCCCAGCGGCTCGCCGCCCCAGACGCCCCAGGTAGCCGCCCACATGCCCCTACTCTCGCAAATACCCGAAATCGCCGTCATACACCCGATGCTCGAGCTCAACGCAAGCCGAATCGAGCTCGACTTCTCCGTAAGCCTCGCCTGTGCGCGCGTATGGGGCAGCGTGACTGAGCCAGCGACTCTACCGCCTTTACCATCATTGGCGGTAGTCAGCCGGATGCTGCCGTGGCCTATAGTCGTACAGAGGTCGGCTAATCGGGAGTGGGTGACAGTGGCGGATGTGGTTGAGAGTATCTGGCGCGCGTTGCAGGTCCCTATTCCGTGGTCGCCGTCGCCTTCGCCTTCGTTGCTCATGGGTGTAGAGCGCGATGACCAGTATAGGGATATGGTTGCCTACCCTAGACTGGCATATCTGAACGGGAGAACTCGGTTCATGGGCCTAACCAAGGACGACGATGAGAGCGATACGTGGGTTCTCCACGTCGCCTAACGCATTCCAGAGATGACACCATATAACCACCAATACCAGCATTAGTACACCTTCGCATTCCATTAGCACCACCCATTCAATTTTTTGCATTTGTAACTACACACCTTGTAACCAGGAAGAAATCGGGTTGATATCTCGCAAACACTTTTCTTTTTGGGACCCTTTCCATCCGAGAATCTCCGAGAGCCTAGGAAAACAACTGCGGTGTAGAACGAGGCCGTAACATAGGTATTGAAGAAGGGGATTGAATCATCACAGATATATCATGGGTGTTAAGAGTAAATGACTCAGGCGGCTCCACCGCTCCCTGACACGTCAACCAAAACACGCGGTGGTCTAGACCGTTCGTCGCTAGGTCCATAGCACGTGGCTACGGGCATCTATTCTTATCAATATCATGGCCAAAAATAATCTTCCACCAACTTCGACTTTGGACATGACGCTCATATCCATATTGTGGCTTTACCTCGTCAATTTTTACCGTTTCCTCTCCCAGTCATTCCCCCCTTCCCCAAAATGGTCTGCAGACCAAATTCCCGACCTCTCTGGACGTGTTGTTATTGTTACGGGTGAGGAGCTGGGAAATTTCGCAGGCACTGGATGATTGACATGCGCACCTTTAGGCGGGAATACGGGAATTGGTAGAGAGACTATTAGGGCGCTTCTTAGGCGAAATGCCAAGGTATACACGGCTGCTAGAGACGAAGAGAAGGCGCGTAACGCGATACGGGAGCTGTTGAAAGACACGGGGAAAGAAGCAATCTTCCTCAAGTTGGACCTTGCAAGTCTCAAGAGTGTAAGAGAAGCTGCTGCGGAATTCAAGAGGTTTGTCACTAATTGCTGTCTAGTGTCACTTAACTAAATCCTTATAAATAATCATACAGCAAAGAAACCGAACTGCATATTCTCTTCAATAACGCGTACGATTTTATCTGATGTCGAACATACTCTTTCATATAGCTCCTAATTTCAGCGGAGTTATGTGGCCCCCTCTGCACCAAACCAGCGCCGATGGATACGACCTCCAATTCGCTACCAACGTCATGGGTAGATACTATATCCAAATCCTTCTGAACCCCTCTAATAAATCCTCACCAGGCCACTTCCTCCTAACGCACCTCCTCCTCGAGCACCTCAAAGCAGGATCCAAATCCCTCCCAGAGAAAAAATCCCGCATTATCAACATCTCATCAGGGGCAAGCTACCTCACCCATCGCATCAACTGGGACACGCTGGCCGACGGGCCGAGTCGACGAGCGTGGTGGTCGTCGACAGAGGCTTTGTACCACCAGAGCAAATTCGTTTGTCGTTTCTTTTTTTGTGGTTATGAGGTTCACGGTATGATCATATCAGGCAAACGTGGTATTCTCGAACGAGCTTGCGAGACGATACGGAGATGAGGGGATCGTCTCGATCTCACTCAACCCAGGTGATGTCTGACTTTGAGAATTGACACGCTGTGTGCTAACAGATACCTAGGAAACATCAATAGCGAACTCCTCCGACACAAGTCCTCAATTGTCCGGTACCTCAGTGTACGATACCTCCCTACCTACCTCCATACATACACAAACTCACCCACCCTCCACAGCGATACTTCCTATACTCAACGACATACGGAGCCCTAACACAGCTCTGGGCGGGAACCGCGCGTGAGGCATTGGGGTGCAATGGCATGGTAAGCTGCGGCTAATAACAGTGGGAAGCGTACTGACTTGGGACTTCAACTTTGTAGTTCCTGGCACCGTGGGCAAGGATCGCACGTCCGAATCCATGCACGGATGACACTGCTGTAGCGAAAAAGCTGTGGGACTGGCTGGAGGAGCATACCTCCCGTTGACATCGGTCCTGCATATCTCGACCAAGTTAGTACGGGTTTACTTCTTCAACGGGTTGTTCAATGTATTCTATATCCCTATGAGATCGGAATATGCAGCACAGCCCGAGATAGAATCCCCAGCCATATCTGGCAACAACGCAAAAAGGAAGACGACGGACGACGCCCAAGACCTCCGCGCCGCACAGAATACTTCAAGTCCCACTTTTAGTAGTGTGGTCATTGGCCACTCCCGCGGAGCCGTACTCGGCTATGTACCAGCGAGACGGGAAAAGCGTTTCGGGATTCGTGAACGTATCCCGGGGGACCCCTCATATGCAGTCACTGTATTTCCTCGCCATCTTCATCTTGCTACCGGGTCGACCTTTTTCGCTAAGATGAGTCTTATGGTGCTTTCGTTTTTCTTTATTTGTTTAACTCTCTCTTTAATCTTACATCGCTCACGCTGTTTCTACTCACGTGACGCTTTCTCGGCGCACGATGCCTCTTTACTGTACTAGCCTCAACCGGTCCTAGCCTTCTCGGCTGCTTCGGAGCTCCTGCCTCAGTGCCCTACACTTTTTTTAGACTCGACTGCAACCGTTCGACCTCTGAACACGAGAGCGACTCTACCAACTCCCGCTTCCCACCCAAACCACCCAACCAATGCACCTCGGAACACACCTACTTAATAATCCTTGCTATGTACCGTCACTCCTGTCCCCTCGTAATATGTTTTTCACTGCTAATATTCCTACTGATAATCCTAAGTAATACGAATCCATTTGACATATGTTTCACAAAACAACTTGAGGACTCGGTCTTGCTTGCGATGGTCCCCCGCTTCATTGCGGTATGGGTACGGGTCGCTCGTACCTGTTATACGGGCATGTTGGGCATCCCTAAATGAGGTCGTGTCCTTTGAAAAACTCATAAAGCCTTCGGAGAGCCACTAGCCTTACGTTCATCGAAAATGTCTCGTTGGTCGCAGCATGCTGAGGTGTGTATGCGTTGGATTACTCGTGGCGTTGCTGACGCCTTTATTTTTCTTTGGGCAGGATTCGCGTCGCCTCCCGGAAGGCTTTCAAAGGATAGGGTATGATGCAGATACGATGCAGTATACATTTACGGACACACATGGGAAGTTGTACCGGAGTGCGCCTGGGGAGGAGTATGGTACATTGACGCCCGTGGCTGCTTCGACGGATAGACCTGGAGCCTTTTCTGGTGCGCTGACTTTTTTTCTTTTCATTAATGATTATGCATATCCACATAGACGGAGAGAATCCGAAGGCAAACAACTCATCTACCAGTGGGCCCGCTCCGAAATTGACATTCAGCGACTTCCTCCCTACGTCTGCTATGACGTCCGCCTCGTCATCCCCAGACCAGAATTTACCGGCACCCTCGCAGAGGTATTTTAATGGAGCGGTGCAGAATGCTCTGCCGAAAATATGGGGTGTCATACAGAACCTTCATCGAACGTCTGCGTATACCAAGGAGTCCGCCTCGGCAGATCACACTCAGGCTTCTTCTCCTCATGATGGTGGCAAGAGTTCGACCCCGAATATGTCCAATACAGCTGACGCCAGCCCGGCGAGTATTGTTAGGGTTGATAAATCGAAGAGTTCTGGCAGTGAACCCAAGGCTTAGAAGCTCGCTAGTCGATCCTTCTTAGCTGTACGGATATTTGGTTGTTGGGAGGTACTTAGCGTTGAAAATAGATATATGGCTCGGTATATCGAGTGCATATGATTATTGACAAGGGAGACAAGAGGAAAAGTAAGCGCACGTGAAAAGGCCCCAGGTCTATCCAAAGAACATCAATAGCGAACTCCTCCGACATAAATCTTCGCTTATCCGATACTTCAGCGTACGACACCCCCCTACCTACTTCCACACCCAAGCTCACCTGCCCTCCACAGCGATACCTTCCTATACTCAACGACCCACGGAGCCCTAACACAGCTCTGGGCGGGAACCGCGCACGAGGCGTTGAGATGCAATGGCATGGTACACCGTGGTTAATGACATTGAGAAGCGAATTAACCTGGACTTCCAACTTGGTTCCTGGCGCCGTGGGCAAGGATCGCACGTCCGAATCCCTGCACTGATGATCCTGCTGTGACGAAGAAGCTGTGGGACTGGCTGGAGGACCATACCTCCGCTTGAGTTTGGTCCTATAAGCCGTGGGGTATATCTTCGGCACGCGTGTAGCTTAATACGGGTTCACTTGTTCAACGAGTTGCAGCTTGCTTTGGACATTTTCAGAGGCGGGAAAACGTCCAATACATCCGTGCGAGTTTCTTACTTGCCGAAGGTATTCACGACTTGGTGCGCGCGCGTCTGCGAATATAAGGTGGGCATAAAGGATGCAAGGATATAACATTCATTATGTCCGCATCCTCGGATGGCGCACAATCTTCATCATATACCGCATCCTCTTCCTCTGGCGTTGCCACAGAGATCCGCCTGTATCACAGGGAAATAGAGGTTATTACGCACTCCGCCTCTCTTTACTCTGCCGTAATCGTCATTTCCGAAGTTTGTTTTTCGTCAAGACATATCAGTATCGTGGCTGCCATATTTGTCTTCCTATACCCGGCGCTGGTCCCTTTTCTGGGGGCTGTGTGGTATGTACGGATCATTTCGCGTTCATTTTCTTCAGATTAGGGCAAGGGTATATCTGATTATACAGAATGAGTTGCCACTGCTTCTCTGTGTTCACAACCGAAAATGCTAGCGAACCCGATATGCGATTGGTTTTGAATGGACGCTACCAGATAATGAGCTGCCTGAGAAGATAGGCCTTAAACATCACTAAGCGCCCAAAGTCTTGTTATGATAAAAGGAAACCAACACGACGATATTGCTGTCTATCGCGAATTTAGTTCTGCTCATCCACAATTACCAATTTGTCATTCATGATTTCCATGCGTATCGCCTCAGGCTCTGTACAGATCTCAGCTTGGCTAAGTCAGGCATTTAGCAGTGGCCGCCAGTGCTAGCCGGACGGATTATATTGGGTAACGAATAGGACAGGTATACACTAGTACCGAGGAGTAACATTCATAGAGTAGAAGTGAGGCCGTAAACGAGAATCGTTGTGTCATCGAAGTAAAGCTTCTCATCCCATTCCCCACGCTCTGCAGGTCCAAGAAATTTGGCGAAAGTTTCCGTTGAAGTCCCCGCCATCAAATTTCCCAGTAACTCTGTAGCTCTGTTACCGTTTTCACCCATCCAATTGACCTCGACGCCGTGTTCGAGCGTCTCCTGGGCATAAGAGTCATCGATGCGATTGCCTAAGAGTTTTCCAACGACAGCGGCAGGTTCCGACCTTTTCAGACCTTCGAGATCCTTATCTACGTTCGTCTTGCCATCTACGATGATATCGACACCATCTGTGAATAGAACTAGAGTGGGTTTACGATGCCGAAGCGGTGCAAGGTCGATGAAGCGGGTGTTGGCGGCATTCATGACATATGGTGGCGTTTTATTGTAGTGTTGGGCCCCGTCGAGATAGCGCTGGGTTCTTGTCTCGGTAGGCAGCTTGAAGAATAGCTTTGTCGAAAAGATAGACTTGAACTTTAGAGCATGGTCTCCTAGACCTATGAAGATGTGAATTCCAGAAACAAAGATGTCACAGGCGACAACATACCTCGAGTGGGAAGCAGAGTACCTAACAGCCTGTCGTCTTTCATGATGGTGTCCTTTTCCGATGAAGGATGGAGCATAACTATGCTACAGTATTCCTTGGGAGTATGCGTACTGTGGAATGTTAGAAGTCTTTCGCCTTCTCCTAGACCATCTTCGTCCTTAAAAGCGAGTGCTGAATCATATCGGATTGTTCAGGAGAGTGGTCTGATGATCACGAGACGACGTACCGACAGTCGAATCACCGAGTCCAGCCACCCACAGGTTGTCTCGTTCTTCGTTCAAAAGAGCAACTGTCAAAGTTGTACCAGAGAATCCTCACTGGAAAATGTCTTTGTGGGAGTCAACTAGTGCCTGAGCTTCTTCATCATCGAGTAATGACGGGTCAGGACAGAGGTTTTGGACGGCATCACCAATTTCGCTGTCGAAGTAGTAGATTCTCCAAAATAAGAGCTTGTTTATCCGGGTTATGAGAGTTTTCCGAGATCGGTTTTGACATTCTGAGAGCACTTTACGCAATTCTCTCTCTATCCTTTCCGGAAGATTGCCAGCACCGTACTCAGCAGTATATTCTCCTCCGTGTCCTTCGAGCTCCAAAAATCAATCATTTGCATGTTAAGAGCACGTCACAAAAAACATACCGTCGAAAACGGCGAGGAACTTCCACGACTGGCCTTCTATCAGCCATTCTCTCACGACGAATCGGTCTTCATTCGTAGACCCAGGAGTAGGCTGAAAGGTGACAGAGTGAATTCCTGCGATGATACCGGAGCTACACATTCGAGCAAATAGGACCTGCCAGTCTCCAAGAGAACGAGACGTCGTTGACATGGCTAATCTTTTGGGACAATAAGACCAAGTTGCTGGCAGTGAAATTTGACGTTGACTAGAACTGAGCTGCAGTTCTCTACAGAGGTGGGGGAACAAGTCAAACACTCAAGCCATGCCTGAAGTTGCACGTGAACGCCCTCACAGAGCTTGAAAACGTAACAAATCAACAACGGTTGATAGATCAGGGTCGGCAACGACCGATCCTCCATGATTGGTCCAAACAACTTTATCAGTCAGGAAGTCCGGGCCGAAGTTTGCGCCACGACTGTCGCATGAACGTCGATGACTTGGCTTCTATCTTCAATCTGTCTATTGTATTCGCCCACCCTATTATTCTTATTCGATTCTTCGTAAAGAGAGAATAGTGACGACCCCATGGCAAGCATTCAGAAGCTCGAGCTCCTTCAGGTTACCGCTTTGGACTTCGATGGTAAGCAACCTCATTTCGTCGCTATTTATCGTTAACCTTGAGTCATAAGACATAGATGCAACATACGGCATATCCTAGTATTCTTTTTTGTACAGACGAACATAGTATTTAACCTTGTCGTCCTCCGAAGGTTTTGCGGAGCGATCCCGGGGAAGGCTCCCAGATTTGGGTCTTAGCGGTGGATTTTTCTAGTGCCGACCAGGGGGTTAGAATACCTTTGTATCAGTTTGTTGATTCTAACAAGTGGGTCTATCAAAGGGCGCGCACATACTGATTCAATGCGGACAGGTGCAATTTAAGCGCAATTGTTTGCCAGTCAATACGCAGTTATCGCTTCTTTTTCCGATTTCTATCCACTAAATTTTCCTCCCGGATGAACGGCTGAGGTAATTATATCAGATTTGACGATACTCCTCACTATTCTCTTCTATTTTCGGATACAAACCAGACAATCACGCCCCGTACACCTGTGAAACAACTAGCTCCTCCGACACGTTCGCAGATTTTGTACTGCGCATCGTGACCGTGTCATTCGCTCCATCTATGAAATCCGTGCAATGAATGGCGTCTCCTGGGAAAGGGTCAACGATGATCCACCCAGCTCTTCATTAATGTCAAAGTCTCGACCTCGCTCTTAGGAAGCAATAAATGACATACGTGGGTCTGTGACGTTAGCAACAGCCTGGACGGGAATCTCGGCTGGTATCACACTCAGTCTATAGCCTCCGACATCAAAGTCTATACTTTGCATGACAATGGTACGATTCGCCTGTTACCTCACTGTATTATCGCTTACGAGCTGCTTCAAATTACTAGCATAGACTACGAGTTTTTCTAGGCTGTCAACCCATTATCAAAGTGATATTCTTTTTTCTCGTGCGTGGGTCACAAACATACCTTCTGTGGCGTCACCTAACTCCACTACCGAAAGAACTGCCTCGCAGTCTGGACTTGCAGCCGACTATTGCAAGTTCCCGGGCATTAAAGTCTAGGCACCGCGTAGGGACCCACCGAGGATCCGGCGTTCAATTGTTTTGCCTGGATTCCGAGTCGAGGTGAAGGTCTACTCGCTTATAGGGTGGAAGTGTCGATGGCTGCTAAGTAACAAGCTCGTTCTTTTTCACTTTTTCGACTGGGCTGTGCTGTGCTTGTCCCCTTGACGTGGATCTCGAGCGTCAAAGTAATATACTCTTGGGGCTAGGCGTCTCTGACATCTTCCATGACTCAGTGTATATAAAGGTAACGCGCCTTCCAACCGTTAGACAACTAACCCCGCCATCCTTTGCAAAAATGTGCTCGTCCTCAGCGTACTCATCCTCACCGGCCTCCCTCTCCTCGTCACTGCGCCTTGACGAGACGAAGCCTGAAATTTGCCTTGCGACAAGAGCAAAATTTGCCGAATCTTTGCCTCAATGTTGTCATTGTGGTTGGCGAGGCGCACATGCCCCAGGATGCCCTTTTCAATAATGGGTTCCATCTGGTGGACCATGATTAATGTCATTCTTGGTGAGCTTTGCGGTTTTCTATGATAGAGCCTCCGCTTACCATTGCCGGTAGAACCTACCACTCCTACCCCATCCCATCTTGTGTGTTACGATGCACGATCACCAACTAGACAGCATATAGATCAAATCTATAGATCATTGCCATTTGCTTTCCTAATTGCTTTGCTTTCTTGCTCTCAGTTATGCCATATGTATTCCCTAGACTTACTTGTTACTGTACTCGTAGGTGTATACTATTTAGTTTGAAGGATTACACTGGTTTGCGATGAATCACATGTGTCCACTTTGAAAACCTCTTTGACTGGCCCGTTTGTCGTAGTTGTGTGTCATTATATTCTTGCGAAGACTCGTGTCATTGTCCAGTGGCAGAACTTCATACCTTGGCCCTGATAACATTGTTATTTTTAACTTTGACGCGTACCGACACGCGGACTTCACTTAGTGTGCTTCGAAACACGGCGAACGTGTGAGTTCACTTGTCTAAGCCACGCTGACATCCTCCCGCCCTCTCGGCTAGGTTGGGGGAACATTTTTCACCCGCATTGGTACTAGTCTCGTATTACCGATTATCCTCAGATGATTCCTTTAGGCTTTCAAGCCTAGTCCGGGAACTACGAACGAACACCCACCAGTTTATCGTGAATGAATAGGCCTTCGAAGGCCGGGCCTAGAAGTTCCTTGCCGCTTGCGATAACGAATCAGCGACTCTAGTCATACAGACTTCGGCTGGATATCTGGACTGTAAGGAGATGGGCGCAAAGGTGTACCGTGCTTCAGCGGGAAAGCCCTAGATCTAATCCTCTCGAAATCCCTGCAACAAGTGAGACGACGATAACAAGATATTGAAATGATAACTTTCTGTATGACTCGTGCATACAGCCTAGAAGAAAGAGGCTTATTACATGCTAATATATGATGGGAAAGGCGGGTAGTTGAGTCCGGCGCTCACAGCATATCAAGATATGTTACTGACTGGAAGAAGTGCTAATGCAGTGCAAACATCAAGCAAATAACAACCAGGCATAGCGGGCCGAAATCTCTGGTTTGTTCATCGAACGAACGGAAACAAATTCAAAGTACCTTTGGTCCGTTGCGGTGGACGTGCGAAGCGAGGTTGATGCCGTGCTCACGGCAGGATGGACGATAGGTCTATCGCTGGATTTGATCTGCCAACAAGTAGGCCTGAAAAAAAAGACCATGAAGAACATCACCGGACCCTAGGGAAGACGATCTTGTTCGTGACTAATATCAGCGCGCCGGTCGAACAGATAATTAATTCGAGCGGCGAAAATTTTCGTCGCGTATACACCAAATAATGATTCACAACATACTAAGAGAGCGGTCAACTTGAGCAATTAATATTCACTGAAGAAGGACGTACCTCATCTGTAGTTTGCCAGACGTCCGGAAACGAAACAATCAACTGAAACATACCTCCAAAAAACGAAATCATATACATTGGCAAGTTTGGGCAATTCCCTCTAGTGTCAACTCTGTCTACTGCCCTCCAAGCCCTCTTCTAAGTCTGGTCTTATGCACGAAGAAGTGTCCTATCCAGATCCAACACTCTGATAACGTCGTGGTACTTAATGTCATACTACATCAACACTATTCCGGCTAAGTACGAGAATTCCTCCTTCACATAAATCCTCCGAGGAGCTTTGCAACGTCTTGGCTGAAAAGCGCATGTGCGTCGCCTGGCAGGGCCCAATTGAGAAAGGAACTAGAAGCCCAAACAAGTTCACTTACTCGTGGGGTGGAGGCTATCGCTATTGGAAGGATAAGCACGAGACGATAAGCTGTGAATGCGAACCCTACTCACCGCCAAAAGAGACCATCAGCATCTCCATAGCTTGTCACATCCTGGAAACCATAACTGGTGGGATCATCCAGGATCGCCGTAAACGCAGCATTCGAGTCCCATATCCAAGTTTTAACCTATACAACCTGCATTGGCTTATACCGACACCACACCTGATACTAGCCAACATACATCACTATGGTTGGCCCCCAGAGCAGCAGCACGAGTTGCGAGCCTACTGTTAAACCCCTCTATCACGGATTTCTCGAGAGCCTGACTCGACGTCGATAGTGCGAGCGTCTACACCGAGTTGAGCTCGCGAGTTGTAACTCACATCCAAACACTCACGAATGGCGACCGGTCAAACGGAGGGACGTTCAGGAACAAAAAGTTCCTCGCGCCAACATTGCTGTGAGAAGATCAGTATATGTACCAATCCCTTCGAAGATGTGCACGAACTACTATAAATCGAGTCAGAGTAAATAAGAAGGAACGAACGAAAAAAAAACCAACGCACAAGCTCCTCCATAAGCGCGATATACGCATCCACCAGCGTATCTGAGAACCTAACCAAGGAATCAACATCGCCCCACCGTGACATTGCAGCATTGAAGACATACGCATCCCGATCACCCCCCAAGTAATAGGTATTCAGAATATCATTAATCCCAATCCAAACCGAAAACAACGTATTCTCGCTTGCCCACGGCGTAGTCGAAGGTCTAGCCGCATAGTTAGTCAGAAACTGGTTGACCTGGTCCGTGAGTGAAAGGATGGTAGGCAATTCAGGTGTCATAAGTCTGCGGAGATCGTTGCGCCTGCCCATCCATCACATTAAGTAGCGATCCGGTTGAGGTGGGAATTTGAACTCGTACCTCCATGCGCAAAGCTGTACGTCAACACAAGAGAGTTATTATCCATCGTCGTGAGATAATCCACCCAGTTTTCGCCTCCGGTCGATGTCTCACCAGGGTAGGGAGGGTTCCCCAGTGGGTTACCCACAGACGGGAGAGTCCTAGTAGTGTTGAATGCCGTTTGGGTGTACGAGTCACCGCTGGAGTTTCGGATAGTAAAATAAGAAGACTGGATTGGATTTGGGTTGGACGTACAAACTGAACCAGTAGTTCTGCGCGTTGGTGGTCCCTAGGACTGCTGCAAAGAGGAGAAGGTAGACTTGTGCTTGGGGGATCATAGGCAAACGTGGGGAAGGAATGCGAAGCGTTTTTCTTGGGAACCAGAACTCTTATACGTAGCACTGGTCCTGGTTAATTCCTGGAATAATAGCGGCGTTTCTCCGTCCAGGGCCTCTTGCAGCGTGGTTAGATGTTGTCATATCAACCGAAAGGATAGTATCACACATCGTCGTAGTGGTGGTTGGTCGAAGAATTAGCGATGTACAGGGCCTGGCCTGGCTGTTAGGGCTTGTGCTTGGCATAAGGTGGGCTTGGCTTGGGCTTGGGCTGGCTTTCGGGCTTGAGCAACCCCGTACATCGCTACAAAGAATTAAGATCGGCATTTCGGCACTATCCGGGCCGGTTAAGGGGGAAGATTAAAATTTTTGATGAACCTGAATTTTGAACATAAATGTAACATTTTCATTTGGGGTCAACAAACTTCGCATTTTGGAGGATCTAAATCCCATGCTGTCCGCCAGAGATAAATTTCGAGAACATGCAAATTTTATGTAAATTTTCTGCCAAGATCAACCTCTGAAAACGTAACTTTATTGTGCACATTCTGGTCTCCCTCAAATTCTTATCTGCCCAGTGTGCTCCGCCGGGCTTGCCTTGAAAGCTGCTATGATTTTGTCCACTCGATATCCATCGGGGAGCTTGTCGATACGGGCGGTACGCTGAGGACATGCAGTGGATAGCAGACGACGGGAACAGCCAAGATGCATCATGGCGGCGACCGAAGAAAAGTTATTAAACTTCCCACGCCACAGGCGCGTTTCCGAGGCCCCTAACTTGGATAAACCTCTTCATGTCAAGTTGCAAATGATAATTGGATAGCGCAAGTGGATCTCTTTTAGAGACAAGTTTGTTGTTAGAGGAAAGAATATGGCACCTATTACATTATCATGATGAATCGATTTTCTCCAGAATTTCGTTCTCACTGATCGATTTTCACAGATTTGGTCCGAGCGCGTCATACAGTACGCGCCATGGTCAGGTGAGTACGTCATAGGAAGAGGGCGGGCATATGTAAACACCGTTGATCCATCCCACTCCGGAACCACCCTCCAGATCTCATTCAGATATCCATGTAACAACTGACACGGACGTGTATATCTTCATAGAAAATCACTGAACTCTTGTGATCAAATAATTTGTGCCCTCCAATTTTTAACACGCTAACATACTTGCACTCGAGAAGGAGGAAGTATTACGCCCATTCAAATGTTACATCGACTACTATGAAGTCTCCCCCCCCTCAAATAAATCCTCCAAGGACATTTGCTACGTCCTGGCCGAAATACGCATGTGCGTAGCCTGGCAGGGCCCAATTGAGAAAAGAATTAGGAGCCCAAAGAAATTAACTTACTGGTGGGGTGAAGGTTATTACTATTGGAACTATAAGCACGAGACGATAAGCCGTGAATGTGAATCCTACTCACAGCCAAAAGAGACCGTCACCATCTCCATAGCTCGTCGCATCCTGGAAACCATAACTGGTGGGATCATCCAGGATCGCCGTAAACGCAGCATTCGAGTCCCACATCCAAGCTTTAACCTATACAACCTGCATTATTTTATACCGACACCATATCCGATACTAGAAAACGTACACAACTATAGTTGGCCTCCAGAGCAGCAGCACGAGCCACAAGTTTACTGTTAAACCCAGCTATCACGGATTTCTCGAGAGCCTGACTCGAGGTCGATTGAGCGAGCATCTACACCAAGTTGAATTTCAGCAAGCGAGTTAGAATTCACGTCCAAAAGCTCACCAGTGGCGACCGGTCCACCGGCGGGACGTTCAAGAACAAAAAGTTCCTCGCGCCAACCATGCTGGGAGTTGAACGTCAGATCACTACTAGACGCTTCAGAGATCGGAACCGACTACTGTAGTTGAGCCGAGTCAGATAAAGCTCAAGAAATAGCAAGCGAAATCACCGACGCACGAGTTTCTCCACAAGCGCGAAATATGCATCTAACAGCGTATCCGAGAACCTATAAAATAAACATAACCGTGATATCACATAGAGCAATACATACGCATCCCGATCACCACCCAAGTAATAGCTATTCCCAATATCATTAATCCCAATCCAAACCGAAAATAGCGTACTCGCGCTCGTCCACGGCGTAGTCGACGGCTTCGCAGCATAGCTATCCAGGAACTGGTTTACCTGATCCGTGAGCGAGAGGACGGTAGGATCGAAGGGCGCCACTAGGTCTGCGGAGATCGTAGCGCCTGCCCAAGATGTTAGCAACCGAACTTGACCGTTGAGTTGCGAATTTGAACTCGCACCTCCGACGCTAAGTTATACGTCAAAACAAGAGAGGTGTTATCCACCGTCGTGACATAGTCCACCCAATTCTGGCCTCCGGTCGATGTCCAACCTGGATAGGGAGGGTTCCCCAGTGGGTTACCCACAGCTGGTACGGTACCAGTGGTGGTGAACCCCGTTTGGGTGTACGAGTCACCGCTGGAATTTCGGATAGTCTAATCAACTCTCGGTAAATAAAAAGATTTTGAACATACAAACTGAACCAGTATTTCTGCGCATTGGTCCCTAGGACCGCCGCTAGGAGAAGAAGGTATACTTGTGGGAGCATAACAAATGTGAGGAAGGAAAGGAATACGAAACCGCTGAGCTCAGGAACTCGAACTCTTCTTATACACATCAGTCCTAGTTAGATTGAAGACGATGGCGATCATGTGGCGAAATTGTTCCCTTCGCATCCCGTATTTTATCCGAATTCCTGTTTGTTAGCCGCATGACTGGTTGCCCGGCGTGTTGAAGAAGCAAATGCAGCTGATCACCAGTGCAATCAAAAGCGAATCCGAGGTCAAAGCGAAACTGGAAGTAATCCATCGCTACCAGTAATTCCCGGAATCATAGCGATGTTTATCCATTCAGGGCCCCTTGCAGTGGTTAGACGTTGGTATATCAATGAAAGGATAGTATCATGCATCGTCGTCGTCGTCGTGGTTGGTGCTCGAAGGATTATCCTCAAAACCAATCGGCATTTCGGCACGAGTCGGGCCGCCTTCCGACAGATTAGGGGTTGGAACTTGGCTCTACTCTTTTTACCCTTCAAGTTCAAATGCTACATACCAGTCTCCGAGTTCCCTCAATGAGATACTTGGGCTCCTCCTGATTAAAAAAAGATAAATTACCTACATAAGAGCTGCGGGACGGGCCATGAAGCGACATGAGTCTATCATTTAAGCACATACCAGATTGTTCTAACTTCTGACTCTTGTTGTAATTCAGATTTGAGTGACCACTCTCTAAATTTCAAGTTCGAGCAAAGATACAACGCGAAATTAAGAAGCCCTTTTATACCTCCGAGTTCATATCACCGTAATAATGTAAAACGTTGAACATCAGGATTAGAACCAGCAGTTCCGTCGCCAAGTTTGCCGTCCACTTAAGCTCAACATCGTGCTTGAGAGCCTCCTAGATAAATGTTTCATCGACCTGACTGCCTACGAGCTGTCCCACAACGGTGGCGGGATCAGGCTTGTCCAGTTTCTTGACCCTCCTACTAATTGTCGCGTTACCGTTCACGATCGTGTCGACACCACGGGTGTATAGAACTAGCGTTGATTTATGTGGCCGAAGTTGAACGAGGTTGATAAACTGGGGGCTGGACGAATTCAGAACATAGGGTGGCGCCACGTTGTAATATCGTGTGCCATCCCGGCAGTGCTGTGGTCGCAGTCCTCGCGGGAGTTTGAAGAAAAGCTCCGTCGAGAATTCTGCCGGTAGCTTGAGCGCGTAGCCACCCAAACCTGTAAAGATAGAAAATGTGAATACGGGAGAAGAAAACATATTGAGCCAGTGGCATAGCTCGAGTATAAGGAACAGTACCTAGTAGCTGGTCCTTCTCCATGATAGTGTCCTTCTCCTCCGAGGGATGCATCATGGCAATGTTCGGGTACTCCTTTGGAGTACCCGTGTTGTGGAGGGTTAGCAGTCCCTCGCCGTATCCAGTTCCATCGTCGTCTTCATAGGCTAGCACTAATCGAACATCAGAATAGCGCACCTTTGGGTGGAGAAGAACAACAACATACCAACAGTCGAATTACCCAGTCCAGCCACCCATAAGTTGTCCCACTCCTCGTCGGAAGTACTCTGGCACATCGTACGACTACAACACGATCTGTAGACCGAGCCCGACGACTGGGAAGACTTCATGCGAAGTAGGAGGAACGGGGACACTCAGAACCATTGCTCCCGTCGCGATGAACCTATCAATGATATATACAACAATACGCCACCGGTCACCCCATCGAGGTTGGCAGCGACGATACTAAATCTCCCAGATCAGCCTCACCACTGGCACGAGGCGTACCAAGCAACTTCTCCGACGTTGCAGCCGCCGTTTCACTTTCTCGATACAGGACACTGTCGGATTCACTCCTCAACGCTGATGGGACCGTTTACGAAGGGCCGATGGAACTCGCCTACCATCAGCAGAGGAATTTTCGGGCAAGCGAGCAGGGAATCCAAAAGCCGTAGCTACGCTTTTTATTCAGTCTTTTGAAGCAACTTTATAACGGTGCCAGACCAACCTTTGATATCACCTAGACCTGTCCATACACTGCAAGAAGGGAAATGTGACCCGGGATCGTCGCACCAATCCCGATGAACCGCTGACCAACTCCATAGTGACTACAGCATATACGTCGCCGGGCGGTCCGGTCGACGACAACACCAAGCTAATCGGATCGTCTGTCTCTGCCTGACCACCGGCGCTACGCCTACCACGCAGATTATCCGACGTTCTGACCACCTCTCTCACCCTAGATGCAGAATACTCGGGCAGGTTTGTTCCGCTACGGGCACGAAATGTCGACGCATTCGCATAGAATCCGGGCGAGCAACGTTGAATAACGAATATCTCGCAACTATAATTGCATTAGGTTCTTTGAAAAATAATAAGAGTGTCAGACCAACCATTGGCGGCTCCCTAGGCAAGCAAGCCATCATCGCATCGGTTGGTATCGGGCTCGCGCTACATGAGCAACCTTTCCCATGAGAGGCGGTAACAGCGAGCCTTGTAGGCAACACTGGTTAAGGACGTTGTCGACGTCAAAAGAATTACTGGCAGCAAGTTCTGTTGTCGTGGTGGAAGGAAAGAAAGAAGAGGTGAGACGGCGTGCCGTCACAGTCACGACCTTCCTTCTTACTGACTGCGACCCCACTTAATGTTTGATGCTCCTTTCATCCTCCCTCCAGACCTTGGACGCTGTCTACAATGTCGAGTTGTACTGAGGAAAGAATGGTATGTTTCTTGCTCCCGATGTCGCCTTGTTGACTGGCGGAGTTGAACGTCCCGCAGGTCTGACTCGCGTCTGCTCCACTGGTTTCTTCCACATTGATGGGAATACAAAGTGCATATATGCTGGCTAGACAACGAGAATAATGCTGTTTAAATTCCAAGCCGCAACCTGGTGCGTCGTTCGTGCACCTCCATCTCTTATGCGCTTTTACAGTCTTCCGTAGGTCTTGACACGAAACTTTTGGTCTCAATATGACGGCTTCCCGCTGTGAAGGCTACTATGCACTGAACAATGAACACGAAGGCGTCGACGGGCCTGGTAATACGAAGGATCCAAGCTCGATACACGCCTATCGGCGCCAGATCCAACACCATCTTTGCTAGGATTTCTCATCTCCTCAGCCTCCGCATATGCGATCTGAACGTTAGCCACCATGCGATGTGCTTTCCCCGAAGAGAAAAAGTCAAACAAAGAAGAAAAGATCGTCGTCGAGGCAACTTCCCGGTGCAAACAGCAGAACAAATAATCGCACGTCCACGGCATGCTCCGAGCGGTATTTTGACTAGATTTAGATGCGTCTTTTTGTATTCATAACTAGTTGTGTTCTCTTGTAAGGGCTGTTGGAATGTCAAGTGTCGCGCATCATGGTGCAGTCGACGTCGGGATCTTCAGTAGGAAGCACCGTTCATCTGTTCTCCTCCTCGGCTTTCCTTATTACATCATATTGCTTCTATTAGTGTACACGGCATGTAGATAAATAGGTAGACGAACGACGATGACCCTCGCCTGTTTGCGAGGGTTCCCTGCTATATCCGGGTGAGCGGCTGGAGAATTACCGCTTATCTCAACAAGGGCTGCGTACATGCTAGTAGGTATTCTCCCTCTTAGAATATTGTCAGAAATGCTCATAATACTTAGTGGCAGTATCAGGAGCACACGATCATTTATTTTCCCCAATTGTGATTTCCTATTAGCTAGCAAGTGACAACTGGGTTCATAGTGACGCGTCATTCTGACCGCTCTGGATTAAGTATAGGAAGCGGTTTTAACTGAAATTTCGGATTTCGCCTACGGTCACGGATAATCTCGAGTCGGAAAGTACATACGGTCACAGCTAGCATCGACCTATGAATGATAGCTAATTCGTAGTGTCATCATCATTTTCTAAACGTTAAACTGTAATATTACATGAACTTCGATACCTTTAAATGATGGGTATATTTCCGACGTCGTACTTCACACGACACCATGATCTATAGAATTCGACGTCCTGAAGACTCGGCATGCCGAATGATCTTCTACGTCCTCCAGACCATTCTCTAAGTCAGGTGTTATGCACGGAGATATGTTCGATTCAGATCCAGCACTCATTTCAAGGCTGTCACTCTGCGAACTTGAGCGACTTTTGAATCGAAGTGATGATACTGTGGTAGGTTCGTTCCAGGAGTCATCTGGGCGTGCATGCCCTGCTGCAACGCAGCCAACCAAAATTGTTGGCACAATTCCCTAGAAGAGACATTGTAGTCGCGACAGGAAAAAAAAACAAACGGGTCGGACGTACTCTCATCACAACTGCCAAATCACTGATGTAAGCCATCGCTGGCCCATAATGAACCTCGAACACTAACAGAGCGACTATGATGGCAGAATAGAGAGACGTGGATTCCACAAGTATCTCTATCACTCTGCGATACACGCGCATCCCTGCAGCAATACCGCCCACTTTCAGAATACGATACACAATGAGAATCGTGCACCATAGCAAAGTGGCTAATATGAGTGAGACGTAAATGGCACCCCAGTTTGCAGTATTCTCGAAATAGAGGACACGGGGTGGTATATCATCGAGAGAATCGAAAGCAAAGCAATAAGTCATGATCCCTCTGATGACTGGGTTTACATTATGTTGATGAGCCGTAAACTCTTGAGTTCTGAATTCAAAGACATACTTATCGCCAAGGTAGTGCAAGCAATCGGAAAAACCACAATGCGCCACGACCGACCCCACACAGTCCAGCAGCGCCATGTCTAGAAATTCATGAGCAAGGACTCGCGGAAAAACAACCATTGAATCCCTGCCAAAGTAGCATCAGCCAAAACAGTGCTGAGAATTGCGCCGATGGATTCAGTCAATTGGATGGGAAGGCGGACGCTAGTATGGATTTCCTTCCAAAAGGTTTCACCGTTATCGATAAACATTGTGATGCTTAGTGCCCAGTCGAAGCAGAAGTCGACCACCCCGAGAAGATACAACAGCAGGACGACGGGGACAAGAAAATACAGCCTTCTATTATTCCGGTGGCTGTTTCCTGAAGCTAGACATACCATCCGACAGTCAGAGGGTTGCGCATAAAAAGAAACAAAATGTGCAAACCGACAGTCCGCAAGGTAACGACTACTATTCCGGTATAGATTCCTTCAAAAGAAACTGGTTAACTGACACTTCCTTGAGTCGCGTGAATTTTATTGATCTTACCATATGTCAATGCCTGAAGCATTATCGAGTTGAATTGTTCATCTAGTTCGAGAAAAGCGTCCTTGATTTGGCTGTCGCTTAGCTCTGGTAAAGCAATTCTGGGATATTTTCTAGCGATCATGACGGTGACTTCGAAGCCAGATGAAAGAGGGGTATCGTTTCTTGTTGTCGAGCCACCAGTTCGTTATATAGTAGAGCACGAGATCGAATTCGTTTTGATGTGAAGTACAGCCAATGTGCCGTACATTTACCATTGGATGAGGAGGCGCCATTAATAACCTATTCTGATATTGATTATAGGATGGATGGATGATAAGAAACTTCAAAACGGAAGTAAGTACCCCCATTTGTATCATGCGAAAAATGCCATTGAATTCGAACTGGAGCGCCTATAAACGAGACGTCAAATTTTTGTTCTGCTAGCTGAGCTAAGTGCTCGACGTAACAGTTTTCCAGCACTATTATACGGACTTTCCAACTTGACAGAGGTAAAACCGAGGACGAAAGGCAGGAAGAACACTAGCACGCGGAAGAGGACTGGGATGCCATTCTTCGAAGACCTTGGGACTACTGCATCATAACGATTTTTCCGCCGGCCAGCAGATGATGGTGGCCAAGAAGGCCAAGAAGCATGGAGCATTATGGCAATCAAGAACGAACACCGAGACTAGAGATGGCCACGAGCCGGCTGCAAAGGTCATACCGGCTCGGAAATTCGCTGAGTCGTTATGTTACGGTACAGCAAAGCATTGTTAAAATGCTGTCTTTTGAACAGATAGGGAGTGGTAGTGGCATTCGAAATTGTTCCCTAGTAAGATGAAGGAAGGGGCCGCGGTAGCCGAAGTAGTGATTGAAAGAAGCAGTAGAAAACACCTGTTTGATCGGAAGAGCTCGAACTAGATGTGCTCCGCATACACGCTATTTTTGTACTGACTCGCGATTTCTAAGTTCCATCATACCATCCTGATTTTTTCTGAACCTTCGACAAAGCAAAGCTGCTCATTATATCTTGTGAATTTTCCCCTGTGCGTAATCTTCGCCTCTTCAAGAGCAAGGTGCGTCTTCTGAGTTGAGTGCCTTTAGTGTCGACCGTAGACATTGGGTCTGTGCAAAATAGGCTGGATCCAATGCTGCCAAGGCCAAGAGGAAGCTGATTTAGCTTGTCGATCAGAGGCTGGGGCTGTGTTCGTTCCATCTGCGATTCGTCCAGCCTCACACGACTCAATGCAATACCAGTTCCCTACGCTGTGATACAAATCTACACCGCACTTATCCATGAAGATTGTGGCACGCTAGTATGATGCACTTTATTGCCCGCAGGCTGCCGGTCGGCAACTGCTTTTTGATGTCATAAATACATTGCAATGCGTTTGTGAGAACGGGAGACCTCGCTGTTACCACATACCGGTTGTCTAATTTCTAACCTCGGCGGGATGAGGTACCCAGCTTATTACAGAATAATTTCTGCAAAGGTTCGGATAAGAATGTCATGGAAGTTGTTGGTCTTCATGGTGTAGCCACATATCATCGCAGCTTGAGCCTCAGTATTCCGAATTAACTTCAATTATGTAAGATGGGGCTGTTGTCCGAAGCGAAGCCATAAGAGTGGCGACGACTTAAAGAAGAATAAGAATCTTATTAAATGCAACTACGGTCAGCCCTTGACCATGCTTCGTCGATTTGGGTGCCTCTTATGCTTTTTGCTATAATGAGCTCGTGCAAAAGGTGCCACAAATGCGACACACTACTACGACATCCTTGATCGCTTCAGCTGGCCACCACATGCGTTACAGGTCCAGGACGAGAGGGGACATTATACTTTCAGTGCCGATGACTTGGGGAGGTATCAGTACCCCGTCAAATGCAGTGTAGGACATCCCTGGTATCGTTTGAGGATATGTAATACTTGATATCGAAATGTGACGAACATTCTGAAAGATCCTTTAGGATCGCTAATTAGGAAGATGCATCAAGCAATGCGTGTGAAGGTCAACCGTTTCCGATCTTTCCCTGACGAAGGTGCCACTGAGGATACCAAAGTTGTCAGCAGAGAGTCCCGTCACAATGTGCAGGAAGAGATGGTACTTAGATAGTCGTGTTTTACAAGCCTCATATCCGAGGCAACATTACGTAAATTCGTTATCACGGTGGATTATGTGAAGCGAATTTGATGGTGTACCAAAGGATTGGCTGCGAGGTCTGTTGCGGGGATTTGGCCAGTGGGTATGAGGGCATGAAAGTGAAAAGACGATCAAGGAGATCATCACCGGCAGAAATCCTGATGACGGTCCTGTTCGAGTCTGATATCACCTTGGCGAACCAGTTGAGGAATGAACTCAAGTGCGAAACTAAGAGCGTTCAGCCTGAGCACATAATAATCACTGAAGGACATACTTCGGTTGTGATTTGCCAGACGTCCGAAAGGAAAGCAAAGACTCGTGAATACCCTGTTTGATCTGTGCATATGAGAACCAGGCGTTTCTGTGCATACTCTTCAGATACTTATCAGAAGCACCAAAAGAAATCGAACGCACCTTGTTCCATTGCGGCGAACGTGTGGAGCGAGGTTGACGCTGCGCCACAGAAATAAACGCTATATCAATAGCGGGCATTTATTTGCCCTGTTCCCCAGCCGATACGGGGGCCAACAAAAGAGTAGTTCGTGGAGACAGACTTCCAGCGAGTTCGTGATATGAAAGGCGATCCTATCCGTGTCAGACATTTGGCGAGGTGTTGGTGTTGGTAGTCGAAAAGAAAACTCGAGAGCGAAATTTCGTCGTTCGTACACCAAGTAATAATTCGCGCCAAACTGAGAGAGCGCTCAACCAGAGTACTTAATATTCTACGACGTACGACGAAAAACATACCTTGGTTGTGGTTTGCCAGACGTCCGAAAACAAAACAAAGGCTCATACCTTCAGGGTTCATAATTTGTAATTAGTCCAACACCCACAAAGTAATCAACGCTCACCTGCCAACTTCCAATATGAACTCCACTCACGAAATCGAAGAGTGGGAGGCTCTAATGTCCGAAGTACGCGACTGGACTTATACCCTGAGTACGATCGCGTATGTTGAGGAATCGCCACTGACCGCCACATCGCAGATCGGGGTGTTTGACTTTAAAAATGTCGAGGTGTTGAGGGAGAGGGATGTATGGGCGTAATAGCGTGCAAAAATTCACGTTGGCGCAAGTCGCGTTTTTCCGCTCGCAAGTTGGTTATAAGCCCCCAGGTTCGCTTATATCCTTCCGCAAGTTAGTAGTTTTTTCGCAAGTTTGCTATTGGATATAGCTTCAGAATAAGCAAAGCCTAGGCTGTAATATACAAATCTCCGTCCAGCCGTCCGGATACCCGACAATTGGTCACGAAAGATATGAACACTAACATTCTGGGAAGGAATATGGTACCTATGCTGTTCAGCAGGCCATGTCGTGAACCCTTGAACCCTCTGAAATGACGTTCTCAGTGCGCCCCACTGAGTTCGATCTATCGCTGTCTTGCAGAATTCCGAGCATTCAAATCTATAAGGGAGTACTGTCTAGACTGAGTCTGAGCGGCTTTGAATCCAAAGATCAAACACCCAAAGGAAATGTATCTGAATTCATCACTGAATAAGTGATGGAGAAGTAGGTAAAGATGAATAGAACGCTGGAGGAATTCGGGCCATTATGGCAATGGCGGAATGACGAGTGTCAAGCACCGAAATAAAATAATGTCGGCCGGTTCAGTGGCCACCTCGTCCCGATCCGAACACGCGCCCCCAGATCTTATTCAGAGATCTATGGTAACAAATGATGCCGGTGTGTACATCACTATAGGAAAACACTTAACTTGCAGGAGGGACGCGAACTTGTGCACTTAAAAGTAACTTGCGACTGGAAAAGATTTAACTTGCATTTGTCGGATTTTTTGCACGCTATTACGCCCATAGGGATGCGATGTTACTAGCCTGCGAGGGTGAGGTTTTGGTGAGCACGTCGTACTCAATTACAAAACTAGAGAACTCATTGGGAGTGGAAAAATCATTCTGCCATTGTCGTTCGGGTTACGGCCTGCAGGAACAATATTCCTATCGTACCGAGCCATGCGCCGCCTATACACCCTTTCGATTCTCACCGAAGCTTGCTCGCGATCCTGAACAACAAGCCATATGTCCCCGGCGAGATCCCAAAAGATGCGCCGACCCTGCGTACTGGTGAATACATTAGATGGTTCCTCTTAACCCTCCTCGGAAATTTTCGCTACGACGATAGGAAGGCCTGGGAAGAGCGGGAGGTATTCTGGCGCCGCGTACAGCTCCAACACGATCCGCACACCGAACCTGACGACTGGGAGGACTTCATGCGAAGCAGAAGGGACGAAAAGACCCAGAACTGTCGCGCCAGTCGCGACAGACAAACCAACACAATATACGACAATATGGCATCGGTCAGTCCGTCGGGGTTGACGACGACGACGCCAAATCTCTCGCCTCAGCCTCATCACTGGCACGAGGCATTCCAAGCAGCCTCGCCGACGCTATATCCACCATTTTCCATTCTCGATACCGGATATTCGGTCGGGTTCCTTCTTCCACGCTGATGGGTCCTCTCACAAGAGGATGTTTCGGGAAAGCAGGTAGCAAAGCGGACATAGCTATGATTCCATTCATTTTTTTTGCAACAATTACAATGGTACTGGACGCACCTTTGATATCGCTAGGACGACGAGCAAGACATCTCCCCATTGCAAGTAGGTATCGGGTGAACGCTCCAAGGGCGCTCCAAGAGCAACCTTTTTCATGCTAGGCGGCGACAACGAGCCTCGTAGGCAACACTTGGTGAGGTCGTTCTCGACAGGGTAAGAGTCGCCAACAATGAGTTTGGTTATCGATGGTCGTGATGGAAGGAAGGAAAGAAATCGGACGATAGTTTATCGTCACGGTCACGGCCTTCCTTCCTCCCGGCAACTATGAATAACTTCCTTCCGCTCAACATTGCTACCTTTTTCTGCTGAACCTCCCTTCCCGAGTAATTTTGGCGCTGTCTACAACGTCGAAGACCAAGGAGTGGTACGTTTTCCGCTACATACCAGTGTCGTTTCGTTGCTGATCGGCGAGAACATCCTGATTTCCGTAGATCCGTCATTTTTACGTCTTCTCTACTGGCCATTTTCACGCTGGCGAGTATTCAAAGCGCATATATGCGGGTTTGCTGCCCAAGATATTGCAGAGCGGGTGCATCGTTTGGACAATTTCAATCTCTTATAGTTTAAACGCCTTCTTCAGGTCTCGACATAACGTCTTTCAAGTTGGTCCGAATATGACGGCCTGATGGACAGGCCACTGCACGAACTCGACGATGATGGCGCCGCTAGGCTAGGCTAGGCAGAGTATCAAATCCTGTGCATACAAACCAGCCTGAGGTTCACCTCTCCCAGGATTACATTCGCATATACGCATCTGTAACTCCGGCAAATTTGGCTGGAGCTTGAAGAGTGAAGGACATTGTGAGTAGATAAAGGTCGAGCAATGAGGAAGTGATCATCATGTTGCGCCTTCTCAGTGAGTCACTCGTTCTGGTCATCCTTTACTGCCTGTCATGTTACCTTTCTCCGGGTTTCGAGACGATAACTCCGGCCAAGATGAGTCGGCGTCCTGACAGTGACAAAATAGATCACGGTGGACGGCCTTGGACACCATAAATACAGTGTTTCGAGGTCGCTACTTTCCTCCCCAACTGGATGCGCACTAATAGATCTGATATTCAGCCGAATTCGCCACTGATTGTGCGTGAGTAAGAATGATATCCTCGCCAATAGCACAGGATTTTGAATATCGTACTCGTTTGTACCGTGCCCTGGATTTATGCTGCGGCACCCCGATAACAACCTTTCCGGTGGTTTCTAACTCGATAATTGCCCGAGTCGTACATTTAGTGGAGGTGAATACGCTCGTTTTTCCCAGATTCGTACTGATAGCCTGTAATTGGACAGAAACACAAAACGTTTTGTTTCCAAACATTTGACTTGGTTAGTCGTCTCAGAGTCTCTCTCTTTCTGCGAGGCTAACTATCCTAACTATAGATTTGGGCATATTTTTGACTTACGAAGGATACTCACATACAAATCTCATGATGTTTCCTTTTACTTGTTTGACAAACCGTTTACAGGATGTAGCTGACCGTTACCAAATTAAAAGCCTAGTTCACCCAAACCAGCCATGTCCTGAAGAAGCGGGTCGAATGACCGAGAATGTGACCACGTTTCCTCCAATTTCAACCCCGCGTACTGCCTTCCAAACCCTCTTCTAAATCAGGTCTTACATGCGAAGATGTGTCCCATCCAGACCCAGCACTCATTTGGCTATCAGTCTGCGAATTTGAATGGCTTCTAAATCGAAGCAAAGACCATCGAAGTGAAGACCCGGTGGTACTTCCACTCCAGGAATCGTCTGGGCGCGCATGTCCTGCTGCAACACGACCGACCAGAACTGTAGGTGCGATTCCCTGGAGGTATTGTAATCACAAGACACAAATTGGAGTGGGTTGGACGTACTCTCATCGCAACTGCCAACACTTCGACGTAAATTCCAGCTGCCTTGTTACGGACTTGGAACATTAGCAAAACGGCGATCAAGGCAGAGTAGAGAGATGCAGATTCAACAAGAATCTCTATCACTCTGCGATACACGCGCATCCCTGCGGTAACGCCGCCCACTCTCAGAATACGATAAATGATGAGAATGGTGCACCATAATAAGGTGGTCAATATGAGCGAGGAGTATAAGACGGCCCAGTTGACGGCATTCTCGAGGTATAGGGCTTGGGATGGCGCATTTTCGGCATGCCTAAAAGCGGTGTAATAAGTTACGATCCCCCTGCTTACTGGTTTACGTTAGTTGTAAAACATCGGGTTTATAAAGTCAAAGAACATACTTATCGCCAAGGTGGTGCATGCAATCGGAACGAGCACGACTTGCCATGATCGACCCCAGACAATCCAGCAACGCCATATCTAGGGATCATGAGCAAGGACCCTACGAAAACAAGCATCAAATCACTTACCAAAGTCGCATCGGCGAGAACTGTGCTAAGAATTGCGTCGATTCCCTCAGCCAATGTGATCGGAGTGCCAAATTGATAATTATATGCCGTCCAAATGCTTTTCCCATTAGTAATGGAGATATTTGAGATTTCCACATCCCATACGTAGTAAAGGTTGAATGTCGCCAGGAGGTAAAGAAGCAAGATGATAAAAACAAGAAAATGTGGCACGGTTCTTTGAGAATTCTGGCCACGGTTATTTCTTGAAGCTAGACATCGCAGTCAGCGAGATGAATATCAAAAGAAATGGAAAGTAGAGAACAACAGCCCATAAAGTGACAGCGACTACTCCGGTGTAGAATCCTTCGAAAAACTATGGATGACTAGCATTCCCTTGTGTAAAATTTAATTTCTATTACCATGTGTTAATGCACCAAGCATTGTGGAGTTGAGTTGCGTCTCTAGATCGAAGAAAATGTCTTTGATCTGGCTATTTGTTAGCTTTGGTATGTCAGTCCCTGGATATGTTCTAGCGATCATGGTAGTGGCTCCGAAGACAAACGAAGGATGTATGCTTCCCAGCCATCAGCTCGTTATATAGTAGAGCACGCGATCAAATCCGTAAATGATGGAAGGCACAGCAAATATAGTATTGTTCATTCACTATTGGACGAAACTGATATCCGATATGCTGCTTAAGATATAAATTTTCAATAGGCTTAGTAGGTAATGAAACACTGGAAGTAAGCGCTCATCTGTTTTATAACGATGCAAGAAAGCCCAAACTGAAGCGTGTACAAATAAGACCCCGAAAAGTGTTCCACTAGTATGAGGGTATTGAGAGCTCTAATAACAAGTTTTCAGACCTTATAACGAGGGCTGGCCAAAGTGATAGTGAGAGAGGGGGCAGGAAGACCATGCTGAAGAGGTGGTGTTCGAAGACCTTGCTTGGGATTGCCGCATCAGAGTCAGTGATTCGGAGTTGCCAGTGGATATGATGAGTCTCAGGAACACAGAAAAGGATATGTACTAGAAAAGAACGAAGGCTCAGGAGACGGGATAGACCTACTAATCCTGAACTGGTCCCACCACATCAGAAAAGCTGGCATTCGAACATATAAGTAGGACTCAACATTATTTCCCGAAAGACCAAAAAAGCTACCGTCAGTCGGAACGATTGATTGAAAGTAGCCTTGGAAACAAAGCCGAGAACGAGGACGACGCAGAGGCGCGCGGGACCGTAATTGATGTCTTCTTGATTTGGGTATCAACACTTTTTTTTTCTTGATTCACCCAACTGGATTCCACCACGTTACGTCGCAATTTTTAAGTCTCCGAATCGAAGTACCCCTAATATTATCTTCAGAGATATTATATTATGGGGCATAGTCCTCGCTTCATCGTGGCGGCTTCGTTGAGTCTGACGCCGACTAGTATTACCAAATGAAAAGCTGATCTTCACACAACACTGCAATCTATAAGCACCTTCCAGTCCTAACTCTCCACACTGTCTTCCAAGCCGTTCTCCAGGTCAGGCATTATACGCTGAGACGTGTCTGATTCAGATCCAGCACTCATTTCAAGGCTGTCACTCTGCCAACTTCTGAATCGAAGCGACGACGTTGTGGTAGTTTCGTCCAAGGAGTCGTCTGGACGCGCATGCCCTGCTGCAATTCGGCCGACCAGAATTGTTGGCATAATTCCCTAGTAGAGAGTATAGTCATGACACGGAAAAAAGATAGAAAGAGTTGGATATACTTACTCTCATCGCAATCGCGAACTCCTCGATGTAAACTCCGACTACGTCATTATGAACTTCGAACACTAGCAGAACGATTATTACGGCGGAATAGAGAGACGCGGATTCTACAAGCATCTTTACTACTCTGTGATACACGCGCATCCCTGCAGAAATACCACCCACTCTGAGAATACGATAAACAATGAGAACCGTGCACCAGAGCAAGGTGGCTAGTATGAGCGAGGAGTATAGCACGGCCCAGTTGACAATGTTCTCGAGATACAGGACTCGGGGTGACATATTTTCGATAGGTCCGAAAGTGGAGTAATAAGTTATGATCGCTCTGCTGACTAGGTTTACATTGATGCTGATAAGTCGTAAATCACCGGGTTCAAGTATTAAAGGACGTACTTATTGCTAAGGTGGTACAAGCAATCGGAATGAGTACAACGCGCCATGTCTGACCACAGACAGTCCAGGAACGCCATATCTAGGAAACCATGAGCGAGGACACGGCAAAAAACAAATATTGAATCTCATGCCAAAGTTGCGTCAGCCAATACCGTGCTCAGAATTGCATCGATCCCCATAGTCAGTAGGATAGGAGTGTCCTGAGTACGGTTATACATGTATTCCTGCGAAAAGGATTCCTCGGTGGTGGGAAAACATGAGAAATTCTGTGCCCATTGGCAGTAAAGGTTGAAAGTCGCCAGAAGATACAAAAGCAATATGACAAAAACGAAGGGACGCGGCCTTCCATAATTGCAGTTGTTATTTCTTGAAGCTAGACATACCGGTCAGAAACGAGTGCATCGAAAGGATGGAAAAACAGACCAATGGTCCACAAGGTGACGGCTACTACTCCAGTGTATATTCCTCCAAAAAAATTAGTTGAATAATGTTCTCTAAGTTCCGAATTCTCTTACCATGCGTCAACGCAGTAATCATTACCTCGTTGAATTGCGCATCTAGACCAACAGAAATATCTTTGGTCTCAGTGTCGGTTAGGTCTGCAGTAGTCCCGAGATATGTTCTAGCGATCATGGGAATAATTCTGAATACAAACGAGAAGCAATTCGCGTCTTGATTTTACCAAACAATAGAGTAGACGACGAAGAAAGATGGTTCAAATTCGGTGTTGTTGTGTCCATCTCATTATATACTAGGGCAGCATGAGATCAGATCCGTGCTGAGGTGCAGTCATGCGTCATCGCGCGAGGGTAAGCGGCGATAATGACATTGATATCTGTCATGCGAGTTGAGATATCTGTATCAATATTCAGTTGACGTTCATGAGCAGTAACGGACATTGGGGTAACTACACCGTCTGTTTTATGATGGTGTGAGAAAGCTGATTGAACGTACACCCATGCCGTGTGCAAATTTCAAGATGGACGTAGAAAATTTGCTCTATTGAGTTGAATGATGGGATTCAGTAGCCGATAAGCACGGAGCTCGCAGACGAGAAAAGAACGACATGATAGTCCGGAGATGGACGGCAAAACCAGGAGTAGTGACCGCTTTGAGGCATTAGGCGCTGAACAAGTTCCAATGAGCATTTTTCTCGTTTTCGAACACAGACAGCAGACTCTTAAGTTATTTCTCAGTAGGTTATAGACAAGATGAAAAATGCGCCGTCAGTTGGGGACGGTGGTTAAAGAAAGCCCCGGGAAAGATCAAGAGCGAAGACAAGCCACATGCCGGACCGTAGTTGATGTCTGCTCGATTGGGTGCTCGGAGCTATTTTTGTATGCTGACTCGCCAGACCAGATTCCATCAGTCTTCGGAGCAGAGTAGCTCCGCCATTATCTTGTCGAGATGTGGTCTAGATGAATTTGTGCGCATTTTAGCAGGCAGCAACAACGGCTCACGGTGTCCCCTCTGTAGCATTGCAGTTCACTGTGTTCACTGTTAATTGTCTGCTGAGTATGGACATTAGACCTACAAGAAATAGACGTCTAGATCGCAAGCCAATCGTACTAAGACCAAGGAGACGCCGATCTAATTTATCAAACGGAGGCTGAGGCTATGTTCTTTTGGCACATCTGTCAGTAAACACCGAACGGGCGCTGTTGGCCTTGGGCTCGACATATGGGTGTCATAACCGTGTTGTTGAGAGCTAGCTAAATTGACAGCTGTCGACGAACATGTGTATGGTATGCACCACTGGACCACTTAGGAACGAAATTAATTGACGATTTGAAGACTGAGTACTGAGTACTGAAGCCCAGTCAAACTCCATGGGTTTGAGTCGATGGCAGTGTATATCAGTTGATAAATCGATGGAAACCCGTAACTAGCTAAGAATGGGGTATCCTATGCTTTTGCGATCGCTACCTATGGATGTCCTTCGATGCTCATAGATTATTGTCGGTGTGCATCGTTGTACATCGATAGGAATCAATAGACACGTATTCATTTGCTCGCTACCTATATACATTAGCTACAGCGGCTAGCTACAGGTCCAGACGTCCACCACCTATCGAACTCCCGTTCCACCACATACTCATCCCTTGCCTCCCACCTCGTCAACCGGCTACACGGTGCATACATAATTCTGGTCGAGTGCTACCATGGGAGTAGTCTTAAGAGCCAACCTGAATGACTGTAAGCAGATACCCGTAATGTAGAGCTTTAACATACCGCATCCAAGGCGGGAAAGGGCGCGGCCAACGAAAGTGCGTCATGTGTAGCAGCCTGGAGTTGACGGGCACCAAAGTTCGCACCTGGAAGTCAATCAATACCAGGCAAAAAGGTGATAACTTCGCACCTAGAAAAAGCGAAATGGAAGAGATGACGTGAATATATAGCACCGCCAACGGCCGTGAAGTCAACCTAATGCAGCATAATGGAGAATAAGACAACGAAATGGAGAGGGTTATAAGCAGACTCACCATCTCCTTCAACTGAATCACGTCCAATCTCCTCATCACCATCAACTACGAATGAAGATGCTGATTATATGCGGTTGCCTTGGTGCCTTTCCGGATCGACAGGGCCGTTTCGATGAGCTGGACGCCGTCGGCAGCATCTAGGCCATGTAATCACTGCAAATGAACTAAGAGGTGACGGTATTCTGCGGGAATGGTAGCGCAGCAGGAAACAGCAATATGCCGGGCGATGGTCATGATGGTAAAAGGGAAAGTGTGTTCGGACTTTGCCGGGAGCGCCAGCCCCACGTTATCACTTGCGTGCATGCATACACTAAAAAATGGTTGGCAAGTTTACCAGCACTTGTGGCCCAAAATCCTCAAAGGTCAAAAATCTATGGCAGTTGGAGAGTATGCTCGTCCAAGGGCATCCATGAAGGACCTCTGCATGTCCCCAGGCATCGATGGATCGACCAGTACCCGTGGAAATCTACCCAGGCCTCCAGACTTTTGACTGGGACTGAAGGTTGAATGAAAAATTACCTTGCGCAGTAGGATATCCTCAGTCCATTCAAAGATTTGGGTTGATGGCCCTATATGCGGTAGGGTAGTGCACATGGTATGACGCGACCCAGAAACACTAATAATTACTGGTACGCAAAGCCCTTTGTGCCCACAGATGGGGAATGTCTTGGCGACCATTGATCTTCATGAAGCATCGGAGATCGCAGTCATTTGAATCAAGATGGTTGGATCTACATCAGAACCGGCGCTTTGAAGAGGTGTCGAGTTAGATCGTCATAAAATGCGGTACAGGACACGTGTAGTATCATTTCGGGATCAATGGCCGAGAAGATTTTCATGTTTTGCTCATAGTTGCAGCTAGAGGTAAAAGAATAGCCAAGTCAAAATCCATTTCGGAGGCCTCAAAGAGTACATACGGGAAAAGTCCTACAAAAAAATCCAATGATCGTACATGTCCGAAACGAACGAAGTCATAAACATCCACTACCTAGTAATAGACGTTCCAGTACGAAGAACTATAGTACACCCAATCGTCGACCCAGTCATCCTCACAGTCGTCTTCCCAGGTCGTGATATCAACGATCTCCTCGAAGAGAGCGCAGATGAACTGTTCCGCAGCTTCCTCGAGGGTATAGACTAGAAGAAATGTCCTCTGTCAGTGAACGGTCGAGGAGGACAAGTTTCAATTACATACCCTGGCAAGAGTTGCACTTGTCATGGGCCAAGCAAAGGTCCTTGCAGTCTGCGTAGGTCATGAATAAAGAAAAGACCTAGTTCATGAAAAAAGACGCGCTTACCAATCTCATAGGTTACCTTGTCGACGTACCCACAGGAGAATGGGTCGCGCTTGCCAGGCTTCCATCCCTTCCAGTCATACCTGTCGACGAACACAGGCTCCCAGGTACACTTGTTGTAAGGCCATTGGGAGGGGCACTTGAATCCGCACACAGGCTATTCGAAGCTAATCAGAATCGGGAGAAGGGAAGCAAGAGAGCAAACATACGTCGCCTAAGCAAGGACAGTACTCCGGAACGTCTTTTGGACAGTGCTTGTCCGTTCCTGGCCAGGTCCAAGACGGCTTCCAGGGAGCGTAGGAACCGTAGTAGTCCCTCCCTTGGATGGTGGCATTCCCCGCTTCTGGCTGGCGGGCGTTGAAAGTGGCAGAGAGGCCGGGGACGATGAGAGTAGCAAGAGGGACGAGCGTGGCGAGTGAGAAACGCATGATGGTGAACGTGTTAAACGAGAATGAGTGGACAGAAGTGGGTAGACGAGGGTGGAGTGTTTGTCTGGAGAATGGAGGCCTCTTTTTGCAGCCTCTTTATACATGTTCGTATGGCCCTGCGACGATACACAGGTAGAGGGCGAAGCATTCAGAGTAAGACAAACTCGACATGAGGTCGGGGAGGTGCGCGGCAATGAAAAAGCAGGGTAACATTCATTTCAAGGGCCAAGCCTCAAAAGAACCTTGCTTTGAGTGGTGGATGGAGAGCGCGAGTGTAACCTGTGTTCTGACGCGAGAAACGATACACCGCTTATTGTCGAGCCAAGGACAACCCATTCAGTCTGTTTGGCTCGGCGGTGGTCATTCGGTGCATTTGCCGATCGATGTCCAAGGCGACCTTTCCCGAAAAGAGAAAGATTGGCGACTTCCAAGCCAAGTCCAGCCACAACGAAACAGACCCTCTGCTCGTCTCGTGTCTTTGATTAAGGCAATAACCGCTGGCGTTTCGTACTGCATGTGCGGGTGCCAAGGACCGCCGATTCAAAAGGGACAATCAAAATGATCACGTTGGCTGGGCGGCGTCGCAGTTCCAAGACTTAGGGTTATATGGGTATATCCTTCCTGATCAGTTTTCTTGCGATTGAGTAACGATTAAGACTATTCCTTACAGCGTAGTTCGCTACGTGACCTGAACGGTCCTATACTTAAGCTAAGGTCAAGACGTCGCACTAGAGCAGTATCACGAGTAAATTAAAATCACCTATATCAACAGAAGGGTCGCATACCGGAGAAGTGTACGCATCTGCTTAATCTGCTCCTCCTTCCAGACAGGACAGATGCAACGATACGAGTCCTCCTCTAGAGGATGGCTGATCTCAGAGGTAAAGGCTGCGAAAGGCTGGCACGCAACTGTCTTGACCATACAATCTAAGTATGAATCGATGACGGCCCAGTTCAGTCGCATCCTTCGTGTCAGTCAAAGAGGTATTCTCAGGCGTGTCTACGCGACACCTTGATCGTGAAGATGGCGGAGAAACCTGCAGCAAATCCTTTCCACATATGTAGCTCGAGACGCCTCCGCTCCGGTCGACATTTTCCCAGCAATGTCGCAACAGGGACCATGGATGTCAAAGTTGAGCACAAGGGGACATCGCGCATTAAAGAAACGTATATAAGCGCATACAATCAAATGCAGGGGAAAGAGAGCCTAGAGAGCATTAGAAAGGTAGGACAACAAGGGTCCCAGAACGCACCTTTCCCTCGTCGGATTCTCTACCGGTTCCTCTCTTGGGAATCACGAAATGGTACCGAGAGTCACGAATCAACGAGCTCAGAGAGCACGGATTCATATCAATTTTGTGAGCATAGTATGACCGGTACGTAGTAGCTATCGTCCATCGTTCGAAGTGTACGTCCCCGCAGAATTCGCGGTATCTGGAACACGATTCGGAGTCGCCGATGAGAGCATACAGAAGAGTATCGTCAGTTATGTCCTTTTCAATCCAGAGGTTGAAATGCGATTCCGTCGTTCCAGATAATGAAAAATGGTCGATAAAGTAAAGGCCTGTAGTATTTCTTGCTCAATGCAAAAAGCAACAAAAAAGGATCGAAAGACGTACAGATATTTCCCTATCACCTTTCTTCAGGATAGAGCTCGTGGTGGCTGGAAAGAAAAGCTTATTAGAGAAGAGAGAGGGCAGTAGCCTTTGGGAGGAATATAGAAGTCGAAGGCTCGAAGTCGGGGTCGGAGGTAACAGAGGTTGTGACGTGACGGTAGCGCTTCCTGTCCTTCCCGTCCGGATCCGTTTCAGCCCTGAGTCCGTTTCTTTCCTCTTGTCCTTCCGCCACCAATGCGGTCCTCATCACTGGCAACAGGATCCTTTGTCGCCTCGTCATCACTACCACGGAGGTCGTCGCTCGCTCGCTGATGAGGAATGTTCAACGTTGAGGAACCTAGAGCTTGCAGCACCATCAAATTTATGTTGTGGAACATACCGTTGGTCTTCTTCGGGTTTGCGATGTCTTCGAGGTGAGTTTTGGAATGTCGCTCTCATTCTGAAAAAATAAAAAATAAAATAGAACTGTAGATACATCACCGACGTCCCTACAGCTCTTCCCTCGGTCGACTATAATGCTTGCGCATGGGGCATTAACATGAACACCGACCCTCTGCCTAACCAACTGGGGACTCTGGCGGCGATCTCGGGACTAGGAACGTGGAGCAATGGCATTGGGAGCTCGTGCGGATGGTACGAATGGCTCGCCATCGCCGTCGTCGACCCCGATGGGCAGCCCAGTAGCACATCTACGAATTTGTTATTGGAGTGTTCATCGCGAATAGCGTCGCGATGGTGGGTCTTGTCGGTCTTTTCCACGAGGGATTTGAACCAGTTCTCAAACCCGGCAGGGTCTTTGGGAGGAACCTTGCATGGAGTTTGCTGTAGCGCCGGCAGCTGTCAGTGATGGTCTGTCTTGTCGACCCTCTTCCGTTCCAGAAGAGAGGTCATCCAGGCTTCAAGCTCGGGAGGGTTACTGTGGCGAAGGAGTTGCTGGTTCCGAGTCTCCAGTTCTTGGCGCGTATATCCGACGGTATCTGTGTGCAGGATCTGGCGTAGAGGTTCGTATTGCCACCGATGGTTTGTGTTGGCGGCCTCCTTCCTCGACAAGAGAGATGTCATCCAAGCTTCGAACTCGGCAGGGTTACTGTAGCGTGGGGTGTGCTCGTGCTCGTAACGCTGATTCTCCGGCTGCTGGTACGCGCTATCGGTCCTGTTCCGCTCCAGGAGAGAGACGATCCTCGTGATGAAGCATTGGACGCGTCTTGTGTGGTCCCGGTAATACGACTCGGATACGCGATGGGCCATGGCTCGCCGACAATGTTATGAAAAAGACGCGTTGAGTGGCTCAAGAGTCATAGCGGTATAGTTCGCCTGTTCCCCGTGAGTTTCGCCTTTCTTGACAGTTAATTGATATGCTCACTGAAGTTCTTCCTATGTAGTGAAGCTCCATATGTGACTCGATATCCAGTCAAGCTTGAAGGCAAGAAGTCAAGTTATGTAGCCACTGGATGACAAATTACGAGCTTAAACGCCTCCCTATTTGTTTGTTTTTGACTAACTGGGAAACAAGGGTACGCTCTCTTCTCCATCCGTGTCTAGACTGAGCCTACATTTTTACTGGAACTGAAAGAGCTTTTCCTTCGCTATGACAGGATAACGACTCGACTCATAATAAACGAGGACGTGGAATATTGGCATAGAGGTAGGCGACCTTATTCTTTGTGGTCTTGTCCGTCGCTTACGAAAAGGAACCTTAGTTCACTCCCTCCCTACGAAGATGAGATAGCATTAAGTGGCGGCTTTCGACCCACTCTTTCTGTCCCTCCTTCCTTCAACGGTCCTGTGCTAGAAATGAGTGGACTGTTTAGTATTAGGGTATTTGCTCGATGTAGATCACCATTTGCTAGGCAGAGAAGCAACAAGAATTGACCCTCATCCGAGCGATAGGTAGAAATTTTAGCTGGACAAATTGATGGTACGAGTGTAAGCAATAGCAGATGTGGATGAAAATCCGGAAGTACATGGATAATCCGAAGAAGATGGTTAGAACCACCAGTGTCACCTGAGCCCCTTTATTTATTCATTTCTCCTTGCCGTAGATAGAGATTTCACACAACGAAACAGCAGCGAGCCAAAAAAAGATACATAGAATTTCACCCTAGAGTTACACAGTCCATAGAGCCGAACAGTAGTATTAGAGCATTATAACGAGTATATAGACGTACATAGCTGTAGAGTACTATACCCCCGCGTCTTCGCCCATTACGAGGCGTGTTGCGGGTCACCAATCCAGACCATCATCATCAACATGGATAATCCATTTGATTTACCTGAAAATGAATCGCAGATCAGCGGCGGTGAGTATCAAGGGAGAAGTGCAACTCACAATTGCATTTGGTAAGTCTCGCTCATATAATTTGACAACTCCGTTGGGAAACAAACAGATGTTGGCGAACTTGATCCAAGGGTAGAATGATTATCGAAGACCTCACGAGGACTGGGTACGGCCTTCTCGACTGAGCTTCTGTCGGAATGAGGGGGGGTAGAGAAGCCCCAGGCAGCGTCGTCGAAGGAGTGGAAGTCATACACATGACTCTCACACTTGCTATACTCCATCATTTCCGTCGAGTCGTCGGTACCGAAGCCATCGGTTGGCAGATTATCGAAAGAGAATCCTCCAAAGTGCGGATCGGAGAGTAGCTGGGGATCGCTTGCTGGATATCCAGCGGGGTAGCTGAATTTGTATATTGCCGAATACAATGTTCCTGAAGGGTGGGGAGTTTCCACTATGTCCTGGCAGATAGTGTACTTCGTGGGATCTGTTCGTGAACGCGTTAGAAGGGACTGAAGCGAACAAAAGGAATGTGAGCCTACCGGGGCTCTCGGATATTGTCTTCCAGTAGCCTGGTACTAGCGGAGTGGTATAGAACAGAGCACCATCGGTACCGGGTGCGGCTTCTGCAGGCGGCGTATCGCGTAATGTAAGGGTCATCATCTCCGAAAAGACAACGACCCCGTCTGCTAGAACAGTAAAGTTCGAGTTCGCTGCGATCGGAGAACGAGAGAGGAAGGCGAGTATAGGGTCGATGGCGCGGATGGGTCTGGGTTCATCGGGGATCCCTCTAGCATTGTCCGTGATGGCGGAAGCGGATGTAGTGGCGGAGCCATGCTTGTGAGTGGCATCGTCGGGAAGGATGTCGATGTAATAAGTGTGTCGACTGCTCAGCTTCTCGTGGGACGGGGACCCAGAAGAAGCTACTTCATCTGTAGGTGTAGACGGCACACTCGCACCTCCACTCGACGAAGCCGAGTAGCAATTAAGCGAGGAGAGACTGTGATGTGAGCCATACTGAGAGCGAATCAGTGAGGAAGAGACTGGTCGACGACGCGGAGACAGGAGATCCATGACTTGAGAAGCAGGATGATCAGCTGGAGATTTGCATGGAGTGACCGGTACACGTACGACGCTTCCCTGTGCAAGTCTCTCTGAGTTGTTGAAGGCGACTCCCAACTTGCTTTGCCGTTCCTCCGTCTCCCGGTCTTCCGGAAGATGTATTCAGATATGAAGCGGTTGCGCATAGGGAAACGACCTAGGAGTCGCGTCTCCCTCGAATCATCTGGTTGATATTGCTCCAGGCCTAAGCGAACGCAACAGCCTTAGTGCAACTACAACCGGCAGAGTTAGAGTAGCTGAATACCTTCGATTAAAGCGGCCTCGAGCTCTGCAGGCCAAACCATCTCTCCCCCTCGCAATGTCTTCCAGCTTTTCCGTCCGTTATAGATGGTTTGGAAGACCTCCTGGGCACCAGTGGTATTGCCGGGTTTGACGTCGTTCATAATAGCTCGAGCGTATCGGGTCTGGGAGACCTCCTTGGCGCTGGTAGGAACCCCATATAATCGGAGAGACTTAGACTCGGACATTGGTATGGTGGGAGAGGTGTAGAGAGCTCTCTCTCCATCTGTCCTATCTGGCAGTTTTCCGTGTTTATTTGCAATCCGCTGCGTGTGCCCAAGCGTTGCGCAACCTATTTAAATGTCAGAGCCATAGAATGGTGAGAAATTTTCTTACCAGCTGAGATTGAAATGTCGCACATTTTAATAAGGCGATTCAGGAATTCCTCATTAAGTGGAGCAAACAAAGTAGTATCCTTGGAGAGATTTCACGTCATTACTATCATCTTCTCAGGTTGCGAGAAATACCCGGACATACTGATTCTATGCCAGAATACTCTTTGTTCCTGAAATTCATCCATTGTTCATCATGGGTAATAGCAACATGAGCAGTTGGGCACTGAGAAGTCAATGATATCAGTCAAATAGGAACGAGAACTGAACCGTTCACATTCTGGAGTATATACTCGTTTATCTTCGCCGTTGGGCTGAAGACCTGCGAATTTCAGAAAAAGATCATAACTCTTTGCGATTACAAAGACCTGTACCTGTTCACGCTTTGGAAATGTTTCTGTGTATGTTTCAACTTGGTCAATGTCGCCATAAGATGTGCCAGTATAATCCTCGCTATTGTTCTGTCAGGAAGAATAACTGTCAACATAGAAAACAAAGAATAACATAACACTACCTCAGCTCTCTCCCTGTGTATATTACTAGCGTCTCTTGCCGACGCATCATGGATAACGCTCCCAAAAGTGCTCGCTCCGCCATATGGGATCGATGATATAATTGGAGGACCTTTCATGTTGCTACTATCGCACTTGAAAATTTCTACAGCTGCCTTCATATTGAGTATTCGCCTCAACGTCGTAGGTTTTTCTCGGACAGATATCGAGAAACCACGGAGAAAAACTGTCTGGTTAGCAGGATCTGATGGCATGGCACACTGGTGATTGCGCCTATGAACTCCTGCCCGAACCTCCCACCTATGAGAGATCCCTCCTCCAACCTCGCCCACTCCAGCCATTAAAAATCGCAAGGATACAGAGCGATTATCAGAAGGGCAATGAAAACATGCCGTTCCCCATGAATGGCATTTATCGCATCCCGTGACGAGGTATAGAGAACCATTCCGAATCTCCATGCCCAGCTCGCCATTAAAATACCGATACCAATGGTGTGCGTTCTCAGCGGCATACCTGCGAAGGAGACCAGGGTATGTGGCATCATAGCGCTCACCGCCATCTGGGAGGACTAGGATAGCGGCCCGAGTAGAAGTGCAAGAAAATTCGAAACCAAAACCTCCGCCGACGCCAGAGACAATGCTTTCGGTAGTACAATTAATAAACAGGTCATATATGCACAGAGAATACTCACGATCCTTGAGTAGATGCTTGTAGTTCAATGGTAGTCTGTTGTACATGAGAAGTGGTTAACGCCGAAGGCCTTGGATGCGCTTCTTGCCATGCTCGAACAGATGGACTAGGAACCACTAGAGGCTGGAAGTTAGGGGGTACACGGTCCACATTGATACCATCGTCGGCTGGCGTGCAAACATTGAAGAGGTAGGCGAATCCTCCATCATCAGTAACATAACCAAGATCGCCCACTCGGGTCCCTGTGGATCGATAAGCTGTAGGAAGGTTGGAATCCAAATCAGGGAACCATAAAGGGAAACCGTGACCGAGGCCAAGCATGAGAGGGATGTATATAGCTTGTGCTCGCTGTTCCGCCATGAGAACGATGAGAGAAGGGACTCGGAGACAGGAAAGAAACGTTCAAGGGGACTAGGCAACTGTAGGCTGTTTAGACTTAAATAAGTTCTGAAGCTCGAGAAGTACCCACAATAAACCAAACATATGGTTCCTTGGCTGAGTTGTATCCGCAGTCCGAACATAGCCAACCACAGCTTCATTGATGCTGAACTCGTGGTGCAAGGAATTCGATACACATGTGTAAGAAGTGTGGTCATGGTCCATTGCTAGCAATGAGCAATTATCATAGCACCACTTGAAGTTTATATGCATAATGAATATTATGTCGCCATAATATCGGCAGATATGTCAGCGTTGAAAGAGGTTCAAAAGAGACCGGAACCTTATCACATCTGTCACTTCTCGGAATCACACGCAGCTGTAGAGAGTTCTTTTTAACAGGAAGAGCTGTAGGACACTGCATCACAAAAAAACACTATATACTGAAATTAACCTGGGTAGATAAGCAATATTGCCGTCTTCTCAGGTCCTATTAAGTTAGCAAAGATGAATCCATCGTTCGAAGAGTGTGTCCTCGCAGAGTTCGCGGCATCTGGAGCACGATTCGGGGTCGCCGATGAGAGCATACAGAAGAGTATCTCCAATTATGTCCTTTGCATTACAGGGGTTGGAATGAGAGTCAGTCCTGCCAGATAATGAAAAATGGCCGATAAAGTAGAGACCTGTAGTTCCTAGCTCAATGCAAAAAGTAACAAGAAAGGGTCGAAAGACGTACAGACATTTCCTTGTCACCATTCCTCAAGACCATGCTCATGGCAGCTGAAAATAAAAACTCATTAGAGAAGAGAGAGGACAGTAGCGTTTGAGAGGAATAGAAGTCGAGAGCTCGAAGTCGGAGTCGGAAGTAAACAGAGGTTGTGACGTGACAGTACGCGTTTCCCGTTTCTTTCCTTCCACCATTACGGTCCTCATCACTGGCAACAGGATCCTCTATCGCCTCGCCATCACTACCACGGCGGTCGTCGCTCGATCGCTGATGAGGACTTTTGACGTTGGGGAACCTAGAGCTTGCAGCACCATCAAATTCATATTGTGGAACATACCGTTGGTTTTTCAAGTTCTCGGGCTTGCGATGTCCCCGAAGTAAGTCTTAGAATGTTGTTCTCATTCTGAAGAAAATAAACAGAACTGTAGATACATCACCGACGTTCCTACCGTTCTTCCCTTGGTCGACTACGATGCCTGTGTGTGGGCCACCAACATGAATGCCGACCCTCTACTGAGCCAGCTAGGGACCCTGGTGGCGACCTTGGGACAGGGAGTGTGGAGCGACATTGGGAGCTTCTGCGGATGGTACGAATGGCCTGTCACCGCCGTCGTCGACCCCGATGGGCAGCCCAGTAATGCATCTATGAATTTGTTATTGGGCTGTTCATCGCGAATAACGTCGCGATGGTGGGTCTTGTCGATCTTTTCCACAAGGGATTACCAGTTCTCAAACCCGGTAGGGTCGTTGGGAGGAACCTTGCATGGAGTTTGCTGTAGTGCCGGCAGCTGCCAGTGACGGTCTGTGTTGTCGACCCTCTTCCGTTCTAGAAGAGAGGACATCCAGGCTTCAAGCTCGGGAGGGTTGCTGTGGCGAAGGGGTTGCTGGTTCCGAGTGTCCAGTTGTTGGCGCATATACCCAACGGTACCTGTGTACAGGATCTGGCGTAGGGGTTCGTATTGCCACTGATGGTCTGTATTGGTGACCCCCTTCCTCGACAAGAGAGATGTCATCCAAGCTTCGAACTCGGCAGGGTTACTGTAGCGTGGGGTGTGCTCGTGCTCGTAACGCTGATTCTCCGGCTGCTGGTACGCGCTATCGGTCCTGTTCCGCTCCAGGAGAGAGACGATCCTCGTGATGAAGCATTGGACGCGTCTTGTGTGGTCCCGGTAATACGACTCGGATACGCGATGGGCCATGGCTCGCCGACAATGTTATGAAAAAGACGCGTCGAGTGGCTCACGAGTCATAGCGGTATTCTCTGCCTGCTCCCAGTGAGTTTCGCCTTTCTTTTGACAGTTAATTGATATGCTCACTGAAGTTCCTCCTATGTAGTGAAGCTCCGTATGTGACTCGGTATCCAGTTAAGCTTGAAGGCAAGAAGTCAAGTTGTGTAGCCACTGGATGATAAATTACGAGCTTAAACGCCTCCCTCTTTGTTTGTTTTTGACTAACTGGGAAACAAGGGTACGGTTCTCTTCTATATTCACAGTTAAACTGAGCCTACTTTTTACTAAGACCGGAAGAGCATTTCCTTCGCCATGATCGGATAACGACTCGACTCGTTCTCCGCACGATTCGTAACTACAGACGATATCACATTCATACGGATCCGCAATCAGCTTCATCTTTCCGATTTTTCGACGATAAAAGACCATACAACCTGTCTCCTGGTTCACAATCGCATTTCTTGTCAAAAGTGACCGAGGGCCTTGACCTCCGGCCATTTTCTAGCAATCGCGCCCGGCAAAACCTCGGTGCCGATGCTACGGCCCATTGGATAATGGCTACATTCCTTGCGGTACCGGGAGGTTACTTCCGGGTCACCGCAATTCCGCAGGGAACGACAAGACGCGTCTTGATATTCTCCAAATGTCATTTCGATTACCAGTTCGTCTTTAAGGCTGACATCGATGCGCTCGGGCCGTTGGTCCGCGACAAACACTCGACCTTCGTCGTCAAGGGCGGAACCTGGACTCTTTAGATTCACCACCATCATGGTCACTAACCTCGAAGTCCGCCGAATACTTTCTCCGAGCCCGTCTCCACATATATAAGCAACAGTCCACCACGGTGATTCAGTGCCAAAATATCCTTCACAGATAACAAGTACACCATGCTCTCCTACCTCGCACTTGTTGCTTCTTTCTTCGCTCTGTCAAGTGCCCAGCAATTTGGTCCCTACTATTCTCTCGGAGCGACGAATTCGTACATCATCGAGGCTACGACCACTCTCACCCCAAGCAAAGTGCCTAGCCCTGCTGCTGACAGACTAGCACTGTGGCCTGGCATGGGGACCAATGGTGGAGGACTATACCAATCCATCGTACTCGCTGTGGCTGATCCGGAGAGGTGAGCAACGTGCTCTCTCCTTTGAAGCAAAGCAAAACTGACGATACCCGACAGTGAGTGTGGCGGATCGACGGGCCAGTGGTGTGCATTTGCTAGCGTGTACAATGGTATGCACTATCTTTGACTCGGAGGGTATATCTAAAAGGTGGATTGCATTAAAGGTGACCAAGTTAGTGGTGACTCCGTTCCCGTCGATGCGAATACTCCTGTAACAATCAACTGTGAGTAGCACTGACGCATAACAGTGTGGGGAAAACTGATCCTCTGTTGTGCAGATAAATATGATGAGAGCACCGAGTCGTACACGCAAAAGGTTACAGTCGACGGAGAACTCATCTCGACTATCACTACTTGTTCGTCGGTTTCCTCTGTTGTGTTTCTTCATCCTCATCTTGATATCCTTTTCTTTGTAGCTGATGGAAAGGCCATTGGATGGGTACGCTGGTTCCATCTTCCCAGGACAGGTACTGATCACCCTGATTACTTTAGGGAACTGCTGTCGAATGCTAAGAAGACGCCTGCAACGGCACTTCTACTACCCACAGTACGTGTTTATTTTTCTTCCGTCACGAGCTGCTTTCTGATGGGGACTTGTTTAGCGTACACGAACACAACTATCGTCCTCGCGGAAGCTGATTCCTCGTTTGGGAGCACTCTTGCGATAAATCTCGTTACCGCCTCCGAGTTGACCTCAGAGGACAACATTACTTGGACTGTGGAGTCGATATCTGTCCCTGAGTATAGCTGGTAGAAGAACGACGTCTGTAAAAATAATTTCGGACGAACTCCGTTCATTTTTTCAAATTGGTTGTGTTTGGCTGGGACTGCCGCCTTGGTTCCGCAAACCGTACTTCTCTAGAGTTCATTACGTCTAATAGCTTCAGCTCGGGCCATCTCACCAGAGCACGATGTGTTCACTTGACGGCGCTGAGCTTAGATTTCAGTCAGCTCTGTCTATGTTCAACATTAAAGTCTTAGTCACGAAGTCCGACACTACGGCAGGCTTTGCAACCTGAACTTTACAATTGTTTCTTCCGACGTGTCGTGGAGTAAACGACCCTGAGGCGTCATATAAAGCTGACATGCATACCTGACTTTGTTCTCACAGCGTTCCTCAATGGCATCACCAGAATCCCCTTTCAAAATATCCACCCCGGATGAAAAGCTACAGCTCCTTCAACAAAAGCTTGCGTTAGTTACGTTCCCAGATGAACTTGACGACTCCGGAACGAAATATGGTGCGCCGCTGAAAGACATCCAGCGTTTGGTGGCTCGGTGGAAAGACGGCTTCGACTGGCGGGCTCAAGAAGCCGCTCTCAACGCGGAGCTCCCACAGTTCACTCGTGACATCGAGGTGGAGGGTTTCGGGGTGTTGAACATTCACTATGTGCATAAGAAGAGCGAGGTTGAAGGGGCCATACCGCTGCTCTTCGTTCATGGGTGTGCGTGACAATTATACTAACTGGAGCGGCGCATGCGTTAACTTGTTTCTTCTTGTAGGGCCAGGAAGCTTCATCGAAGTACGAAAGATTCTCCCATTGCTGACGGCAGCATCGCCAGAACATCCGAGTTTCCATGTCGTCGCGCTGAGCTTGCCCGGGTATGGATTCTCAGAGGCTAGCAAAAAACAGAACTTTAGGCTTGCGCAGTACGCTGAGGTGAGCTTCATCATAAGCAGATCTGCTGTACTTTTGATGCTAAGGAGTGTTGTAGGTCGCTAACAAGCTCATGCTAGCTCTTGGTTATAACGAGTATGGTGCGCTATAAAGACTTCTTTGAAAACCTCTGCTAACCGTCTACTTCTAGTCACACAGGGAGGCGATTGGGGAGCTTTTGTGAGTATATTCTGCTGCGATTTCTCATTACACTAGCAATGACATATTTCTGAAAAGATCACGCGAACGATTGCTCACGTCTATGGCGATAAACATAGCAAGGCTTGGCATTCCAATATGCCTTGGCCATGGTAAGTATCGTCTTGTGTTATCTCTATTTCGACGAATCTGAATGACATCAGGTCTCGTCCACCGACCATTCGTCACCCCCTACTTTATCTTCGATACCTCCTTACCCCATACACAGCAGTAGAGAAAGCAGGCTTGGAACGCGCTCAGTGGTTCCTCGCGAAAGGAAGGGGTTACTCAGCGGAACAATCTACGCAGCCTCAAACACTGGGATATTCACTCGCCGATTCCCCAGTCGGTCTCCTTGCGTGGATATTTGAAAAGTTGGTGAACTGGACAGACGAGTACCCTTGGGATGATGACGAAGGTCAGTGATGCCGAAGTCGATCTTCATTTATCTGCATCTAATGTTGCATTCTTTGTAGTCCTGACGTGGGTCTCCATCTACTGGTTCTCTAGATCAGGTGCTACAGCGTCTATCCGTATATACTACGAAGCCTTCGAAGGCCCGACCGACATCGCGACAACAGGAGAAAAACCTGCTATTCCGCATGGGATATCATACTTCCCAAAGGAACTTCAAGGCGTTCCTCGTCTGTGAGTACTTCAAAGACTCTGTAATGATGTTTGTCCTGACTCGTGATCAAAGCTGGAACCGTGTCAATGGCAATATCGTTTTCGAATCTGAACATCCTGGTGGAGGACATTTCGCCGCTCACGAAAAGCCTCAGGAGTTAGTCGATGGTGTGAGGAAGATGTTTGCGAAGGGAGGGCCTGCCTTTGGGGTCATTCCCGGGAAGACGGGTTATAGGTGAGATAGGAAAGAGATGTTTTTTCGTATCTAGGTGTTGAGCATTGAATATTAACGTTGCAAGTCCTGAATATCGGCTTACTGGGGCAAAGCTATAGGTCGGGATCGGAGATCTTGGAATAAACGCTCTTTCATAATCGAAGTATTGTTTCTTGTAACCTTCTGGCAGAGTCTACCAGCATCACCGGGCTTATGGGTTGCTAAACGATCCTTTGCTGAGCGATGAATGTAGTATTTCGTGGCATGCTGATATTTCTTCCTGTCAGTGCACTGTCACGGTGAGAGTCAATTCACGTGTAATCCGTTACGCGACGCGTCGTCTCAGGAGTCAGAACGAACTACGCGTGTGAACAAAGAACGTTTATACTTGTATACGTTCATCGCCCTACGATTCATGGTGATTAGACGTAGTCACGATGGCCGTGTAGGACGAAATTCACAAAGAACCTTCACATATGAGGTACTGTCCCGAATAGTAAAATAACAAAGTCAATAGGACCCTGATTTCGAGAAAGAGCCAAACAACATGAGTGGCACTGCACCTCGGTCCGAATTCCAACCATAAAACTCCAGCGTAATCACTTCTCCTTCTCTCTCACTTTCACCCATCATTGACGTGCTCTCACTCATGGCTTTCGACACAATAACACCATTTCGCGTTGCAGTTGACCTGACGCATATGCTCATCAGCAACGAGACATTCACGGTTAGTGCTCCGTTCTCACGTTGCTATTTCGCTCAACCATGTTCTTTAGCCTCCCGTCCTTTCACGGACATCAGGGCGAACAGGAGGGTGTAGTCCTTTACCCACGCACCCACAACACCTCCGACTCAGATGATAGCCCCGAGACAAGCTTCTCTTCTACCTCCACAGCAGTGGCCACTCCGCCGAACGCCGACGAAGACATCGAGAACATCGCCCCTTTCCGTTTTACGTTTGTCGTACCACATCTCAAGGCTGACAAACACGAGGACACGAAGACATTCAAGGACAGTCGCGAGCATGATTATGCTGCGAACTCATCAGTCCTGAACATCGTTGTTCCGGAACCAAAAGAGCGTGAATTACGCGTGCCATTGGGTGTTCTCTATGAGAAGCCCACACGAAAGGGGGCATTGTATAAATTCCCTCAGAATGGCTCTCTATCCCCTCTTTCCTCGCTATCTGGGAGCATATTCAGTTCCCCACGACGACGAGCTATATTTTCTGCAGAAGAGAAGAGTCTCGTGCATTCATTGATTCGTTGCTGATAGAACTTGACAACCTCATCGATAATATCCCTATAATATTGTACACCTAGCTCCTCTCTCTCTTCCAGTGTCGAATCCTGACCTATAATAAATTACTTAGCAGTAGGCAAAGTATTACATACATATACGTACCAAGGAGTTGCTTTCTGAACACACAGATTATTCCAGATTTCAAACTAATGAAACTTACTTTTCTTGACGTCAATGACTGAACTGCACAAACATATAAAAAGCTTTGAAACTCTTGGAAGCGCGGGACCGACAATGAAAAGGACTAGCATCGGGCTTGAGCACCAAATATGGAAGTTAGTAGCGCCAGCTGCAAGCCTCAGAATCTCTGAGTATAATTCGGTGTTCGCAGATTGAAAACGGGTGCATATTCTCTGATTTAAGCTACATCTGGGTGATATCGTTACGAGATTCTTTCCGACCAGTAAACCATAAATATTCTATTGATGCTGATTTGAAACGGCAGGTTATCCACATTTACAGCGAAGCACCTCGAGTATCTATAGAGACAAGCCGCAGAGGGCGCGAACAGCCTAATATAACTCGTCTCTAGGCAATGCTGATGGCTGTGCACACTTGATATTCTTATCACTTCATCTCAGAAAGTTATGGACGTTATAACCACAAAAACCCGGTAGGAGATTCAGCTTCATTATTAGCCGCAATCTCCACCAACCCTTTTCCATCGTTAACCCTTTCAAAAATCTTGATCCCTCCTCCTAGTGCGCCTCCAGCAACTAACCACTTGTCGTCCGGCCCACCAAAAGCCATGCCTCGGAGATGTTTGAGTCCCGAACGCACTTCAGCAATGAACTTCGCCTCTGTGGAAAAAATGGAGATGATGTCCCCGCCGGGGGAAGGGTCGTTACGGTTCGAGACGTATATATAGGGTGTTGGGAAGGTTGCGTTCGGATGAGGAATGAGAATCTCAGCGGCGAGCATATCACTGGGGAAGGATGGTGGTTGTGACATGGTTTCTACAGTGCGAACGAAGGAAGGCTCTGCCGGTTGAGGCGGGAGGCGATGAGAGACTACGGTGCTGGTAAGCTCGAGAAGGGTGTAGAGAGTACCGTCTGGGTCATCGCGTTAGCGAGAAATATGCTGTAAGATGAAGATAGAACATACTGTAAAATGCAACATGGCGAGGTCCTCCACCAGGCTGGTAGGCAATGTGGCTCTGAGGAGTCCAGGTTCCTGCGGGATCCCTCTTGAATCTATAGACGCGGTCGCCGCCAAGGTCAGGGACGAGAACTTCTTCGTGCTCTTCATTTAGATACACCTGGTGAGGGTGCGACGATAGTTGCCTGTCTTTATTAGGCCCAGAGCCTGTGAGCGTTATTGTTGTTGGCGTCTCCTTAAGAATATATGGCGGCTCTGGGGCAATCGGGAGAAAGGAGACGTGTCCAGAGGAGTACTATTCGAAGTAGATGAGCTGATTTTATAGAAAACACGTTGAAAGACACGTACATTCGCGATCAACAGCTGGTCTTTGGTTGCAAGAAGAGAACAGGGATCGTCTCCTCCGCTGGATGCTTCAGCTACGATAATACCCCTGGCATTATTGTCGTATTTGAGCACGATGATCTTGCCATTTTCCTGCTCTACAGAAGCGAACACCAGCGAGCTATCGCCTGGATAATGGGTGATCCATGACGGATGGAAGCCAGCTTCAATGGAGGAAGTGCGAGTCAATGAGCGTGTGGATGGGTCGAATGAAAGGGAGTAGATATCGTTGCTGTACGATGCTACAAGGATACGGTAACTATGGGCCATGATGTGCGCAGTCGAGGGTTGCAGGCGAGTGTCGCTGCAAGTTATACTGTTATAGGCAGATAACGAATCTTCCGATCTGAGTTCAAATCCCCGATATTTTACCGGCCCGAGATTAATTAGGGCAATATATAATGATGTCTAGTATCATTTATCCCTGGGATTTGTGTGGGCATGTATGTCAAGGTATTAGAAATGCCATTCAAGCTGGTATCTATAATAAGACGAAGATCTGCTATTGAGAAATGGAATTCCGATGTTTCTCCATCTCCACGTGAACTGTACCTCATCTTGAACTCCAAGTTGGACTACGAAGCCTCCTGCATGCAAGACATCTCCCGTTCGTTCCACGTCTCTGTCCGAGTATTCTCCCTCATCATGGCAAGATAACGGCTCGGGGGAAAGGCAGTCCATTACCGCGCTATCCATCAAACTACAGACACTCAGCTACAGTAGCTGCGGAAGTAAGAAATTAATTTATGACTTACGTGTGAGTGAATTACCACCAAACAACGCCCTTCATGAGTCTCCTGCCTGTTCTCACCACTTTGGGGCTTTTTACGTGACCATCAGGCAAGATTTCTGCCCCTACATCAACAGTTCCGCTGGGATGCCGTATCCGTACTAATTTACCGTCTCCTTGACGGATCTTTCGCGCTTCGGAAACAATGTCCCAAGCAATGGTGCCGGGAATATTGGCCGCAACACCAAGGCAAAGTCCGACTGTCATTGGAACGGCCTTGTGGAGAACACCCATTGATAAGGCATGGACGACGACATCAACCGACTGGGCGTGATCGTCATCGGTGCTTGGAGCGCTGAGTATGGCAATTTTTGGCTGAGCCTGAGCGTGTGGATCAAGCCCCATTTTCACGGCACCGCTCTGGCGAATGGACTCGAGGACTTGAGGAACATCCGTTGGGACGTTCTCTCAGATAGTCGGATAATGGGAGAAATGACGCGAGTTCGTCTGAGCGAACAAATACTGTGGGATTTGTAGCATCAACTAATGATGCGGAGACGTTGGGAGCAGTCAAAGAGTTGATAGGATCACCGGTAGGAAGTAGTTTCCCAGTCCTGGCTCCTCCGGGATTTACGAAGTCCATGATTATTTGGGAAGCGTTGCCTGGAACTCCGGCGATAGAAGTCTCCGGGAGATCAAGAACAGGAACCAATGCGTCGTTCACGGGGAAAGTGGTGTCGATGATTTTTTGGGTGTTGGTATTGAGGGAACGGATAGTTATACGAGAGCCGTCTAGAGTGGTGGCAGGATCGCGACATATTCCTTCGTCCAAGGCATATGCACCAATCATACTGGAAAGGTTACCACAGTTTCCGGAGTAGTCTATACTGGTATCACGGATTCCTACTTGAACGAAGGTATACTTCTACTTGGACACCCTGGGATCTCTGGCTGGGGGATGGGGTGCCGACAACGCATATTTTTGAGAGACTAGACACCCCTCCACCCATACCGTTGAGCTGCCGCCCGTGAACTGGATCTGGGGAACCCATTATTCCAAGAAATATGCGATCCCAGGCAGAACGGTCGGCAGGAAGATGGTCACGGTTGATAAATATGCCTTTGGAAGTACCTCCTCGCAAGAAGGTTGCGGGGAGGGGGTTCGGGGTTTCGGTCGTTCTGCCGGTTGAGCTGAAAGGCCTAGTAGAGGAACGCAACCCTCGAACTGCTGAGAACATGGCGGTCGCGCGACTCTTGGATAGCCCAAACATCGAGTACTGCAACAAAATTGTCAAAATAAAACTAATGTGAATAACGCTGAAAGCTTTATCTCATGATATACCTTTGTAGCCTCGTGCTTGGTGGTGACCGCTGACGGTGATGGTAGTAGACAGGAAGTTAGCGGATCATCGGGAAGAATCTCCGATGTTTGGCATCTTCCCCAGATGGAGTCACAGTGCCGTTGCCAAATATCCCGGCTTTTTTCCACCACCACGGTACCGCACTGTGACTCGTGTCGACAACGATATCCCATCACTTTTAGCGTGAAATCTACTCGGTCTGCCTCGCAAGAACACATTTGCGCGGCTCAAGTCCCGCGACGAAGACTTGGGTACGATGAGCAAGTCGGATATTCAATCCTGGCTGTCTTCCGCCAGCACGGCACGCGATGAAAGTGAATCTGCTAGTCTGTCGTGGCAGAGAGACCGGGTGCTGGAAGGCTGGTCGCCGTCGATGGAATATGCCCAGCATCGGTTATTGGAAAGCAAAACGTCGTCCAGGGTACGATTCTTGCAGGAAGAATTACTTCCTCTCGCTCGACATGCAGGTAGGTGCGTTTCTTGCGGCCTGTATACGATCTCTGATCCTCAGATAGAGCTCTCATTGTCCCAAAATCTTGATATCTTCAAGCTGTTAACGCTCACGTACCCCAGATATGCTGATTCAACATCGAAGGACTGCTGTCGAGACGGTAGGAATGGAGATCGTAAAGAGGGATGAACTACGTGGGACGACGGATAAAGATGAACAAAAGCTTGGAGTCACGGAGCAGATACTGGGCTGGCTGTCTCATGAAGTAGCGCGCTATTCGAAGTTCAGTTCATCAAGGTAAGCATCGCTTTATTTTGTTCTTGGGCTCAACTTAGCCTATCCAAGCGCTTGTGCTCCTTCAGATCTTTTCACGCTTCTTAGCTGGTGTTGTGGGATATATACCGTATGCATCCAGCATAATCCAGGATTCTCAGAAACGCAGTCGTGGAACGCCTTGCTCGGATCCATGGCTCTCCTCCTGGATATGATCAGTGACTCTTCACGGGCGAAAGAATCCCTCAAACATGCTGCTTTAGTTCGCACGAGGCGTGCGTTCCGTTCAGTGCGTTATCATATTTTTCATGTGGCCTCGCTGTCTAATGGATCGATAGGGTGGCGGAAAATTAAATCTCGTCATTGAGGCTCTTCTCAAGCAAGCCAAGTCCAGTCATCATCCTCAACGGCTCATCCCTTTAATCGGTGTTGCAGTAGGAGTGCTTGTGCGACTAAGGAATATCACGGAGTCACCATCATCTAGATTATCCACCGCACTGATGGTATGTCCCCCTTTTCGCGTTCAGTCGCGTAAATTTTCTCATGCGAAATCAAGACCGACATACTTACTTTATACTCAAGCTCGCTACTCATGTCGAAACATGTTGTTCCTGCACACGTATTGGTATGTTTCTCTTGTTCTCGCAGCAAGCCTTGGACTGACCCACGATACAGGATGCGACCTATGATTTCATTCACCATTTCGTCACGGAAGATGATTTTGCCAGCACAATCTGGCCCGCCTGCGAAAAAGCGATACTCAGGTCACCCGAATATTCGCTTAATGGTATGTCAATATCATGAATTTGATGTCGCAGCTCATAGTGGTCCCAGTCACCAGGCATTTTTTCACCGCATATTCATGTCCCCTCAGCGATGAGTCTGTGCACCGTGTAATTGCACAAGCCGTAAATTGCTCAAAATCAAGTAACAATGCCGTTCGAACAAATTCAATCGAATTGTTCAAGACCATCGTCGGCGCAAATCAGACACCGTTGGTTTTGGAGACCGCTGTGAACGAACTTTTAACACTTCCACGGACAGGAAAGACGATAGGACCAGATCATCGTGTTGCGCTCTATACCATGCTCGCATCAATACCCGCTTGTGCCATTTCCACCTCTGTCGTTCAAACCACCACTCCTCTCCTCGCAAAAGAAAGTCATGATGCAGCTGTATCCACCCTTACCTCCGCTCTTCATCCTCATATACTCCATCTCCTCCAGTCTAGCCTTTCTCTTGCCAAAGACACATTGTCTTTGATAGCCAAGGAGATGAATAGCCTCAAGCCTCCCATCCGGCGAGCATTCTGCGCTTTAGCGGGCAATATTCTATGGTCATCGGAGAATTTGGATACGTCTGCATGGCTATCTTTTGCTTCTGCAGTCTTACCCTCCTTCGAGAGCAGTCTGAAGACGACTTCGAACAACCCGAATGTCGGTGCGTTCGAGGGATATATCGCGGTGGCAGTTCTTCTGGGACCTTTGGCGCAGGCCGGAAAGTTTGGTACGTTGATAGCTCTGTGATGAGTGTCATGCGGTATTGATTTCCTATCTAGATGATGTCGTATCGCGGAACCCGGTGATTCAGGCCATTACGTCCAGTTCCGCAAAGCCCTCCTTCCTTCTCTCCGAACGGGTTTATCAGAAACTCACTGACTCTGAGGATGAGCGGTGGCTTTTGCGCGCCACTGAGGCTCTAATACGCTTTTTTAGCAAAGAAATATCCAAAAACGATGCCATCAGGTCCCTTTTTTCAATTCAATCTACAATCCAGTCGCTTATCATCCAATAGGCTGCAAGTTGGAAATATCTTCCTGCATCTTTCCGTCAACGGCTCGTCTGCGGATATTCGAAGAGATGTGAACCGAGCGATTGAGTCGTCTGTTTCGAAATTCCCCGAATTGACGTCTCATCTGGTTCGTGATGCAATGGTGGCTTTCACAGCTCGTGGGCCCCCTTCCACGGCCAAGGTTGATGATGTACCTGTTCCGTGGAATAAACATTCGCGACTCGCTGCGTTGTTCCTCAGTTCCGTCGCTTTTCCCGCTGAATGTGATGTCGCAGTCAAAGAACGGGAGGCTGTAGAGGCGTTGATTGTAGCCCATCACGAACTCATATGTTTGTCTATAGCCTTCAGTGATATCGGTTCCTGTTTAACAGATTCTATTTAGGTGCTCCGGCTCGTCAAACGTGGATTGATCTTTGCCAAAAAGCTGGAACAGACCCCCACGATCTTGTTAGCCGTCACATCGATCGACTCATTGACTCGGTATCCACTGACTCCCTTAGCGAAGCAGTGAGTTCTGGTTTACGTGCATCCTTGCTCGGGTTGACATATTGGCTTAGTTTGGCTTCAAAGATGCCAGTTACCGTGCAGTGACAACATTGGCGTTCGTGTCTCCCGAGACTGCGGTGTCACGAATAGTAGATCAGATCCGGAGGGATTTGGACGCCAAAGTCGTCAATGGACTATCTGACGACGACCTAGGGATTTGGACGACCCCAGAGGGTACAACCTATGTTGATGGCGAGACTTCCTCAATCTATATCTAAAAGCAATCCGGCTGACTGCTCTTATAGTCTTGGCATCGTCCGGTAAAACCACGGAAACTAGAAAGGGCAAAGACGCCGATATCGCCAAATGGGAAGCAGATTTGCGTAAATCGCTGGCCAACAAGAAGACTGCTACCCCTACATTGACGAAGCAGCAGCAAGCCCTCGTCAACGCTCAACTGGAGAAGGAGTCCGCGGTGCGGCGCCGCGTAGAATCCGTAAAAGCCAACCTAGAGCGCGGACTCCATTTCGTCCGCAGTTTAGTGAGGGCAGGCGTTCCGCAGTTCAACGCATTCATATCATCAGTGGTTACGCTATTGTTGGACGGAGCTGGATCCCGCTTGGTCGGACAGATTAGCGTTGATGTGTATCTGGTTAGTTCTGGTGATCTTTCGTTCGTGTTTGTAGTAACGATGAGCTGTTAGGAACTTGCCCAATGTTGCTCAGACCGTCTGGACACGTTTAGGAAGTGGGTTGGGGTAGCGACTCTGCGTGGATTGAAGGGGGACGTTGTTCCGGAGGAATTGCAGGCTGAGGCTTTGAATTGTACGTATATGCTTGGTTTCTGCTCGTATTTTGCGCTCACAAAATGTAATATAGCCTTGGTCACGAGGGTGTTGCACCGCTTGCGATATCTCTCTGAGCAGTCGCCGTTCGACCCCGCCACATTCTCATACGTCTTTCCTCTGATCCGTCATGTATTGGCCCAAGGGGGTGTCTCCACCGAGGATGCCGAAGAAAGGGAAGAGCAACTTGCATTGGCGCTGCACACGATTAAATTCCATTGTGGAGAATGTAGGTACTTGTGCTCATGGCTGGTATGATATAGATTAGACTGATGTTTGTTTTCTTCTAGTTGCTGAACTTGACTACCCGCGACAACAAACGTTAGAGATCCTCATATCGACGACTCGTCAGCAACCCAAGCTCAGTAAGGAGGCCTCGTCGGCGCTTATCGACCTCAGCGAAGCTATTTATCGGACCGCATCAAAAAGCGAAGTCGGTGTTTTATTGCAGGGGACGCTGTTGCAAGAAGCTTATGTCCGAAACTCGTGTCTCCAATCTCTTCAGGTGAATCCGTTGTTTTCGAAGGATTACCATAGTAGTGACGCTTTCCGCATTAGCCTTTCGATTTGACGGACTTGGACTGGTCGCCGGAACTTTGGATAGCTTGCCATGATGAAGACGAACAAAACTCCTTCTTGGCAAAGCACGTATGGGAAGACAACGGATTGGATGTCCCCGAGTCGTTCCTTAGTGCAATGCTACCTTACCTTAGTAAGCCCGCTGAAAATGCATGTCCATCACAGGTATTAATCCATAATGCTGTCCAGATCACGATCACGCATACGTTCGTTCCAGCACTGCTGCTGCTATTGCAGAAGGTGTTGAACATTGGCCTCAATCAATCAAAGACACCGTCGCTGCATTACAGGAGTACTACCGTGAAAAGGTTAGTGGTGGTAATGGTCAACAACGTAAAGCTTATCGTCTTGCATTGTAGGCGAAGATTCTGGCACCAGAATATGACCAATATGTGAGTACTGCTACCGTCTTTGTCGTGTTCAATGCTAATTTTATTTTAGGGCATGGTTATAGCGCAGAGTCTTGATCGCTCAGATCCTTGGCCATCCCGAGTAGCAACAGCGCGTTCTTTTGAGCTGCTAGCACCATCATTCACGAGTGCGGAAGTCGAGCCATTCTTCAAGTTTCTCATTCAGGACGAGGCATTGGGCGATCGCGAACCCGATGTCCGTAGGGGGATGCTCTCTGCTGGGACAACGATCATTGACCTCCATGGTGCTTCGTGTATATCGAGTCTTATTGCCATGTTTGAAGGCCATTTGAGCAGTCCTAGTCCATCCACTGAAGCTGGCGATCATATCAAGGAAGCGGTCGTCATTCTTTTTGGTCGTGTCGCCCGCCATCTTGATCCCTCTGACCTACGTATTCCTACAATTGTCGACAGACTCGTCGAGGCGCTCAAAACTCCGGCCGAACAAGTACAAATAGCTGTTTCAGACTGCCTGTCCCCTCTCGTCAGGCTGATGCGGCCTAAACTGCCGTCTTTGGTTGACAACCTCATGGATGACTTGGCGAATGCCCCGAAATATGCTGCTCGTCGTGGTGCGGCGTATGGTTTGGCAGGCGTCATTAAGGGCACGGGGATTGCTGGGATGAAAGAGTTCAATATGATCAGTCGCTTGCGAGCAGCTACGGAGGACAAGAAGAGATACGAGCCTCGCCAGGGCACCATGTTTGCGTTTGAAACGCTGTCCAGTTCATTGGGGCGGCTTTTTGAACCTTATATCACATACGTTCTTCCGCTCCTGCTCTCGTTGTTTGGAGATGCTACTCCGGATGTCAGGGAAGCCACTCAGGATGCAGCTCGGGTCATTATGGCGAATATGTCCGGCTATGGCGTCAAGCTCATCTTGCCTTCCTTACTCTCTGGTCTCGATGAAAAACAGTGGCGAACAAAGAAGGGCTCCATAGAACTTCTCGGAATGATGGCGTATTGCTCACCTAGGCAGCTTTCCCTCTCTCTCCCTATTGTCATTCCGCGTCTCACAGGTGTCTTGACGGACTCCCATACTCAAGTGCGAACAGCTGCCAACAAGAGCTTGAAACAGTTTGGAGAGGTTATCAGTAACCCCGAGATCCAGTCGCTGGTTCCTGTCCTTCTGAAAGCTCTTGTCGACCCCGCGAAGACGCCAATTGCTTTGTCTTCGTTACTCAAGACCTCTTTCATGCACTACATCGATCATTCTTCCTTGGCCTTGGTATGTAGCATCGACGTATGTCATCTAATAAATTGAGCTGATGATACCTAGGTGGTTCCTATTCTAGAACGAGGCCTACGCGAGCGTGGCGCGGATACCAAGAAGAAGGCAGCACAGATCGTGGGTAATCTGGCGTCGTTGACAGACTCGCGAGACTTCGTCCCTTATCTCTCCGAGTTACTGCCGATGGTGCATATTGTACTTGTAGATCCCGTACCGGAGGCTAGGGCTACAGCTGCCAAAGCGCTGGGAACCCTAGTAGAACGTCTGGGCGAAGGTCACTTCCCGGACCTAGTACCTGGCCTTCTGCGAACTCTTAAAACGGATACATCTGGCGTGGATCGACAGGGCGCTGCCCAAGGACTAAGTGAAGTTCTGTCCGGTCTCGGAATGGAGCGCCTCGAAGGTTTACTTCCTGACATCATCACGAACGCGCAATCTCCCAGAGCAACGGTTCGGGAAGGTTTCATGTCGTTGTTGGTGTACCTTCCAGCCACCTTTGGTACTCGTTTCCAGCCTCATCTACCGAAGATCATCACTCCGATATTGAGTGGTCTATCTGACGTAGAAGAATATGTTCGGGATGCAGCGATGAGGGCCGGAAGAATGATTATAACCAACTATTCGAACAGGGCAATCGATCTTCTTCTTCCCGAGCTTGAGCATGGAATGTTTGATCCTGGTTGGCGCATTCGGGTATGATTTAAGCTGTTTCATTTTCTCTTGCTCATGGCCTTTCCCTAGCAATCGTCCATCACTCTTGTCGGAGAGCTCATGTTCAAGGTTTCTGGTATTTCAGGCAAGACTTCTGATCTTGATGAGGAAGACGTCGCCGATGCTAGCACTGCGGAAAGCTCCCGCCGTGCTTTGGTTGAAGTTCTTGGTGTCGAAAGAAGAGATAGGCTTCTCGCTGCGCTTTATCTTGTTCGTCAAGATGGCGTCGCTGTCGTTCGTCAATCATCAATCCAAATCTGGAAGGCTTTGGTGAACAATACTCCCCGGACAGGTACGAATAATTCGGGTTGTTTAGACGTTGACTCATCGCTGTTCTTAGTCCGAGAGATTCTTCCTGAGCTGATCAGCCAAATCATTGTCCTTATATCTAGCGATGAGTTCGAGCAGCAAGAGGTATGTTGGCATCCTCGGTATTCAGAGCATTCACTTATTGTCATAGACCTCTGGCCGTACAATAGCAGAGCTCTGTCGCAAGTTCGGCGAGAAGATCGTGGGCGAAATCATGACAGTTCTCAAAGGTAAGGCAACATCCACTGACTCGCGAACCAGAGAAGGTGTCTGCTTGGTCCTGAGCGAAATTATGTAAGCCACTCTTAACCCCGAGCACTGCTCAAGATTGATTTTTACTTGTTGTCCAGGGAAAATTCTACCGACACTCAGCGAGAAGATCACGAAGACGACATTATATCCATGGTTCGCGTGTCTTTAGTCGACGATGAGGCCAATGTTCGTTCTGCGGCAGCCAAAGCGTTCGACATGTTGCAAGAACATATAGGGCCCAAAGCTATTGACGAAACTATCCCTACGCTTTTGGAAGCTCTTCGGCAGCCTGGAGAGAGTTCTGGCACCGCACTGCAAGCGCTCAGGGAGGTCATGAATGTCAGCAGTCCCCTTTTCTCATACTACGCCCGTCTAACCTTATCTGACCACAGGTACGAGCGGCGACCGTGTTCCCGGTCCTGATTCCAACATTGACGGCTTTACCAATGACCGTGTTCAATGCACATGCTCTTGCTTCACTAGTCACTGTTGCTGGAAACGCACTGAGCAAGCGGTTGTCAGCCATTACAAGTGCCTTTGTCAAAGTTATCGAAGACGAGACCGATGAGGAGCTTCTATCCGCAGTCGATGAGGCAACTCGTGCATTATTCTCATCAATTAATGATGTTGAAGGGCTCAATACGCTCATGATGGTGCTCCTAGGATGGTCGGTGTATTCTCAGTGTACATTAGTTAGTTCTAACGTTACTTCAGGTCGAAGCACGATACCCCTAGACGGCGAAAGAGCGCCTACAAGTTATTCTCCATCTTCTGCGAAGAGACCGAACTGGATACTTCGCTATACCGTGTGGACTGGATCAGGCAACTCATATTTGCCATGGAGGATCATTACGACAACGTATATTCGAGTGCCGTACAAACAATTGACGTATTCCTCAAATCCGTTCCCAAGGACGAGCTCGAATCGCTAGTGGTTCCTTTGCGGCGAAGTATCGAGTCCACAGGTGCTCCAGGTCGCTTTGTACCTGGTTTCAGTGTTCCCAAGGCCGTCGCGCCCCTTGTTCCTGTCATTATCGCTGGTTTAACAACCGGAAGCAACGAGCAGCGGGAACAAGCAGCCTATGCTATTGGTGATCTCGTGGAACGTACGGAAGATACCGCGATCAAACCATATGTGGTATCTTTCACTGGACCCCTGATTCGAGTGGCGACACAGGCAACGACGTACCCACCAGCGGTCAAGACGGCCATCCTGAGTGCACTGACGTCAATGTTAGAACGTATACCAGCCTTCGTTAAACCCTTCTACCCACAACTCCAGAGGACGTTTGTCAAGGGCGTAAGCGATCCCGCGAGCATCGTCGTCAGAAATAAAGCGGCCAAGGCATTAGGCGTGTTGATGAGAAGCCAGCCCAGGGTGGATCCAGTTGTGACAGAGCTTATTACAGGAGCCAAGGGCAACGCCGATGACGGTATTGGTAGCAGCGCAGTGGTGGCGCTTGCGCATGTGGTCAGAAGTGCCAAGGAGAACGTAGGTGAAAAGGCGAGGGAAGCGTGTGTCGACCTTGTCATGGATGCATATAGGGGAAGCTCTGATGGTAAGCTTTCTGATATGACCTGCTTTTACAGGCCAAGTTCTAATCTCTATCCGCCAGAATCGTACATACAAGCTATAGCTTCGTTGGTGGCGGCGTTAGCCATCTTCCCAGATGTGCTTCAACCTGTCGTAGAGTGCGTATTCTTCGTCGTCCTCGGAGTCTGGCTTTTAAGCAGTCTTTTTATAGGTCGTACTTGGTTGCCGGTACTCCAGCATCTGTCATTTCTTCGCACACGCTCCTTGCTGTCCTATCCTCAGATGACGAGGCCGATTCACCGACAGTTGAGGGCGAGAATCTTTTCCAGAAGCTGGGCTTGATGCGGAGTGTTGCCCAAAAAGTGATAGAAAGTGCCGGCAACGAAAAGCCGTCCATTGCGAGACCTGCACGGGAAGCGAAGGAGGCATTGAGGTATATTGATGACGAGGGCTTACAAGGGCTACTATAGATCTGTATACTATGGATATCTACATGACAGCCGAGGGTTCCAAAAAGACACTGTTAATTTTCCCCTGATCTATACGCGTACATTAGATGCCGCATCTTGGAGTTTCGGCACAAACCCTAGCTTTTATCGTGATAGAGGATTAAGCTGCAAAACTTACTATTTGTGAGTCTAGTACGAAATATGCAAATGCAGACTTTCAGGAACACTCAGAGTCGATGGAGTATTTTAGATTGAAAAATGTTACACGAGACATTAAATGGTGCAAAAAAAACTCGTAAACCACGATATTCCATTAAAAGATCACAAATCTGTCGAGCCACTCCCAGACGACATTGGCCGATATTCTTCGCTCATTTCAATGGCTCTACAGCTCCGTATTTATCTTCATTCTAACGTGTTGTTTTGGAGAGTTGATCGAGTTCGAAATCAGCCTTGAAATATTTCAACGCTGGCCAGTAAAAACCCGACTGACCTCGCCAAGCTTGTATGTGGGGTCTGGGATCTATGTACTCTGTTAAAGATTCCGGGGTCTCCATGCAATCCATGATGGTTAGGCGCTCCAAAGGCGATTTGAGAAAGGGCCTCATGAAAGCATTAAGGGTGGAACTATCATCATCGAAACCAAGGCTTAAAAGAGATAATGATGTGACTCCAGGCATGACGGCCTTCAAGAGGGCGTAAGGAAACGATGGAGTGCCAATGGTAACACTTTTAAGAGATTGGGAAGAATTGGAGAAGACTGCAATGATACTTTCGCTCCATTCGCACTTTTTAGAAGTACAGGAATGAGTCGCTGAATTACGGTATCCCCAATACTTGAAACCGATTCGCAGGTGCTCAAATTGCCGACCGTCAAAGGCTCTACGGAACCATTCCGCCTCGGGACACCAAGAAGCGGGCAACTCGATGTCCTTGACTTTTGGGCAGCCCCTCAGGAAATTAGATGTGGCAAGGGGTGGCCGAGAGCGGGCTTCTAGGCGCAGGGAAATCCGTCGCAGTTTCTGGAGCGTCTGCTTGGGCTAGACCCTGAGCAGCATCCAGCCAGGAAAAACCGGCGAGTATGAGTTCCTCGAGTTGAGGAGGAAGGGATTTAAAAAGGGATTTCAACTCTTCGAGCTCCGCCGTGAAAAGACGACTGTCAGATGGAGGTGGGGGATAAGGAAAAAAGGATGAGGAAGAGTGCGCGTATACACCGAAATCGGGTCTGATGTTGAGATAGAGAGACTGAAGGCTCGTCAGATGTTTTGTCGACGATCGAAAGAGCGCTAGTAAAGTTGAAAGCCTCTGAGAAGGCCGAGAAGGCCCCGTTCGATGGATGGCCTGAAGACTTATTGTGAGAGTGGTGATGAAGTGCCCACGGAAAGAAAATGTTTCGATAAGCGCCTGTGGGTGGCGGGTGTCCAAACTGGATGAAAATTGGCGATATATATGGCGTGCGAGAATTTCACGAAAACGACGGCATACGGTAGACAGTCGAAGGAGTTCTCTTTTCAAATAATGCGTGTCACATTTTGGATATTCCCACAAGAGCAGAATCTCGAGAATTTCCGTAGGAAGGGATGAGATGGTTGTAGCTATGACATTTTATGAGGTTCAGTTTGTTCAGACAGATTTGACATACAGGACTCTTACCTGTAGGCATGGAGAAAGCTGATGAGCTACAAGTTTCATCACAGTTTAAGTTGAGTTTAAGCAATCTCACAAAAAAAAGGTGTGACGTCATGGCATGTGACCGCAATAATCACGTATTTAGATAAGATAAGATAAAATGTTAGCCGTTGGGTACCCCACAGCTAAGGAAAATGGGAATGTGTCTGACCTTTCCCCAAAAATTGTGAGGAGTGAGTCATTCAAGACATCATATCTGCGGCCAGGAGTACCCGCGCTGATTGTGGGCCGAACATGAGGTGATAACCATCTTAGGGTGCGAACTGCAGCTGCGGAATTCAAAAGATACCTCAGTATCGAAAAACTTATGCGAGTCCGTAGTCCGTAGTCCGTAGTATTATAAATTCGAAAGAAACCAAAATCTCCTCACGTTTATCTATTCGAACTGCATCGATACTTGTGTTTAGGTCAGGGGCTTGGCGCGGAAAGCGAGCCGACCTGATGTCGGCATCGATGCCGCGGCGCTTTCCCCCCTTCCTCTTCCACGTTCATGGGGTACCCGTATGCACTACTAACTACGGAGGAACTCTCGGTAAAGGTTTTGTCTATCGAATACTGTGCCGCAGTAATCACAACCGTCTTGAAAGCTTGATTTTCCGTTCAGTTATGACTCGACCTCGGCATCCTCTTTCATCATCGCGGCTCGACATTGTATAAGAGCATAGCCTCTAGGTCAGGTCATCATCAACCACCATGTCATACGACGGGAAGGAGCATTCGAAACATATCGAGGACAAGGCAGCCTCTGTCCTGACTATGCCTCACGTCGAATCGCAGACGCTTGCTCGGCGAAGACCTAGCGTGTTCACCCGGGTGACCGCGATGCTCATGTTGTTTCTCGTATTTTTCTTTGTCGAACATGCTTTTATGGCTCCGCGACATACAATATATGCGATCACTCGATTCTTTGGAGCAAAGGTGCGTCCATGTTTCGATTGTTATGTTCATTGCTGATATAAAACACAGGAACAGCAGGTTCACAATTTCTATCCCTACGAATGGCCTATCCCTAATGACCTTAACATTGACCACTGTGCCGAATTCCAAGAGGGACAGTTCTGGAATGGCGAACAGTCCGCTACCGCGTCGTTTGACCTACCTCTGAACTCCGACAAGCATTTCCTGCTTGCGCGCGGTTCGTACACGAACGGATGGGTATATATCGGTCAATCTGAGGATGTCAGTTTGGATACGGCAAAGGTGGAGGTCACAGTCAAGTACCAAGACGACGAGCTGGAGCTGGCCAAGGTGTGCAAGGTCAGTCGCGCAGGGAACGAGAATGGTATAGGGTTCTTCGTACGTACCTCCTTCTGTAATGGCTCATTTCTCATATCCCCCATCGCAGACTCCTCGCCATGCTCACCGCAATCATATCCATCTCGGGTTCGACGTTCGTGTCCTCCTACCCAAAACTCCTCTTACGATACAAGATTTCCGCACCGATCTGCCACTCTTCTCTCAACATGTCGGAGAACTCGAGACCGTCTTTTTCGAATCAATTACATTGCATGGTGCCATGATGCCCATCCATGTTGAGGCAGGTACACGTTCTATCCGACGATGGCAAGTCTGACATCCATTGCAGTCTGTGTCTGCTGCAGTCGGCAAATTCAAGAATGCCAATAGCCCTATCGAGGGAAAATTCAACACGAGCACATCCCTTGACTTGGCTACCGCCAACAGCCCAATCAACGTCATCCTTGGATTATTCAACGCAGACGAAGAAGAGTCCACCACTGTTTCTATGGAGAGCGCCAATGCGTGGGTTTCTGCCATTTACTCCTTCTCTATTAGTACTGACGATTTACAGACCTATCTCCGCAGGCATCAGCCTCTTCTCCACCGCTCCCTCGTCTACGGGAGGTAAGTTTGACGTGAAGGCCTACACTGCACGCGGGAAGATCGAACTCGGGTTCATCGACGCGTCTGTCGATTCTGCGCTTGACCTCACAGCGCATACGGCGATGGGCCCGGTGGACGTGACGATGCATCCTACTTATGAGGGCGAGTTTAGGTTAGCTACAATCATGGGAAGGGCGGAGGTTACTACGGCTGATGAAGTGGAGGATCCGAAAGGAGAAGACAGAAAGAGGTCGGTGAGCTTTGAGAGAGCTGGGGGTAGCATTGTAGCAGGTAGGGTGTGGTGGGGTGAGGAGGATAAAGGCAGGGGGACTGTTGATTTGAAAACGTCCCTTTCGGGCGTCAAGCTGGCTTTGTGATTTCGTGTTGTACTCTTGTATGGTTGTTCTCTCTTATCATGATCTCATATTTGTAAACATTTCTTACCAAATTTACTTGTTCTTTTATACATCGATCACACCGCCATCTCCCGATGTTTCTGCTCCTTCCACCACGCCCACTACGAGGCGTCGCATATTTTCGGATGACCAGCGATCCCTTCTCGAAGGACACTACAACTGAGTCGATGACAGCCGCATACCAAACCATTGGAAGCATTGGCACGGCCCGGTTCCCTTCGATCACGTGCACATTAGGGCCGGATACCCGTACTTTCCCGTTTGTTCCGAATTCGTAGCAACATCTGCGACTACCACTAGCGATTACCCATTCTCTCTCCTGGACCTAGTGAAATGAATCCGAAATAGCAATAACGATGACAAGAATGTCGACACAGTCGGTGAGTGAGCTTGAGCGCTGTGTGTGATGATGTCATAATCAACAAAGAGCAGGAACACTACCCTCACGTGTGCCGTTCGAAAGACGCGCCATGACGCGTAGCTATAAATACTCCCATACAGTGCCCTTTCTCCTTTTCCTTCTTTCCTTCTTACCTCCATCATCTCTCACACCAGTCTCGTCACCGGGTCGGACGTACAGCTACCGCCCTCTTCTGTCATTGAATGGCGGCTTTCCCCCGTGGTTGTCGTCGTTGATTATAGTCCCCTGTCGCCTCCATTCCACTCTATCAGCACTACGCCTTCCACCTTCGGGATTTCCTCACCTCAAGCCTGGGCCCTTCGTTTGCGAGTCAGGACGTGAGAGAAATCCCATCGAAACCGAAACTTAGCAAATCCAACTCGCAATCAGCCCGGAACACCTCCCGGTACATCAGTGGTCCGGAGCATAGCATCCGAAGTCGTACTGTGACCTTGCGTACAGCCTTGCTTATGACCCTGGCTCAGTATACGGCGATTTCAGGAGTGTTCGATTCTATTTAGACGTGGTAGAGTGGAATTGAAGCTTCTTGATGGGCAAGATACAAGAGGAGCTGATGGTGAGTTTCAACCCTAAATAGCCGCGCATATACTCACATTTCACATACTGCGTACGTAGCTAGCTTCACCGCAGTATACGAATACATCCAGACGCTCCTCTATTGTCATCCAGAAGCGAGATACGACATCTATAACGACATCCGAGGTTTCATGCCGCCCGGTGACAAAGCACCCTGCCTGCCTTTGCTTTGCACGCTCGCTGATAAGATTTCGCCTGCGTCGGATCCGAAGATCCGGTGACATCTTCCCCCTCTCGGTGCAAAGAACCCAGCGCCCGTTACCACGAAATCACGGCTCCCTTCATATTCAAACAGGGCCTTGTATGCGTCGAGGCTCTAAAGCCTGCCATTTGTATGTCGTTGGTACAATAGCTGGATCTGCCGGGAAGAGTGACACGCGCGAAGCACGGAATTGCGTGACCTACCCAGGAAGGCGTTACCCTGTTGGACGGACCACAGCCTCGATAGCACAACGCGGGCTCTGTTTTCTTGTAGCCTTTGTGGCACCTCCACTTTCTTGATCCGAGGTTCATGTTTCTTTCTATGCTATGGATCGTGAATATCATCTGAAGACTTGGCATATCGTTTCTTCCATCGCCACTTGCATCACCTACGTACCGGACTAGAGATAGGGTCCCTCTGGAGGCATGCAGCCGTAAGCTACCTTCGTTCTCCTATTGACCTGGTTCTTTGTTCACATACCTCCAGTTTCATCATCGAAGAATGATTGTGTGGCGCGACTCAATCCTTACATGCGTCCTCTGTTTCACAAGGTGCTTCGGTCAGAAGAAGATCTTTCCGGAATCTGGTCTGCAATCTCTGTTCAATACCAAAGCAATGAAGGGATGCTCGCCTTATGAAATCGCCGACTTTTTCTGGCCTTTGCCACTTGGAAACGCTTGTCCTCAGTTTCCAGGGAAGTGGTTGATGGAGATTCCTACATGGTCCCACTCGTTTTCCTGCTCCACAATTGCGACAGACACGGATTCTTGTCTCCGTGACTTCGTTCATTGCCATCAGTTACCAAGAATTTCATTGGGAAGTCTGAGTTCCGGTGATGCTGGCATCAACTCTCCCAGACAAAAGAAGACGTCGTCAGTATGGTTGCACCAGAGTCCATTTTTGACCAGGAAAACACGGCTCTGGGTCTACACCAAAGGGAAGGGGATGAGTTGTACGTAAATTTGACGCTTGTCACTAAATTCATGCTGAGATCAGTTGTTCTTTCAAGCTCGAGTTACAAGTTCAATCAGGAATGAACACACGTCGTTGGCGCGCCTCGAAACCTGGACGCAATCTACCCTCCTAAAAGCGCCCGGAGAGTTCTCCCTAACTATAGCTCTACATAGGGGAGACGATACGGCCGGCTGTGGTATAGGAGACTGAGGAACGGGCATGGAGAAAGTATCAAGCTGAGGCTTGAAATATCCATCTATCTCTATAGCTACAGTTCTCCTTTGTATACGGGAAGGTGAGCGTTGTTGCTAATCACACCATTTATTCCAACTTACCCTTTACTAGGCCAAGTTGTCACAATCATTTTGTGCTGATGGTAAGCCGGTTGTCCTTCTCTTCGAAAGCGACATTTACCCATCTGTGGCGATAGCAATGTTCACATCCGCGATTCGCGCTCATCTTTTCCGCCGCATCTCCAAGTCTGTCCGCATTGCGGATCCGACAATTCATTAAACACAACCCTTTGATCACGGCTCCCGATCTCACGGATCCGAGCTTTTTCTCACTCGAAGGATGCTCCTTTGCATCAAGAACGAGAAGTACTGGAATCTACCACACAGAGGGGAGACCAGTACATCACGAGCTTGCAAGAACGGATTACCCAGTGGAGAGCTTAGAGCTCTTCTCATAGTGTTACAGATGCCAAGTCTCCTCTATATGTCGGCTATTCTCGGACATTCTCCTAAAGATTTTCATTGCTTGCATTCCCTCCCCCCTTCCTTTCATTTTCTTGACCCACGCAGCCAGTGGACGCTCTCGTATATTTGTATCTGCTGAAGACACACGGTGTTGTCTAATACTAAGCTGTGGTCATGCTTACGATTACAGTTCGACAACTACAAGAGTGATAACATGGGCCCGCTATTTCGTCTCGCCCTATTTCTGGGTCGTTTGGGGACATCGGGAGTACAGATGCTCAGCGTGTCCATAGACGCTACGACAGGTATATGCTGCTACGCGGTACTCCCCGTCGCACTATCTACGTCTTCCCGGTGGAAACGCTCGTTGTTTTTCCTTCCGTACAGGACGTTCCATCCCTTCGAGGACATAGGATCAGTTGGGTATCTCGGGGCCTTGTTCATCAAAAAGTTGCGGAAGAGGTGGGGTTGGTAACACCTCTGAGTGCTATCCCGGCCTCCCGGGACACGCTGTGGCTAAAGACGCTCGGGCTGTCACAGTGGAACAAGACCGCCATCACAGAGCTATGCCAGTCCCCGTGGGACCAGATCACAGATGTGTCCAGCGATAACACCAGCCCGAGAAGGTGGCCGTTTTTCAACATACGAAGCGTGCGAGTGCAGGAATCGTGGAGACCTCAGAAGAAAGTTGGAATGGGGTTTTGTCGTCACGAGTCGCTGGTGACGCTCAAGCTAAGCTCCCTGTGGTTCTATGGCCAGCCTTATCTCGTCACTGGGGCCTCTGCCGCGGATCAAATACCACTCACGATCCCAAGAAACCGCTACCTGTATTAACGGAGAGATCGGCTCCAATGCTCATGCAGCAATGGATCGATGCGATCCCACTTCTAAGGGGGGCCAGGTGATGGGAATTCTGAAATGGACCCCGAGAGCCGCATTTTTGGATGTGTCTGCCAATTTAACGGCTCCATTTTTGCTTGCCGGACTTACGAGGAAGAAGGATAGGGTGGACGAGACGGGGCCGAATTTGCGACTATGGATTTGCGGGGATGCAGGATAGTGTTTGAGGTTTGCCACAGGGTGATCGTTAAGATGTTGGAATCCTAGAAATGGATCGGGACTGAGGCCTTGAAGGATCACACACTACTTGAGATGATGCACAAGGATGCACATTGCACATGCCTTTACCCCTTTGGTTTGTGGGAAGTAGACTTTTCGAGGCGATAGCACAAGCTGATTAATGATGATAAAGAATGGGTCGTTGACTATCAGCACAATTCATGAAGACATCATCCTACGCACGTTTGGCGCGCATAATTAAATTGTTGTACTGTATACGGAAGTTAGTTTGCATTTCGTGACATCCCAAGACCCTTAACGCTCGCCAATGTATGAGTCACCACCGGCCGCCTTGCTGATGACCCTTGTAAATTTCATGATGGTTTGTCCGTTTTCAATATCCAACGGTTCTGTGGACCTGATCGAGATAATGATCCGTGCTACGAGCACGCAAAATCCGCTTTGGTTCTCATCCACCATCTGTAGTACAATGAACGTTTTCATACCCCCCTGAGAATTCTTCGCTTCGTTACCCTGTGTCCTCGGTTATCATACATTCCACCCCGTCTGATTCTTTGAATGTAAAAAGAAAGTTTGAAAGATTTACAATCTTCTCTCGATCTTCCCCATGACATTTACATACGACGTCCTTCGGTCCGACATGTCACAAACCCTGCCTTTCAAGTCTTTCTTCGCATCTGTGTTTTCTTAGCCTCACCGTCTCTTTCGCACTTTCCGGCGATCGTTTTATTTTCCAAAGCGGCATGAGATGTTCACGCCGAGTTTGGCGCGCACATGCCAATGTCAGGACATCGCCGAGATTTTCTCCATAGCTGTTAATTGTATGTTAATCTACGGGGCAATGAAACGCGGTATTTGGCTTCTGCCAAAACAACTTTGTGGACTTGAAGATATGGTCGATCCACCGTAATATTTTTCCTCCGCGGACCTTATTTACCAAGCAGAGAACCAGAGCAGAGGACCAAAGCTTGAGATAGATGCTGATAGATTGTGATCGGTTATGAGTGGTGCCGGTCCTGAGTTCGATGAGACCCTCTTGGGGTTGAGGAATAGCTGCGCTGTGGAGAAAGGCTTTAGGTTTGTCAAATGTTCCCCCAGATTGCCGAGGGGTCTCAAAACTTACGGCATTCAAAACGCTAGGCGAAAATTCTATTATTATCTTCGCCGGGCCCCGAGCAGTCCTTGATTTCCTGGCGAGAGGGAGTGGAGGTATCCCGACATTAGTGATGATCCGAGCTGCTCTACGACTCCCCGTGATGCGCGGTAGGTCGAAGTCCCGTCCACACAAATCTAGAGTCCGAGCCGGTGTCGAGGCCGAGCGCAAGGGGTCCGATATCGATGTTTCTGTGGAGGCGGAAATATCCAACAGTTTCGGACGCGAGCTACAGTCCAATTACCGACTACGCTAGCTTAATGCTTAGTATTTGCTTTACGATTGCAAGCCAAGTCCTTTTTTTCCATCTAGATGTACATCAGCGCATCAATTAATTTTGGGATCGTCCCCGCAGCTGGGGGAATTTGATATTTGAGGTTTAGTGTCCGTGGAAGGAGGTGAGCGGATGAGACTTTCTGGACTGGATTGTGGCAGGTTCATGAGACCGACTGCAGCGCTTTCTTTCTCATCATACAGCCACCCTAAATGTATTACTTGCCAATCTCGGAGGAATAGGTACGCCTGAATCTGCATATGGAAAATTGGAAATATATAGGAAAATCAAAGCTCCTTCAGAGTTCGCTTGGCTTCGCACTGCTTGAGCCTTATATCTGCGTGAATAATATACGCCGAATATTCTCCCGTTCGATTCTGTCTTGGTTTTTCCTTCGTGAGAGGAGTGCGAGACATTCGAGAGATGTTGACAGTGTCTTGGCATGATGTAACAGTCCAAAAACGGCCAGGCAGGACCCTGCACGTGCTTTTTTTGCTCATGAGACCTGATTCTACTGGCCCGCGAAGGGAAAGCACTGTTTTGCTACGATGAAACTTGAGTGACCGCCTGCGAGACGCCCTCTGGTCTCCTTTCTATTCCTGTGGCCTACTTATTAGGGTCCCGACATACAGTCGTTGCCCTCCTGGATCATGTCTTCTCTCGCCGCCAACCGCGTTCCCTTGAACTCGACGGAGCATGACCTCGACCCACCACGGGCGTCTTTCCTTGATACCCGGGACTCGACAGGTCAAAACTCTCTAACTTCCTCCCCCAACAATTCTGCACCACTTTTGCAGAATACGAAGTACGAAAACGATACCTACTCAGACTCTGAGCACAATACCCCTTCAAAACGTCGAGGCATCGCCTTTTGGTTGCTTTGTGCCGCGGCGCTTGTTATTGTCGTGCTTGCTGTTATCCTTCCTGTATATTTCACCGTTATCAAGCCGAAACAGAACAATAAGGACAACAGCCAGAGCTCTACGTCGGGAGACAATTCGCCTGCACCGGAGACTCCGCAAGGCAATGGTACCAGCAACCCTCAATCGCCGACGGGTGCCATTACAGGGGGAGACGGGTCGTTAGTGACTCTCGCAGATGGTTCTTCGTTCATATATAATAACTCGTTCGGGGGGTATTGTGAGTTCGATCTTGTCCCGTCACGTTGTTTGACTGGCATTCGGATGTGACTAGCGTCTCATCCTGCCTAGGCTCCTATGCAGTTTTCTAACGTTTGCCTTTCTTTCTTCTAGGGGTGGCTGATCCAAACGATCCCTTTAGTGGAGCCGCCCGTCCCAACAGCTGGACCCCACCGCTTAACGAGAGTTGGAAATTTGGACAAGATCGTGTCTTCGGGTACATTTGTGTTCGTTCTTGTATAACTCGTTGCTCACTTTCTCAACAAGTGTGAACCTTGGTGGATGGCTTGTTCTAGAACCTTTCATTTCTCCAGCTCTTTACGAGAAGTACCAGGGTGCCGTCGATGAATGGACACTGAGTACCCTCATGGCAGCTGATACTGCCGGCGGCGGATTACAGCAGCTCGAAGACCACTACAACACGTTCATTGTCAGTACCATACGGCTCGTAACCTTTATGAATTGAGCGCTAACTCATAGTTTCACCTAGACTGAGAAAGACTTCGCTGAAATCGCTAGTGCCGGATTGAACTGGGTCAGGCTGCCTATCCCCTTCTGGGCGATTGACAAGTGGGAAGGAGAACCATTCCTCGAAAAGACAGCTTGGAAGTAAGCTTCTCCTATCTTCCTGTCTTCTCTTCTCCGGAAGGCATGGATCCTGACTTTCGTTTGCCTTCCCAGGTATGCTCTGAAGGCCTTCGAATGGGCGCGTAAGTATGGTCTTAGAGTAAACCTTGATCTTCACACTATTCCTGGCTCCCAGAATGGTAGGCATCATTCTCCTCACTACTTCCTCATACCGACATGAATACCCAGGATACAACCACTCTGGTAAATCGGGCCAAATTAACTTCCTTTATGGAGTGATGGGATACGCTAACGCGCAGAGAACTCTGAACTATATCCGGATCATTACCGAGTTCATCAGCCAGCCTCAGTACAAAGATGTCGTCGTCATGTTCGGAATCATCAATGAAGCGATTGTATCGTCAATCGGCAAAGACCAGATAACTAGCTTGTGAGTTGAAATACTCTATTTGCAGCACGGGAATTGAGAAAGCTATTTATATTTCTAGCTATCTCGAGGCGCATGACATGATTCGTGGCATTACTGGCATGGGAGAAGGGCATGGTCCCTTCATCTCGATCCACGACGGATTTGCGGGAGCTGCCAACTGGGCAGATTTTCTCCCAGGATCGGATCGAATCGCTTTGGATATCCACCCATATCTAGCGTTTTCAGGTGGTACTGCTTCGGCGCCTTTCGTTACTGGTACTGGTAACCAAGCTGGCGGTACGTGGCCCTCGGATGTCTGCCAGTGGGGGCAGTGGATGAACACAAGGTATGTATGATTAGAACTTTCATATGATAACCAAAAATTGATGGAGACCTCCCCAGTCAAACGGCATTTGGTGTAACCATGGCTGGCGAGTTCAGTAATGGCTGGAACGACTGTGGATATTTCCTCAATGGTGTTAATGGCGTTCCCACCTTCGGAGGTAACTGCAATGACTGGCAGGACTCTTCAAAGTGGGACGACCAAACTAAAGCTGCCGTATCGAACTTTGCGATGGCCAGTATGGATGCTCTCCAAAACTGGTTCTTCTGGACGTGGAAGATTGGCGTGTCGACAACGCTCGGCGTGGTGGGCTCACCTCTCTGGTCGTATCAACTCGGCTTGGAGAACGGGTGGATGCCCAAGGACCCACGGACGGCATCTGGCAGATGCGACGCGATAGGCGGTGCACCTAACGTACCCTTTGACGGGACATATTCGTCATGGATGACGGGCGGAGCGGGTGCGGGAACGATCTCTCCTACCGTTCCATGGCCGCCAGCGTCAATAAATGGCGCTGATGCGGCTTTATCATTGTTGCCTTCATACACGTCGACCGGTCCTGTGAATACGCTTTCTCCTCCCACGTTGACAGCCAAGGCGACGAAGAGTGCTGATGTTGGGAATGGTTGGTATGATGCGCAGGATACAGGGGCGGCCCCGACGGCGATTGCGGGATGCACGTACCCGAATGCCTGGGACGCTAATAATGTGGCCGTCCCTGCCGTTTGTGGGGGTGGTGGTGCTGCGGCGGCGCCAGCACCTGCTGTCGCTGCCAGTACTGCTACCAGGACAACCTCAGCTGCTGCCGCTGCCGCTGATGTTGCCCAAGAGACGGAAGTTGCTAGACGCGGTATAGGTTACGAATCGTAAAGTTTTTTTTTGGACACAATTATCAGAGAACTGTTCTCTCACTTTCGTTCTTTATGGAATGGAGTTGGGATATTACTTTCCTTATACGCACGGACTAGGTATTAGTTTGTTGCTTCAGTTATACTTATTCAACGTTTGTATGTATCATATGAGTCGGTTTCGTACATTGCATTATTCTTGTTTATCATACCTTAAAATAATGCAATGTTCTCGATTAGCGACCTTGTCGTCAATCACGCTCTCTGAATCAAGAGCTTATCTCCTTTATATCATCATCTTACGAACTACTCGTCAACACTGTCGAGAACTAGGCACTTCTTTTCCTCCACTGATAAGGTGTCGTTAACACATATAGTCTAAGGAAGATACATTACCGAGGCGGCCGATCCTTGACTCATATGACGAGCGCTCAGCCGTCAGCGCGCGCGCCCAAGAGAGATGAAAGGACATAGTACTCATCCGGATCTGCTGGGTGCCTTGTGAAGTCCCCGGATTTACCCATTGGCAGGAGGCTACAACATCTGATTCCGTCACTTGTCGAACTTGTATCTGCCAATGCCAGGGCCATACAATTATTACTTATTGCTCATATGCATAGCCTCTATTTTAATTGTTATTTTAGTAGCAAATGTCAAACGGTAGATAACATTTTGCGAGGAAACCTCAGTTGTTGTACTGCCTTGGGGCTGGAATAGGGTGCGGCTGGGGGGCGAAGGTCGGTAGGGGTCGGTCGGTTGTACAAACGTCGGAACCGTAGAATCGTATCGCATCGGGATTCGGATACGAAATCAGATATTTCGGAAAACGCCAGACTAGTGGACCGCTTGCTAAATATAGTATCATTCTTCCCACGACTTGTCTTCCTTGCAACGACCCGCGAGTCCTAGATTATCGGCTTTCAGATGAATGGACGCCGTCGAATCTGCTCCAGTATCCATATCGTTCGGACCAGAGAAAAAAAAGTGAGTTGATCTCATGTGTAGTCCGAACATCCATCGACTTTGCCGAGTTCTTTTTTGGCGCCCGTGGACCTCGAAGCAACAAGCTGAGATCTATGTTTCGAAGAGAATCATGGATGCCGCGAACCTTTACGCTGTTTGATAATTTCCGTTTCCTAACAGGGTCATGTTTCTCAGATTGCTGAGTATGTTCTCTCAAATACGCCTTGCCATTCGGACACCATCACGGGACCCGTGTTCTTCGAAGGATGAGTTGCCGACTGATAGACGCCTAGAAACGTTGGTATTCTATTAGTATATATTTTGTCACCAATGTTCACCTTAAATCCGCTTAGTGAAGTTGTCCGAAGCAGATCTTGCCGAGTCAGGACTCAGGTCCCATTATAACTCCGGGGACAAATACACTGGCACCCGTGGATGACCTTCCTGTGCCCTCGCCATTTGTCGACGACGGAAGCTTTGCCGGATCCGGTGTGTGAATTCCATCTTTGTGGTAAGCCCCTTCATCAAAATGCCCACAGGCGCTTGAGCATATGAAGGGCAGCCATATGTCTGGTTTGATCGAGGATGTTTTAGAAACCTGCTACAAGTTTTTCGAATCGAATTTCTGGCTTCCATCATTCTCAAGACTCAGGATGATTCATCGATGCAAATCTGTATCTCACCAAGTCTTCTCGTCGTATCGTTCAATCATATCCCGTGGGTCCGGTACCTAAAAACATATACCCAGAGTTCGCGCCCCGTTCAATGCCCCAACTGCACGCGTACGGCGACTATGTCGAAGGCACGCGCCTTCCATGAGTCCTAAGTTACCGGATACGCGATTGCTGATCGACTGATGATCGATGGACACCTAATGTCGAAAAACATAATGCATCAGTGCGGAAGGAAAACAGCTGGTCACACCACCTCATTCCACGTCCAAATTTGTCTTGTTTACTGATGTAATTTCAGGAGTTATCCATCACCGGAGCTGTGCACAGAGGTTTAGCAATGTTGGGACCTGCTCACGTACTGCGGGTCTTCCCGGACTTATGTTTTTCTGTTCATTCTGCACACCATCCCATTGCAGGGAGCGAGTAGGACACGGGGAAAAGCATGCCTAAACAGTGGAGAGCAATTCAGTGGGGGGGAGCGAAGTCGAATTGACGCTGATTTCGTTAGGCTTTGATTTGCAACAGTTTGCCACGTTTGGGGCAACGCCTCTAAACGGATACCTTCTTGATCAGAATGTCTATGCTCGGCGAGAGAATTTTAGCTCCTCCAGACACTTTACTCCTGTAGGACAAGCGCTCGATGTTCACGAGATCTCCGACGTCCCGATACGGCACACTGATGTGAGCCGAGAAAGCTTGGTATTAAAGAGCCTTCAATTATCACTATGACGCTGCTTGCGAAGATCAATCTGCGGCCTTTGTTCTTCCTTCAAAAGGCCCAACACTCACACTCCTTTCCCCCTCGTTCACTCGTTACATACACCACGTTATAATGCGGTCTCCACCTCCCGTCTGGGCTTCTCACGCAAAGGCATCATCCTCTTCACCCACAACCCGATACGCTCGAGCTATTATGAACGACGTCAAACCCAGCAATACCACTGGTGCCCAGGAGGTCTTCCAAACCATCTATAACGGACGGAAAAGCTGGAAGACATTGCGAGGGGGAGAGATGGTTTGGCCTGCAGAGCTCGAGGCCGCTTTAATCGAAGGTATTCAGCTACTCTAACTCCGCCGGTTGCAGTTGCACTAACACTGTTGCGTTTGCTTAGGCCTGGAGCAATACCAACCAGATGATTCGAGGGAGACGCGACTCCTAGGTCGTTTCCCTATGCGCAACCGCTTCATATCTGAATACATCTTCCGGAAGACCGGGAGACGGAGGACGGCAAAGCAAGTTGGGAGTCGCCTTCAACAACTCAGAGAGACTTGCACAGGGAAGCGTCGTACGTGTACCGGTCACTCCATGCAAATCTCCAGCTGATCATTCTGCTTCTCAAGTCATGGATCTCCTGTCTCCGTGTCGTCGACCAGTCTCTTCCTCATTGATTCGCTCTCAGTACGGCTCACAGCACGGCCTCTCCTCGCTTAATTGCGACTCGGCTTCGTCGAGTGGAAGCGCGAGCGTGCCAATTACACCTACAGACGAAGTAGCTTCTTTTGGGTTCCCGTCCCACGAGAAGCATAGCGGTCGACACACTTATTGCATCGACATCCTTCCCGACGATGCTGCCACCCACAGGCACGGCTCCGCCACTACATCCACTTCCGCCATCACGGACAATGCTAGACGGATCTCCGATGAACCCAGACCCATCCGCGCCATCGACCCTACACTCGCGTTCCTCTCTCGTTCTCCGATTGCAGCGAACTCGAACTTTACAGTTCTAGCAGACGGGGTCGTTGTCTTTTCGGAGATGACAACCCTTACATTACGCGATACGCCGCCTGCAGAAGCCGCACCCGGTACCGATGGTGCTCTACTCTATACCACTCCGCTAGTGCCAGGCTACTGGAAGACAATATCCGAGAGCTCCGGTAAGCTCATATTCCCTTCTGTTCGCTTCATTTCCTTCTAACGCGTTCACGAACAGATCCCACGAAGTACACTATCTGCCAGGATATAGTGGAAACCCCCCACCCTTCTGGAACATTGTATTCGGCAATATACAAATTCAGCTACCCCGCTGGATATTCAGCGAGCGATCCCCAGCTACTCTCCGATCCGCGCTTTGGAGGATTCCCTTTCGATAATATGCCAACCGAATGCTTCGGTACCGACGACTCGACGGAAATGATGGAGTATAGCAAGTGTGAGAGTCATGTGTATGACTTCCACTCCTTCGACGACGCTGCCTGGGGCTTCTCTACCCCCCCTCATTCCGACAGAAGCTCAGTCGAGAAGGCCGTACCCAGTCCTCGTGAGGTCTTCGATAATCATTCTACCCCTGGATCAAGTTCGCCAACATCTGTTTGTTTCCCAACGGACTTGTCAAATTATATGAGCGAGACTTACCAAATGCAATTGTGAGTCGCACTTCTCTCTTGATACTCGCCGCCGCTGATCTGCGATTCGTTTTCAGGTAAATCAAATGTATTATCCATGTACTTCCGGATTTTCATCCACTACCTGCTGTAATAGCGTAAGTGGGTCGCCGCTTGTTTAATATATCAAATTGTGAATCTCTACCCCTGCAGATATTTCTATTATCATCGCCGCTTTCGCTATCGGAGTTATTATTTTTCTAATTTAACTGGATCTTATCCATCGTATTTACACTACCATTGATTTGTCGTGCACCACATCATTTACTGTACATATATACCATAACCTCGTGTGTACGGAGCTCAATTTAGATGAATTTAGAGCTCAGCGATGCCTCTGCCCGGCGCGCTTCCTCGCTTCCCACTCCGTAAACCCTAGTAATGACTAATAGCGCAATGTCAGGACCGCGAAAATCTCTCTCATGGGAAAAAGAAAACCTACGAGATTTCAAGCAGGTTATGATCTGAATCTTTGCCGTAAACTCTTTGGTCATGAGCGATACATCTGCGTTTTGGTTAATCCCTCTGGTGATCCCCTTAGCGATCATGGCCTTCTTCGATCCGTCTACCCTGGTATAGGCGCCAACAAGCGCATCTACCCAAGTCTTCATCGCCATTCCTCCTGCCATTCCTTCCCATTTGCTCATCTCGAGAATCATGTTCGTGACGCCTCCGACAACAATGGCGACCTCACTCTCCGTGTTTCCAAGTGAATCAATACCAATCTTCGTGTCAGGGAAGTGCTTCTGGATCGTAGCTAGTACAGCCCCGTATGACACCCCATCTCCAGGTAAGCTTCCTCCTTTCCCACCAGATAGCCACGAATTAGCCTGATCAACGGCTGTGTATATGTCGGATCGGAGGGTCGGAGACATTGTCTTCTTGTCTCCGCTGGTGTTTCCTACGGCCGCAGCGGCGAGTTGGCTGGAAAAATTGCGAAACATGCTGAGAGCGGGGGGATACAGCAGCTGTGTGATCGATGTAGATGTGAGGGGAGGCTCCGTGACCATCATGCCTTGTTGACCCTTAATAGCCATCATGAGCTTCGGACTCATGTTGACCTCGAGGCAGCCCGAGAGCCGCATTTGGCCCAGTCGCCATACGTGTACACGACAAGAAGCAGAACAATTGATAAAACCGTACTACACTGGGTAAAGCTAATGCATGGAGGACGTACATGTCGTTAATAAAGCTAAGGTCAATACTGGAAATAATAACACTAAGAGACTGTAAAGGCTGACGAGATCCCGGAAAATGAAGAAATAGAGCCAATCAGCGGCTTGGAGTCACCATAATAAACGATGCGATACGTTCCAGCTGGAATGAGATCAGTTAGGAGTCGATCGATAATGCATGCTAGAGCCTTACCGGGTGTCCCACTTTCAATGGTCCTAACGTAACAAAATAATCAATCAATCATGGTGGCACCACAATCAACAGGGTTAGTAAAGGGCGCACCATGAAATGTCCACCGTACTGGTGCCAAGGATCTATGAAACAGCAACATCCATTTCAATCGCTGTTCTCCCGTCAGTTTCAATACATATGACTCACAGTACTCGTTCTATTCCACTTGAGTGTGGTGGAAGGGTGAGAATCAGACTTGACGGACACCCATTGGCCCGAGACCTGGCGATCGACCGTCAGGAAAGTACTTCCGAGTCGCAGATTGTTCTAGGTTAAGCGATGAACTTCCTAGCCAATATCACGAGGAGGAAGTGTCGGTCTTACCCGCGGATTGGCGCCAACAAATTGGGCTGTGACAGTATCCCCAACCGCGTATGAAGCCTTAACGTCAGTTAGGACATCACCGAAATGCTTCCCAATCGGGGCGGCGTCGAAAACGACACCGGTCTACAATTGAGTTGATAGATAAACAATAAACAATAAAATAAATGGAGGAATGTCAATCGAAAACGCACTTGTAAAGAAATAGCTTTGGAGGTTTGTTCGGCGGGGGCTGCATCGGAGGCTGGCGTTCCCGACGGCGACTGACCCAAAAAGGGTACGAGACTTGTGTACTTGTCGATGTAGGCCTCAAGTGTATCTGCCAATGTACCGCGTCAATCCACTATGCTTTCGAAGGGAGCGAGAAGAGCTGAACCCACATTGCCCAAAAATCGTCGAAGCACCTTCGTACCGCTGTGCACCATACTCTTCTCGGGTGGTCACATAGTGCGCATACGTGTTGGCGGGGCCGGCGAGGACCACATACGCGTTCGAGCCCAAAATGCCCGAAGATATTAATTCTGCCCGAATGGCCTCCCTAAAATAAACACATATCAAAAAGAACCCCGCAATTCATTGATGAGTTGTTGCGAACCGAATTCTTCTGCCGGCCATAGTTGTCAGTTCACCTGTGATATAATACAATATCAATAACAATAGCTTAAGGTTAACATGGGTGGCGGGTGAATTTTCTTGCCTGGCATGATGAGCATCACTAGATGATTTTGATACGTTCGATCAATATGCTGTTATCGGCTTCGAAGGAAACAACTCACCAAAATTCCCAACGCGAAGCATCTGAATGTCGACTGAGCTGGGGGACCATTCGTATGGTATATGCGCGTAACCCTGCCAGTGACGTTTAACAAAGATCCGAGGGTATCGCATTAGGTGGGAAAGCCATCGTATTTACCAGTGTTCAATAGAATTGGCTTAGGATTCTGACAAGCGATTTGGGCCTGAGATGGTAAGGGTGTCACGACGCCTATATTCAAAGTAACACATCAATCGAACTCATCTCATAACGTTAGCGAAGAAGCCACAAGATACCTTTAACGATCTCCCAGAAGGGATTCCTAAATGTCAGCAAACAGGTGCCAGTCAGAATATCTCGACTTGACTGCGTCAATGACCGACGTACTGCGTATTTGACGAGTTATCTCCTTGGACGAAGTCAAAGGCGCCGGGTCCGTCGCTGTGTCATAACTAATGAGTGGAGATGTGAGCTAAGATCGCGCTACCCCACTCACGTGGTGCCGCCCGCGAAAGAAAAACCTGTGATTGACAGCCAATTACAACCCCTGGCCACAAATTCGGAGGAAAATAAGGAGGCCCACCCATAGCAGCGGGACACGTTTGCACAGTAGTTCCATTAGGCAAGGTAAATGTATGGTTCGCCCTTGAGAATTCACATTAGATCTAGCCAGAAGAGAAAAAACGATCAAGCATACATATTCATGTAAACATGCACACTTCTCACAGCTCCACTCACGGGCGCCAAGGAGCCTTCCATGATCGTTCGAGCTCCTTCGAACTGCTTTTCACCGATGATTCTATTAGACTCGAAATCAGACACGCGAAATCCCGGGCCACTAAGCGCTCGATATGTTAGTATGGAATTTTTTGTATCATCTATTTTCATGAGCGCTTACCGTCCATGACAGTCTTGCACGGTCCCACCGCAAGTCGAGTGATCGAAGTCGCAAGCTAGACCATCATAATCTTTTCCTGGGCTTTCGCAGAAAGCGCCGAGACTGTATGGAACATGTTTAGAGGGGTGAGAGTGGAAAGAGAACCAGAAAACGCACGTGTTAGGGCTGGTGTCGCCCACATTGGCTTGTGTGAACCCAGCAACGAACGACGTGTTGCCTGGCATTGCATCAGGTTCTAGCATAGACTCGTAAAGGTATGCGGCCATCCCCTTGTTATCTGAGCTGACGAGAGGTGTTGTTCTATCAACACGCACATAAGAACTGACCGAAATAGTTCCGAAATTGGACCACACATACTTCATAGATACTCGTTCCATGGACAGCAAAGAAACTCAAGAAACCTCTCGCTGTACCCGATTCGTCATCGAAACGTAGGAGCGTCATATCTTTGTCCTGGTCATACTCATATCTCGCTCTTTCCTCTGCGGGGTTGTTCAGGTACGCGGAAGGTGACCGATTGGTATTAGCGTCCAAAATAGTGGTGTTTCCCAGGCTTAAACTTCCGGGCGCCAAACTATTATGAGCACGCTGCGCTGCTAGGACCGTGCCGCTCACGATAGCCTCCGCTGTCTGAGGAACGTAGCCCAAGGAAGTTATCTGAGGTAGGAGGTTCTCCAGATACCCCCCGACACCGGAGTGTTGATGAGTCCCTATCAGCGCTATGTTTTCGTTCGTGTAGACGCCCGGGTACAAGGAAGACAACTCCGCGACGATCGAGCGCCTAACACCTGAATCTCCCATGGCTATATCTGTACGGAATGAAAATCGTGTTAGATTCGCTGTGCAGATCTCTTCAAACAGGAAAAGCTAGGGACTGGGTTTTGGAGAGGAAATCATCAATGATCCGTGCTTCGCGCAACAGCAAAACACCTCTGAAAATCCATCGAAGCATGTAAAACTGGATGATGGTACCTCCGTCCATCATTTCAAGACTACTCCCTCGATCCGGTGACCACGAAATTACCCAGGCGCTTAATGAACTTCCGCGCTAGCGTATCATCGCTGGCAATCATTACCCGGCAATTCATCGACACAGAAGACCGTATTCGTCCGCTCAGCACGCAGTCGAAGTGATAGGACTCACCAGAGTTGATGAACAGAATTCGACTGGAAGGGTCTGATGCATCAGCTACGATAAACACACGGCTGAACTGACGCATATGGAGCCCAGTATCCGTTTGCGCTAGAGATGCATAGCCCTACAATTTCCCTTCAGCCAGGTGAATAGAGAGAAGCTGAATTTCTCCACCATCATGTTGGTTTCCACAATCGGGCTACCCAACCGTCAGTCGAATATTGACAGCATGAGAACTTGCGACATACCCAGTGATATCAGCAACGCCTATACTGCCGTTAACCAGCGAAGAGAGAGACGAAAAGAGAAAGCAACGCACCCAATCCCAGAAGGTACTGAGCCGCCACGACATTTCCACCACTGCCAGAAACTGCCAGCAACGCAGTCATATACCACATAAACCCAACCATAGCGTTCCACAACGAGTTCAGTGTATCCCACAAGCCGTCCTGGGAGCTGATAAAGGCCATCGGAGCGTGTCTGAGGTTCAATCCTTATATCGCTGTGAACGTGATGGGGGTAATTGGGAAACCGCGCGGATGCTGGCTTCTAAATCGCGTGAACAGGTAATCACAAGATAAAAGTGGACCGGCAATGACGTCCTGGGACGTTATATGGACAGTACGTGACAGCATTTTCATCAATAAGATGCCAGTGCTGTTGTGGCTCACGAGCAAGAGGCGAGTTATCTGTTGACAAATTCGGAAAATCCGGGGAAATTCGGTCTAGACCGTTAACACTAATGTTCAAAATAGGCTTTAGACTCCCGTCCTGTGAACTTAACTTACATGCAGTAAAGTAGAGTACAGTATCTAGGAAAAGATAACTGATAAAAGTAGGAGGGGGGGGCATTGACATTCCAGAGAAGACCACTACAGCGATATGTAAAATCAACGGGAGCGCAAAAATAGCTCAAGTAGAGGTATTACGAGACTTGGGAATGGAAGGAGAGGAAGAAATAAAAGTACAATTGAGGCCCAGGAGAGAAAAAAAATACATACCCAGCACCTGACATGATCACTCTCCTACGCTTCTCGGTCTGACCTGTCCCATTTCTCCGGTGCCCAGGTGACACTGCACAGAAGTGCTATGAATGCTAGAGGAGGAGAGCGACTGTTCCGGCCCCCACTGATCTGTGGCGTCCATGTCTCGAAAGAAACCATGGTAACCATTGCGAGATGTCGTTTGGCGTAGCCTGTAAGCGAGGATGGGGAGATTGAGCCGTGCAGCACTTCCACGCTGATGACATTGATAGCGACTTCAGGCCTACATAAAGAAGAATTAGAAAGAAACCTGGTGGTTACGGTTCAAAGATTCACAGCTTTGGCAGTAATGGCGTTCGACATCATCAGTGCCGAGTTGCCGAAGGCTAAAATAGCGCAGATAAATTTAGCCAATATCTTGACGAAAAAAAGGGAAATTTGTAGCAATAAAACTGGTGTGCCGAACTTGACCAAATTGGTACTGTCGCGCGCTGGGTGCTGCTGGCAGTAGGGAAATCTCCGTAGTTTGGGGCAGGAAATACTGTAACCAGGTTTCAATGTTCCAGTAAGAATATACGGGACTACGGGGAGCACAGTTCGGGCCTTTGATCCCCACCTCGTCTAGTAACTCTTCCAAGTGACATCAATGAGCAATGTCTCGTGGAACAAACAAACTAGAGACGGGTTCAGTGGGACAGAGGAATCGTCTACTGGGAGTAATCCAATATTGCAGATATCAACGTTGCGACTGGGAGTGACAGAGTGGTTCGGGGTGACGACGACTAGATCGAGGAAGTGGAGCACTGAGAAGTCCTCCCAGCCTGGCAGTCTTTTGCGGAATATATATCACTGGCGAAGTCGAAGATTCCTTCGAAATCGACGGTGCTGGAAGACATAGGCATCTTTCATGCATTCAGTAGCGCCCCCGTTAGAAGAACTTCTAGTCTGTTCCACGTTCGGTTGTGAGCGCGGTAGATGCTGGTTATCATCTCGAATCGGGGGCTTCAGTAATTCTTGGTGCGAAAGAGTGTCATTTTCGCAGGAAGGGCATTGGTGCTGGATGGTATGCCGCCACGGTGAAGAGGGGCAAAAAACAGCATAGATCATGGTTGGACATGACGATGGTCAATCCTGGCTGAGCGAGGGAAGGAGCCGGCACAAAAATCATTGAATGCGAGCGTGCCTAGGACAAGAGCAAACGACGGAAATGTCATGGAGAAAAAGAGTCGGTATGAATAGTGCTCACCATACAAGCCACACCGGGGAATCCTTCCATGAACCCAAGTCGAATTGCCTGCTCAAAGCTCTCGGAACCTTTTGCCGTATGCGGTACAAACAAGACTATCCAGATGAAGTCCTTCTTCCTTTTGCTTCTGTCCTCGAATTCTATGCGTTTTCGGGTTTCCTTCTCGAGGCTTTCCTCAATCTGGGTCGGGTACATCCGCTGGCTTCGACGCATGTATCACGTACCCGTTTGCTTGGCTCTAAAGTCCTTGATCCGGCTGCCCTCACAAAGTTTCAGATTCCCTTCATTACAAAAAGAATATTCCAGATATACATAGCAATAGACGATGAACTCACGAAGACCAGTATCCCACCTATTCGTAATTGCGGAATAGATGTGTGGGTCTGGTTACTACTCCCAAAGAGAAGCAGCGCGTTCCGGAGCAAGAAAGGTAGCGGATCGCGGCAGCGGATGACTGATTCTGTCGTCAGAGAAAGAGAAGGTGGCTTTTCAATGGCGTCTCTGAGGGCTGGACCTTGCTCAGATACGGTCCGAGTTATACGATTGCTATTACATGCCTTCGACAAGGACATAGAAGGCCGAAGATGAGATCTTCTAGTTTTCTCGGGAAAACCCTGCGTCTCCGTGTGAGGCGCAGTACATGTATGTAATGTTCGAATACCGCCACATCCAAAACAGTTTTGTTCCACAAGTGGTGCTAGGGTTGTAGAAGTCGGTTTGAACAACGGTATGCGGGAGCCCGAAGGTCATAAATGACAACACTGCCTTCGGCTTCGAGAGAGTCTTTGGTCCCGAGTTCCGAATGCAAGAAGCAATCAAGGCAGTGCTGTGAAGAGAAGAAACTTGTTTTACGACATGAGAAAAGAAGCTCACAGCTGTATACAGGAATCAAGGGAGTGCGAAAAATCCGTCAGCTGTGCTGTTTATTCAAGGAGAAAAGCGAACACCTTTATTTCCGGGAGGCTCCACGAGACAGTGATCTACATAGCGTCAAAGCGCCCAGATGCCAAAAAGCGAGTCCAATCTCCGCGTGATGCATCTTTGTTGTGAGCAAAAATGGTTGACTCGGTGGGAACGGGTCTCGGGAAGACGAATTGCCAAGTGATTTTGATAAGTTAGTTTAGGCTAGAACCCGTCATGGTCCCAATAAGGTGTAGAAGCAACGCTTATTAATACGTCACCAGCTACAGTCGCGTCAGTGAGAAGAAGAGATTCTGAGATTCCTTTCCGAGGTATGGTTCGGATATCGTAGTAATGGAATACGTACGAGCGGCGTCGAGGTTTATATCACTGTGGAGCACATTATGCTACTCCATGCTGAAGCTCGAAGCGTATTGATTGAACCAAGGAACTAGCATCGAGCCTTGTATGGCATATGTCCTTTATCACCGTCACGGGTAACCCAGTGCTGCGATGAAATGTGTAAGCGATCTGGTTAGATAGACAATAAAAGCTGGAGAGCGATTCGTCGTCCATAAATATAGAGCGATACACGTTGGTCAGTGGGTACTCTCCATAGAATTCGCATATACGCTGAGACGATGTCCGGCGCGTACGGCAAGTGGCGTCGGGCACACACGGAGCAAGAACTCAAGGCGCCTATTTACCTAAGACAATATAAGTATAGGTATACGCATATATGCATGTTTGCGACTCACAATCAAAGATACGGAAACGGTCGTCAGCTCCCGTGCTACATTGTCTAGACTCGGATGTTCGTGAGAGTACTCTTCATGGTTGCTGTGCGAAAGACTAAACGTTGACAGTTACCGCCTCGCGGTATCAAGTAGAGAGGGAGAAAAGACCAAAGCCTGAGAGGATTGAGACAAGTGAAAATCATTTTATGGGGCGGAGGTCACCATATGATGTACAATGAGATGCAAAGAAGCGAATGGCGAGAACCAGAGCAACCTGAGCCAGAGATGAAATGACAGAGGCCGGTCGGCTCAATGTAAAATTCGACTGAGAAGGCGAGGGAGGCGATAGTGAAGGTAGGAGCGGAAAGGCAAGAGAAGAACCAACCCTCGACTGGTATTTATAGGCGCGTGTCATGGCACGTCAGTCGAAGCATGCACGTGAGGGTAATCTTGCCCAGAAATCAGAATGACATCAGACCTATGCACCTTGATTCTCAACAAACAGAAGAACTTGTGCTGGGATACGGAAAACCACTGACCAGTGCTTATACAATGAGTGATTTGCCTACTCGCTAAAAAGTAGCAGGGTCGGCGCGCTGGTCTTGGTAATTACCCGGAAGAAACGTTGTATATGGCTTGGTAGCCGGCATGTGGTGTATATCCAAGAGAGGGTCAAGGATTGGGATATGTGACCAGGAGATTCTAGCTGGTGCAGACATGCTTAGTAGTGACCTAAGTCGAGAGAGGCAAGTAGCTGACATGAAAATTTCAAATTGATTTTGCGGCTTCCGGGCCTAATATCCGCATGTGACCATGCTCGACCCTGTTCGACCTTTGTTCCGAAGCCACTCCTTTCCGCTCCAACTTACAACCAAGGCAAGAAAAAGTATGTCTCATCTGGACGTGATACAAATCCGCTTTTACATTAGATCCATATATTGCAGATCCAACTTCCTCAAGAAATTCTCAACAGAGTTGTCAACGAACTTCGAACTCTCACACATCTCAACACGTCGTCTCGAGCTAACTTGCATTTCGTGGATACCAAGTTTCATCCCGGTAAGGCCTCTCTTTCTCTGTCAACATTAATCTTACAGTGGACTCTCTAAGCTACAGAAATCTCGTGTCCACCAATCAATCCTGTTACCCTCTCTTTCCACGACAGACGCGGTTAACTCAGGCTGGGACAATTCGCCGCGCCGGTTCACACAGTGCCTGCAGTCGTTCAAAATGTAAAAGACTTCGGTCACCCTGATTGTTGGCGTAACGGAGGAACATATCCTTCAATAACATGTTACCGGAGGATGACGAAGCGCTGATGTGCAACTTTGGGAAGGCGGTTGCAGCCATTTTTGAAGAGTATGTGAGTGTCGTGTTAAAAAACAGGGATCCAGATATTGTGGAAGACCCCACGTGGGCGTCATGGATCGACGATGAAATTGCGTTTCGTCGAACTTTCGTGACGTTAGGGTGATTCGTCATTCCACAGCTTCTTGATGCTTTATTTCACGAAGAATGTTCACTTTAATGGTGTTATATCATTGCTCTCTAGGTCCCAGACTCACACTTAGTGCAGCGGCTATTTCAAGGCGTCAGAAGACTGACGAAGCCATAGACAGAGTAAGCGCTTAACTCAAGGTAAATCGGCCGCATGACTTAATGATGCATACCATGTTTACGGCTTAATCTGATCTCTTATCGATTCATCTCTTGGAATCACTTTCATACCATCCCGAACGTCTTTATTACTCCTGGGACCTCCGTCATACACAGATCTAGTATTCGTTATCCTTCAAGTTCTTTCCTCGCCAGCACCATCTACAAAACCAAATAATACCGACCCTGCAGAACAAGTGTGAATTCGGTCGACGGTGAGCCTCAACGTCTTAGCATTCCGATGGCTCTCTTACATAGCTTCACAGAGATGTCGCTATCTCAGCCAGTTTCTCCCACTACACCCGTTATGGCTCGCGCGCGCACACTCTCAGGCGGCTTATTAAAGTGTCCTGAATGCGGATATGCGCTGCTAGAGAAAATCATTGCCCCCCCTCTCTCTTCATCGCGATTCGAGGAGCTCTCGTCGTGCAATGACGCCCCTCTGGACTCAGAACGTACAACGCTTGAAACAGTTGTCCGAGAGGGCGAAGCCAACCTGTCTTCTCTACCCCGGCGCATCGCTGCAGCCCGAGAAACGCTGCAAATTCTCCTTAAAGAGCAGACCGGCACCGTAAAGCGTATCACGGATGCCAAAGTCCTTCTCAACCCCGTTCGCAGACTACCAGCGGATGTGCTGATCGACATATTCACCGAGTGTCTGCCGGAGGATATGGATTCTCTTGATACTAAAAGCACACCATGGGCGCTTTCTCAGGTCTGTGCGTCTTGGAGAAAGACTGCTTTGGCGTCGACGGGATTATGGGCACATATTCATTTGAAAATGGACCTCTGCACGAATCACACCAAATGTGTATTCCGCTTTGGGACTGTATTGCACAGAGCGGGAATGCACCCCCTCAAGGTCAACATCATCGGTCGTCGAGACTTCTCACAGCACCCTGTCTTTGCGATGATCCTACCCACATCAATGCGATGGACGTCTTTGAATGTCATCGCACCGCTCCATTCTTTCCGTTTGTTCAACAGCATATCACATCAGTTACCTCTCTTGGAGATCTTGTCTATTGAGGTATCGGGCGCTCGTCGGTCAGATATATCGCTCGAATCGGATTTTGTCGTTTATGGCTTTTGCGAAACTCCCCGCCTCCGAGAATTATCACTCACGCAAGGATTGACATCCGACATGTCTTTCTTTCCACGCTTGTTTGCTTTACCACTGGAAACGATATCACGGTTAGATCTTGTTTCGACAATCCCCGATGTGGTATCTCTCTTCCAATCTAACAGAGCGAAACATCTGATAACTTTTTCTATCGATTTGGTCGATTATGAGCGTCGTGCGTTATCACAGCAAATCGAAATTCCGGTGATCAGACATGCTTGTCTTCGGCTTCTTGTCCTCGTCGACTCCGCTGCCGGACTTTTGTCCCGACTCCGCCTACCGGCTCTTCAGAGACTGGTACTTCTTCTTTCTAAAAGAATTAGCCTCCCCAGTATATTTGAACATACAGCACCCACTTTGACAGAGCTGACGATACACACTGAACAATCCGTCGATGGACGTGCATTGGCAAATATGCTGCAGTGGACTCCACTTTTGAGAGCAATGACACTTGAAACCGTGCTCAAGACCGATGCACTCTTCATTGCCCTCGGAAGATCGAGCGATGGCGTTCTCGAGTTGGTTCCACACTTGGCAATGATTTCTCTCGAAAAGACTGTGTTAAACTTCCCAAACCCAGATCGTGCTATTGAAAATATGGTTGAAGCACGCCGCGTCGTTGCACCTGGTGAAAGACGGGCAGTATTAAAGGAAGTGCGTTGGATGACGAAGAAGGTCTGACTGTACGCTGTACAGCTTGAGTTTAGGAACCGGACCAGAATCACATTTGTACCACGTTGTATTTCTACTTGTACTTCTTTTCGTTTTGTTATCTCTCTGGTGCCGAAGATATTCTGGCATCCACTTCACTCCCACGTTATATGCTAGCAGGTGTTATATAACTAGTTTGCGTCGAGATTCTTGTACCACTTTCTAGTTCAAGTTCCTACTAACTACAGATCCTGAAGTCTATAGTTCTACGATCACAATACTTGACATAGCGTTTTCGTGTTTCCTATGTAGATGAATGCTGAGTGGGGGCCAAGGTCTTCGGCGAGTGGGAGTCCCCCCCAGCTATACGGACAAGGAACCGTATCTTGACTTCGACGGCATTTAATAGCTAGTACACGTTAGAATAGTGGGCTCAAGGTGTTCGCAATCCGTAAAATGTGAACGACTCGACCAGGCTATGGACGAGGAGGGTACGTAGATTTAACTGACGGAAGACGTGTCGTCGTAGTTAAGAACAGGATAATATCACATTCAGTGATGAGGCAAGTTGGCTAGGTATTCGGAATTTCAATGCCTGCAGGAATGTCAGCACACCATAAGCCACATCAAGATAGAGTTCAAAGTACCAGCCAGCCCCTGAAACTTCGTGCAATACAATTCGACGTGATAGTCCCTCCAGGTTAAGGCATTAGCCATGTAATAAGATTACTTTCGCGAGGGAAATATGTCTGTCTGCAGCGTCAGCGAACCACATCGTTTTAATGCAGAGCAATAAAAACAAATAACAAGGACTAGCCATCTTCGTGAGTGGAAAAGACAAGTTTCAAATTGATTTTGCGGCTTCCGGGCCTGATGTCCGCATGACACATGACCAGGTTCGACCCTGTTCGACCCTGTTCGACCTTTGTTCGACTGGTTCCGCTCCTTTCCGCTCCAACGCAACTTACAACAGAGGCAAGAAAAAATATTTCTCATCTGGACGTGGTACGAAACCGCTTTTACATTAGATCCATATATCGCAGATTTAACTTCCTCAAGAAATTCTCAACAGAGTTGTCAACGAACTTCGAACTCTCACAAATCTCAACGCGTCGTCTCGAGCTAACTTGCATTTCGTGGATACCAAGTTTCATCCCGGTAAGGCCTCTCTTTCTCTGTCAACATTAATCTTACAGTGGACTCTCTAAGCTACAGAAATCTCGTGTCTAACAATCAATCCTGTTACCCTCTCTTTCCACGACAGAATCGGTTAACTCAGGTTGGGACGATTCGCCGCGCTGGTTCACACAGTGTCTGCAGTCGTTCAAAATGCAAAAGACTTTGGTCACCCTGATTGTTGGCGTAACGGAGGAACATATCCTTCAATAACATGTTACCGGAGGATGACGAAGCGCTGATGTGCAACTTTGGGAAGGCGGTTTCAGCCATTTTTGAAGATTATGTGAGTGTCGTGTTAAAAAATAGGGATCCCGATATTGTGGAAGACCCCACTTGGGCGTCATGGATCGATGATGAAATTGCGTTTCGTCGAACTTTCGTGACGTTAGGGTGATTCGTCATTCTACAGCTTCTTGATGCTTTATTTCACAAGAAGGTTCACTCTAATGGTGTTATATCATTGCTCTCTAGGTCCCAGACTCACACTTAGTGCAGTGTCTATTTCAAGGCGTCAGAAGACTGACGAAGCCATAAACAGAGTAAGCGCTTAACTCAAGGTATATCGGTCGCATGACTTAATGATGCATGCCATGTTTACGGCTTAATCTGATCTCTTATCGATTCATCTCTTGGAGTCGCTTTCATACCATCCTGAACGTCTTTATTACTCCTGGGACCTCCTTCGTCATACACAGATCTAGTATTCGTTATCCTTCAAGTTCTTTCCTCGCCAGCACCATATACAAAACCAAATAATACCGATCCTGCGGAACAAGTGTGAATTCGGTCGACGGTGAGCCTCAACGTCTTACCATTCCGATGTCTGTCTAATATAGCTTCACAGAGATGTCGTTATCTCAGCCAGGTTCTCCCACTACACCCGTTATGGCCCGCGCGCGCACACTCTCAGGCAGCTTGTTAAAGTGCCCTGAATGCGGATATGCGCTGCTAGAGAAAATCATTGCCCCCACTCTCTCTTCATCGCGATTCGAGGAGCTCTCGTCGTGCAATGATGCCCCTCTGGACTCAGAACTTACAGCGCTTGAAACAGTTGTCCGAGAGGGCGAAGCCAACCTGTCTTCTCTACCCCGGCGCATCGCTGCAGCCCGAGAAACGCTGCAAATTCTCCTTAAAGAGCAGACCCGCACCGTAAAGCGTATCACAGATGCGAAAGTTCTCCTCAATCCCGTTCGCAGACTACCAGCGGATGTGCTGATCGACATATTCACCGAGTGTCTGCTGGAGGATATGGATTCTCTTGATGCTAAAAGTGCACCGTGGGTACTCTCCCAGGTCTGTGCGTCCTGGAGACAGACCGCATTAGCATCGACGGAATTATGGGCACATATCCATCTGAAAATGGACCTCTACGAGAATCACTCACAGTGTGTATTCCGCTTAGGGACAGTATTGCACAGAGCGGGGATGCACCCCCTCAAGGTTAACATCATGGGTCGTCAAGGCTTCTCACAACACCCTGTTTTTGCAATGATCCTACCCACATCACTGCGATGGACGTTTTTGGATGTCATCGCACCGCTCCATTCTTTCCGCTTGTTCAATAGTATATCGCATCAGCTGCCTCTCTTGGAGACCTTGTCTATTGAGGTATCGAGCGCCCATCGGTCAGATATAAAGCTCGAATCAAATTTTGTCGTTTATGGCTTTTGCGAAACCCCCCGCCTCCGAGAGTTATCACTCACGCAAAGATTGACATCCGACATGTCTTTCTTTCCTCGCTTGTTTGCTGTACCATTGGAAACGATATCAGACTTAACTCTTATCTCGACGACCTCCGATATGGTATCTCTCCTCCAATCCAATAGGGAAAAACATATGATGACTTTTCGTACCCTGTTGGTCGATTCTGAGCGTCATGTCTTACCACAGCAAATCGAAATTCCAGTGATCAGACATTCTTGTCTTCGGTTTCTTGTCCTCGGTGATTCCCCTGCTGGGCTTTTGTCCCGGCTCCGCCTACCGGCTCTTCGGAAATTGACACTTCTTCTTTTTAAAAGATCTATCCTCCCCACTTTATCTGAACATACAGCGCCAACTTTGACCGAGCTGACAGTAGACTCTAGTAGTCGCTCGGTTGATGGACGTGCATTGGCGAATATGCTGCAGTGGACTCCAAATTTGACAGAAATGACACTTGAAACCGTGCTCAAGACCGATGCACTTTTCATTGCCCTCGGAAGATCGAGCGATGGTGTTCTCAAGTTGGTTCCACACTTGGAAATTATTTCTCTCGAAAAGACTGTGTTAGACTTTCCAAACCCCGATCGTGTTATTGACGATATGGTTGAAGCGCGCCGCGTTGTTGCACCTGGTAAAAGACGGGCAGCACTAAAGGAGGTGCGTTGGATGACAAAGAAGGTCTGACTGTACGCTGTACAGCTTGAGTTTAGGAACCGGACCAGAATCACATTTGTTACCACATTGTATTTCTACTTGTACTTCTTTTCGTTTTGTTGTCTCTTTGGTGCCGAAGATATTCTGGTATCCACTTCACTCCATTAACAGGTGTTATATAACTAGTTCGCGTCGAGATACTTGTACTACTTTCCCGTTCAAGTTCCCCCTGACTAGAGGTCCTGAAGTGTATAGTTCTACGATTACAATATTCGACACAGCGTTTCCGTGTTTCCTATGTAGATGAATGCTAAGCGGGGTGCCAAGGTCTTCGGCGAGTGGGAGTTCCCCCCCAGCTATACGGACAAGGAACCGTATTTTGACTTCGACGGCATTTAATAGCTAGTACACGTTGGAACAGTGGGCTCAAGGTGTTCGCAATCCGTAAGATGTGAATGACTCGACCAGGCTATTGACGAGGAAAGTACGTCAATTCAACTGACGGAAGACGCGTCGTCGTAGTTAAGAACAGGATAAGATCACATCCAGTGATGAGGCAAGTTGGCTAGGTATTCGGAATTCCTATGCCTGCAGGAATGTCAGCACACCATAAGCCACGTCGAGATAGAGTTCAAAGTACAAGTCAGCCCATGAAACTTCGTGCAATACAATTCAACGCAATAGTCCCTCCAAGTTAAGGTATTAGCTATGTCATATAATAAGACTACTTTTGCAAGGGCAATATGTCTGTCTGTGGCGTCCTGAGCGAACCACACCCTTTTAATGCAGAGATCGACGGATAATTAAAAAAAAAAAGCTATCAAGGCTAAGAGCACGATGTACGACGCCCTAAAATGGAGATAAACCAGGGTCTACGAAGCGACGTCATGATTCTACGACTCAGAGGTGCTTACCGTACGGGTCACACAGGATCATGCTTAATCGTTCAACAATCAAATACATCGCAATCTGTCATCTTCAGTGAGTCCATCAACTGGGGAATAGAAGAACTGCGAGTAGTCTAGAACGAAGGTGTCCGCATACTACTCCTGCTGAGCAGAAACCTTGGAGATTCTTGATAGTCGTTTAAGCGGCAGCCACACAATATCCAACCAATAAATCAGCCCTAGGTCGCGTAAGGCGGCAAGGCACGAAGAAATCCGCTGAAGAGAAGAACGATACGATGAGAGAAAGAGGCAAGATATGACTCGTTTATGTTGGAGAAGGATCCGTAGGTTTACACTTCTATTATTACATATCACACCATCTTCCTTAGCTAACCTTTTTCGTACTTTCCTCGATCACTCTCGATCACGTATATAAGGCGTATCGTACCTTTTTCCACCCTCAGTCGTTTCCGCTTTTCGCTGCGCCGACTGAGGTGTGTACTTTCATAGCTTCTTCAGTATTCCGACATACTTACGCAGTTGATATAGTTCTTACACACTTGTTCTCTGTCTTTAGGTATTGTAGCACTCAATACGAGTCGTTTCCGCTTTTCGCTGCGCCGACTGAGTTCTTACACACTTGTTCTCTGTCTTTAGTTTATTTTCAAAGGCGTCGGGCACGTGCGTGGCACGAAGACAATCCTTCTTCGTTCCCTCTCTTTCCCGCCGCCACTCCGCGTACCCAACCTCAAAACAGCGATTCTCCTACCAAGAGCTTCACCCAGTTACCCACTAGGCCATGTCAAATTTAGCTTCAACTGTCATGTCGCAAGTTCGGCTGCATCATTTCCTGTGACTCTACTTTATAGCTTGTCCTAGAGCACGGGCACACGATGTCTCTAGAAATACAGTCCGAATTCGAGCAGGAAATTATGGATTGTATGTTCGGCGTATGGTTCTAACGGCGCGCTCCGGATATAGTCGGATCTATAACTATTGTTCGTCATCTTCCTTTGTAGGGGCCCTCGTCTTCAGTTCTCCTTTTTCCACGGCACTATTCTTCTGCCAGGTAACCATTCCTTCCTTCTTTCCGCGTTGCGGTCATGAGATGGAAAACCGGTAGCCACTGGCCCACTTTTGTTGATGATTTTTGGTCGTTCATCGAATCATCGCATTTCTAGTTTCCAAGGCAAACAACTGGCAATGCAATAGTGGTACGCTGCTCTTCATTTCGTGTTTGGTTCATGACTTCTAGTAGCCGCAGAGACGGGACCGGTGCTTTTGCACAGTATATTTAGGCGGGAGCTTCCCGGGGCCTCTGACGGATTCCAAATGTCGAAGTTAAGATCAAAGACACCGTCCCTCCAGATGGCCTGCCAATGATTTCAGCAACCGTAGTTTGCAGTTACCATTGATATTTTACTCCTCGAGAAATAGGAATTGGTTATGGGAGGGTGGTAGGAGAATCAAATTCTGACTGTCAACAATTTGCAGTGTCGGCGCTATGGTGTAGTGGCAGCACTTGGGATTTTGATTGTCAAGAACAACAAAGTTTCTTTCCCCGGGGCTCGAACATCTCGCGGAAGGACACAACCCAGGTTCGAACCCTGGTAGTGCCTTTGTAATGATCTTTAGTTTCTTTTGCTCAGGTCCCGACGAATCCCGAGTCCAGGGAGGGGAGGTAAAATATCAGTAACTTACTGGTACGAAACCCGGTGAGGGTTGACTCCGGATGGTGGACAAACTTCAAGCATCATATACAATAATTCCAGAACCACGGCATACCCTTATTTTAACTCTCAGTTGTTCGTGGATATCACCCCCGTTATCAGTGAATATAAATCCGGTTGGAGAACGATCAGTCACATCGGGGGATTAAAGATCCACCTTACGAAACACAAGGCGGGACCAAATCGACGCATCCGTACTCTCGTGGCAGAACAGGGCGATGATGACAGAGGTGATGGAAGGAAAACGGATTTTACGGAGAGAAGTGCTGTTCCTCGCGCGTGTTAATCTGTGGGTTTCTCCTCTTGAAATCGGTCCATGTGCATATACAATAAGTGCCTGGAGGACAATACTATCGTTTCTGCGACTCTGAACGCGGTGCCTTAGGGTTGAGACCAAGAAAGCTACTGATCCAGTAGGTTTCTTCGCAAGAGCGTGATACAGTCGCACATGGGCAAGTAACTTGTGAGCGTATCAGCGAACACAAAGCCCTGTCAGCAGGCCAGCCACGACAAGAAGCGGTTCCTGCCAATAGATCAACATTCCATAATAAGATGAAATACAAGCAAGTTAAAAGGCAATTGAACATTCTGATGCATGGTATGTGATGAATAATAAGTAAAAATTGAACGAAACAAGAAAGCAAGATGCGAGCTGTGAGCGGAAGCGATAATGCAAATGAAGGCGGAGAAGTTAAATCCGAGAATAAATCCAGTCGTTAAAAATCGTAAATTAGTCCTCATTATAATGGGAGGGAGGGAGGGAGTGGGGGGAGACGCTAGGTCACTGTCTGAGATATCTGTCTTCGTTTCCATACGCGTACGCTGGGGGTGGAAGGACGCTCGGATCAGGCTCGAACTCGTAAGCATCAAAAGCGCCCTTGCGGAACCCCTTCTTATCTCGGGACCACGGAGACGCGGGCGCAAGGTCGAGTTCACCGACACCTCGAGGTGTGAACGGCGCTCGAGGGTCAGAGAACGTCCACACACCATCTGATCTCCGATTTGCTATACGCATATTAGATCCTGGCGTGTGCACTGCGACAACTTCTCAGTACAGCCACGGACTGCGTCGACGGTAGTAATACGCACCGAATTGTGGCGTCTCCCCGCCTGGTGCGCCAAAGGGCGTTATTCGCGAGGCGATGTGGGCGCGATCAACGACGGTAGCATGCCTGGAGAAGATGTAGTCGTCGGAGCCTGAGCTGGAGGATTTACGGCGCCGGAAGGTGAAGAAGAGGATTATGGCGATGACGAGGATGGCGATGGAGGCTAGGGTTACACCCACGATGAGCGGCCGATTGTCAGTGGAAGACGGGCTTGTAGAGACGGTGGGTGTCGAAGAGGAGGAGGAAGACGATGACGCTGTCGATGACATGTTTGATAAACTTGTGCTCGGTTAGTATTTGGCGCACTATCGAACAGAAAGACGACGTACGTATTGTTAAATCACTCAGCGCCTTGACCACAAAAACTCAATACACCCTCCAGCAGCAACGCAGGGAGCCGCAGAAAACGATTGTTCCAGTCGTAAAGATGAAGAAAGAAAGTGCCTGAGAAAAGAGGGTCCTGGGAACATGAGGCCAGTCACATCAATTGATATGTCATGAATAAGCGCACCTGGTGACACTGACAAAAAAAAAGTCAGGCAGCAGGACTACAAGAGACGGCACAGAATTAAGGGAGAAGGAGGGAAGGAGGAAGGAGGAAGGGTCCAACGACGAAAAAGAACCATTTCGGCGTCCGCATGGTACCGCCTTGAATCGAAAAGGGAAATGCCGAGCTCACGTGCTCGTCACGTCGCGTCGAGATCGCTCGGATTTGGCCCGATCTGGAATTGTCGTCAGGACTTGGACAATGGACGCGATAATCGTTCGACCTTGCGCGTGAACTTCTCTGGCCCCATAAACAGTGTTCTGATGTAAATATCAGAGTTCATTGCCACTATATCAAGCCGCCGGAATTTCTTCTCCTAGGGTCTGGTGCAATGCAGAAAAGATAATTGATTCATGCCCAAAGATGTTTCCTATGCTGGTATAAACGTTCCTATTTCGTTGAACATTCCCCAGTGCAAGCTTTATGGCCGTCCCAAAAAAACGTAGCAAATCTCGTGATTAACGGACCTGGGGATCGAACCAGGCAAGTCGCGCTCAAGCAAGTTATGCCACAGCGCCCGCTGCCATTACTAACTGGATGCAAACTACGTACTTGACCACAAGTTGTCTCCATTGAATATCAAGGTAAATTAAGCAAACACGAGTGTGCTCTGCTGGCAAATCACACAAGCAAAATAAAATGAAAATTTTGGGACAACACACATGTTGCTTCCGGGACTCGAACCCGGAATTATAGGTGCCCCACTGCTGAGCCATGCAGTACATATTTGTTACTCACTCTATTTCGTTGAACACTCCCCAGTGCAAGCTTTATGGCTGTTGCAAAACATCTGATGCATCTACCTAGTATTAACCAGGGCCTGGGGATCGAACCAGGGAACAAGCAAGTTACACCACGGCGCCATTAACTGGATGCAGACTAAGTACTTAGTGAGGATCAAAGTCGCCTATCCCAAGGTCAGAACAACACCTTAATACCTTTGAGAGTCACAACTAGTCTCCAATAATACCAAGGTGAGCCAAGTAAAAAAACATTCTTGCGCTCTGCTGGAAAATCATACAGTTCACCGTACTTACTTGATCCAGAAACGCGAGAAAGCCGAAACACAGCGAAATTGACTATACCCAACGGATAGATAGGACAGTGGTGTAGTGTACGATGGTATGTCTCCTCTCGGTCCATCGTCAATCAGAGGGCAGATCGTTCAAGGTACCCAATAGATGCAAAACCATGAGTTGTATTAGTGTGCGACAACACAAAAAAAGACTAAATGACTATCATCTTGTGCAGATAAATACGACGAGGGTACTGAGTCATAAACAAATGCAAACGGCGGTTGGTCAGCAAAGTCATCTTGACTATCAGTACTTGTTCGTCGGCTTCTTCTTCTTCATCCTCGTACTAATTGCGCCTTTCTTGCAGGTGATAGAAAAACCATCGGATGGGTACACCATGTCCTGTTCACCCTAGTTACTCCAAGGACCGCAGTCGAACGTCGGAATTTTGAAACGGTATTACTACTACCCACAGTGCATGCCATTTACGTTTCCATCTGTGGATGAGGAATTCTCAGTACACACGATCTCGCAAACTTTCTTCGGTGTTTGGAAACATTCTCTCATGAGGATTGCACGTGGTAGGGCATCTATAATTCCGGGTTCGAGTCCTGGCAGCGACGTGCGTGTTGACCCATTCATTTTATTCTTACTTTTCAATTCTCCGCCGATGTCGCCCATCCCCCGGTGTCACAGCTCGAGGCTGGTTAAGCACTTTTCTCAGGGCGAAGAGTTGTACAACTCGAACCGCTGGGCACTCGATAGATGATCCCATGACCTCAATGTGGAAAGAAGGAAGAAGTGGTTACCAGAAGAGTAGTTCCATAGAAAAAGGAGATCTGAAGACGAGGGTCCCTTCAAAGGAAGATGACGAACAATAGGTATAGACTGGACTATATCCTTTCTTTCTGTACACTTCGCGTAGGGAGCACGCCGTTAGAACCATACGCCGAACATACAATCCATAATTTCCTGCTCGAGTTCGGACTGTATCTCCTCGACAGACTTTGCATGCCTGTGCACTAGGACAAGCTATAAAGTACTTAACCTCCTTCGAGTCACAGGAAATCGTGCAGCCGAACTTGCAATATGACAGCTGAGGCTAAATTTGACATGGCCTGGTGGATAACTGGGTGAAGCTCCTGGCGGGGGAATCACTGTTTTGAGGTTGGGTACGTGGAGTGGGCGGGGGGGTAGAGAGGGAACGAAGGATTGTCCTCGTGCCACGCACGTGCCCAACGCGTCTGAAAATAAACGAGTCATATCATCTTTCCTCTTTCCCTCACCGCATCGTTCTCCTTCTCTTCCGCAGATTATCTCGTTTCCTTGACTTCTCACGCGATCTAGGGTTGATTTATTGACTGGATATTGTGTGAATGCCACATAAACGACTGTCAAGAACCTCGAAAGTTTCTGCTCAGCAGGAGTACACAGACACCTTTCGCTCTGGACTACTCGCAGTTCTTCTATTCCCTAGTTGCTGGACTCACTGAAGATGACAGATTGTGATGTATTTAATTGCTGAATGATTAAGCATTATCCTGAGTGGCTTGTATGGTAAGCACCTCAGAGTCGTAGTGGTCAGCTTTCTCCAAGCTTTCTCTGCTCTCCAATGGACTCGATATTCATAGATTTCAGGATCGTACAGATAGAGATCCTTAACGATGCATTCCTATCGCGACAGGCGGAACACAAGATCTATGGCCTGTGCAAGAAGGCATAAATCTAATATCTCCCATGAGTTGTTTCGTCTCGTCCTGCATCGAAACTTGAAGAAAGCAATTCATCTCGTCACCGCAGCAGTTCGGATTGCACACGGACAGACACCTTAGTACCCCTGTGGAAATTTCAATATGTGGCGGTAACTCATAAGTGGGGACTATCATCATGCTTTTCAGATGTACTACTGTCTTCCACTCCGAACATAGCAGTTTTCTGGGTGGAAAACCGATGGAGGGCCGTGCTCTGTCTGATATTTCTTGAAATAACGACGAACAGTCACCCCCGTGCTTGTTCATTCTTCGGCTCTCATTTCACCATGGCGTCCTACTTTTCTGAGGTATCCTTCCCTTCCTTCCGTATCGGCGATGATTCTAGGCATGGGACTTGTTACCTATTGGTACCGAAAGTTCGTTTACCAGAATTACATTTCTGGATAGAGATCTCAAGCCTTGGAATCGTAATGTGGTTCGTGACTGCGTTTGCTGCTTGGCTTTACTATGAAAGCTAGCAGCCACTGGACTGGTACTTGACATTTCCACTCACGATGATGGCTAGTAGTCTCCTTCAATTATTTTTCTTGGTCTACTTTGAAAGGACGCGTCTTCCGTCAGTTGAGTCATTCCCATTTTAAGGATTGCGAACACCCTTGAGCCCACTGTTTCAACGTGTATCTGTTAAATCCCATCGAAGTTAAAACACGATTCCTTGTCCGCACAGCCGGTGAGAGCTCTCGCATTCTACCCTCGAAGTAATCATTCATTTTTGCGAGTTTCGAAGACCTTGCTCCCCCGCTCGGCATTTATCTGCACAGGCAACTCAGAAACGCTATCTCAAGAATTGTGATCATAGAATCATGGACTCCAGGACCTCGGGTCAGGAGGGACTTTAACACAGTATCTTGACGTGAATCATTTTTATAAGACCTAAAAACATATAACATGGGTGTAGATACCAGAATATTTTCGTTGTCGCAAGAAAAACAAAAGAATGAAAAGAAGTAGAAGTAGAAAGACAACTGTACTGATGGGATTCTGGTCCGGTTTTCTATACTCGGGCTCCATAACTTACTTTGAGTCCACCCTTGCGTAGATTCTCCCAACGCTCGGAGTCTCCGAGGTTGTATTCCAAACGGACTTCCTTCAATGCTGATTGTCCTCCGTCCGGTGCAATGGTACGTCGGGCTTCAATCATATCAGTAATAGCCTGACCGTGGTGCACGAACCGAGTGCCTTGGAAGGAAATCAGTTTCAGGCGCGGAACCAACTCGAAAACGCCGTCTCTGGATCTTCCAAGGGCGATGAAGAAGGTATCGGTCAATAAGATGGTTTTAGCGATCAATGACGTCAGATTTGGGGTCCACTGCAGCATATTGACCAATGCGCGTCCATCGACGGATTCTTTAGTGCTTATCGTCAGCTCTATCAAAGCGGGTGCTGTATGTTCAGATATAGTGGGGAGGGTAACTCTTTTAGAAAGGCCAAGTACCAGTCTCTGAAGAGCCGGGAGGTGGAGCCGGGTCAGAAGTTCGGTGGCGGAATTGGTGAGGGCAAGATTCTGAAGACGAGCATGCCTGATCACCGGAATTTCGATTTGCTGTGATAGCGCACGACGCTCAGAATTGACCAAATCGATAAAAAAAGTTATCAGATGTTTCGCTCTGTTAGATTGGAGGAGAGATACCACATCGGGGACTGTCGAAACAAGCTCTAACCGTGATATCGTTTCCAGTGGTAAAGCAAACAAGCGCGGAAAGAAAGACATGTCCGATGACAATCTTTGCGTGAGTCTTAACTCTCGGAGGCGGGGGGTTTCGCAAAAGCCGTGAACGACAAAATTCGATTCAAGCTTCATATCTGACCGATGGGCGCTCGGTACATTAATAGACAAGATCTCCAAGAGAGGCAGCTGGTGTGATATGCTGTTGAACAAACGGAAACAACGGAGAGGTGCGATGACCTTCAGAAATATCCATCGCACCGATGTGGGTAGGATCATCGCAAAGACAGGGTGTTGTGAGAAGTCTTGACGACCCTTGATGTTGACCTTGAGGGGGTGCATTCCCGTTCTATGCAATACTGTCCCAAAGCGGAATACACACTTTGTGTGATTCATGTAGAGGTCCATTTTCAAATGAATATGTGCCCATAATGCCGTCGATGCCAATGCAGTCTGTCTCCAAAATGCACAGACCTGAGAGAGTACCCACAGCGCACTTTTAGCATCAAGAGAATCCATATCCTCCAGCAGACACTCGGTGAATATGTCGATCAGCACATCCGCTGGTAGTCGGCGAACGGGATTAAGGAGAACTTTGGCATCTGTGATACGCTTTACGGTGCGGGTCTGTTCTTTAAGGAGAATTTGAAGCGTTTCTCGGGCTGCAGCGATGCGCCGGGGAAGAGAAGACAGGTTGGCTTCGCCTTCTCGGACAACTGTTTCAAGCGCTGTATGTTCTGAGTCCAGAGGGGCGTCATTGCACGACGAGAGCTCCTCGAATCGCGATGAAGGGAGAGTGGGGGGAATGGTTTTCTGTAGCAGCGCATATCCGCATTCAGGGCACTTTAATAAGCCGCCTGGGAGTGTGCGCGCGCGGACCATAACAGGGGTAGTGGGAGAACCTGGCTGAGATAACGACATCTGCGGAGCTATATGAGACAGGCATCGGGATGCTAAGATGTCGAGGCTCACCGTCGACCGAATTCACTCTTGTTCCGCAGGGTCGATATAATTTGGTTTTTCTCGGTAGTATACGGTGCTGGCGATGAATAACTTGAAGGATAACAGATACCAGGTCTGTGTATGACGAGGGAGGTCCCGGGAGTAATAAGACGTTCAGAAGGTATGAAAGCGACTCCAAGAGATGAATCGATAAGAGATCAGATCAAGCTGTAAACATGACATGCATCATTAAGTCATGCGGCCGGTACATCCTGAGTTAAACGCCCACTCTGTTTATGGTCTCGTCAGTATTCTGGCGCCTTGAAATAGCCGCTGCACTGAGTGTAGGTCTGGGTCCTAGAGAGTAATGATATAACGCCATTAGAGGGAACATTCTTCGTGAAATAAAGTATCAAGAAGCTGTGGAATGACGAATCACCCTAATGTAACGAAAGCTCGACGAACGTTTTGTGTAAATAAACACCCAATTTTATCGTCGATCCATGACACCCAGATGGGGTCTTCCACAATATATGTATCTCCGTTTTTAAACACGACACTCACATACTCTTCACAAACGGTTGAAACTGCCTTCCCAATGTTGCACATCAGCCGCCTTCATCCCCTGGTAACATGCTTTTGAAGTATATGTTCCTCCGTTACGCCAACAATCAGGGCTACCAAAGTCTTTTGTATTTTGGACGACTGCAGACACTGTGAACCAGCGCAACGAATCGTCCCAGCCTGAGTTAACCGAGTCTGTCATGGAAAAGTAGGAAGAAAGGACAACAGAATTTATTGGTGGACAGGAGATTTCTGTAGCTTAGAGAGTCCATTGTAAGATTAATCTTGACAGAGAAAGACAGACCTTACTAGGATGAAACTTAGCATCCACGAAATGTAAGTTAGCTCGAGACGACGCATTGAGAGTTGTGAGAGTTCGAAGTTCGTTGACAGTTCTGTTGAGAATTTCTTGTCTTATCAAGGCCTTCTTGTCTACCAGGGATCAAAGTGACGAGATTTATTGAAAGAGTGCTCCTAAACGATGAATCAGCCTCTGCAACTTTTTGTATGCCAATGAATCCTAGTCGGCACACCACTCATGATAGGGGAAAATGTAAACACGCACTGCAGGCAGCGGAAACACCATTTCAGGCAGCAGTGGGTTACCTAGAGTAATCAGGTGAACAGTCCACGGCAGATGGAGCTAGCGCACCCATTCAATGATCTTTCCATCAGTTGCAAAGGAAGGTTTGATAAAGAGGGACAAAAGAAGAAATTGATCGACTTGAACAAGTAGTGATAGTCGACGTGAGTTATCCATTGACTCTAGCATTTTGCGTGTAAGACTTACTCAGTACTCGCGGTCATATTTATCCGCACAACAGAGAGTTATTTAGCATTCTTTCGTGTAACATTTGCTGTGCGCTACTGAAAGCTCGCTACAAGAGTATACGCAGCGACGGGGGCGGAATTGCCACCCTGTTGGGTACCTTTGACAATCAACTCTTAGATACCTCCTGTGTATCGTCAAGCAGAATACATACCATCGCACAGTGCACCACTATTATATCGGTACGTCAGTTTCAGCTTGCTCGCGTTTCTGAATCAAGTAAGTAGTATAATCCTTCGTCGTCGCTTCCCATATCCCGGTGTCACAGCCCAGAGTTAAGCACTTTGCTCAGGGCGAAGCTTGAACTGCTGGGCTCTCGATAGAGCTAAGGAAGAAGCTACAAGGGCGAGGTAGGAAAATATGAGTGTACTTGTTACCTACCAAATGCGAGGAATGTTGGCGCCAGTTCATCGTGCCGGACTGCTACTCGTATATATACGGAGATGAACCTGGAGGAAATACACAGCAGACTTGGACGCTGGTTACCATGCCGGTGTAGAATAGAAAGACTCCAGGTTCTGCCCTTGACGATTCATTTTCGCAGGCAGACGGTCCGAGCACATCTTTAACATGAACTCGAAATTGAAAATAGCATTTGAATAATATCGAGACGTATCTTATCGTTGCATGCAGAGTAGGGCAGTCAAGAAGATCACGTACCTTTGGATGAACCAATGCGGGCGTCGTTTGGTCTATGAAATTTGAAACGTCGTACTCGTATTCTGAAAGGAAACAAACTCAAAACTTCGTAGATGTGCCTTGCTCTCAACTATAATATATGCGCATGAGGCACTTTCATGAGTGACAGCTCTCTGCCAAGCCATAATGAAAACTTCGGGACTTGTAGCGTGGAGAAGTGAAGGGAGCTTGTATTGAAAGTTCGAATACCTCTGCGGATCCCATGGATTTTTTATAACATAGGACGAGCTCATGCTCGTGTAACCGAGTCTTACTGCTGGCACGCCCTGGCTTGCGGCCGTTCACTCTAGAAGAGAGACGATTCATGCTCTGAAGTCGCTGGGTATTGTTGAATTTCGAGCACGGGAGGGAACGAAAATGAGCAACTCGTTTATACCTAGTATGTCGACATGGTGGTAAACGGTGAAGAAGAGAAAACTGCGGATACGGTACATAACGGGTTCGGAGCCGGTTGATTCCGACGGCTCGTATAGCCACAGTAATTCCAACAGGTATGTCGTATGTTGGTCTGGATAACACAAATCGGCCGCTAGAGGAACTGTGTTTCCTCGAAAACATTATGAAAGGATGTTGTGCTCATTGAACGCTTCGAGTGCATATTTCTCAGTTTAGTTTGATTATCTCCCTGCTTACGAAGTTATACAGCAGGTCGTCACTTTCATGCGGGAGAAGGGATAGGTTACATCCGTATGAATACATATCTCACTCTCAGGAGTACTCGAACGCGTAGCCGCAGACAATTTGCTTGTCTCGCGGGCGCTCTACTTTACTTTGGTAGCTGTTCAACGATCAATCTACGAGTTTTTATGGTCAAATTAGAATAACACGCTTTCTACATACAGTGGCATGAATTACAAATAAATATACCGATGACAAGTGCGCCGACTTGGCTCAAATTTTCCCTCGGATCTCGACATCATGCATCGTGCCATCAGCCGCTATGGCTAAGCCCTCTTCTAAGTCACGCATCGAGATGTCCGATTCCGTGCTCCTCTGGCTACCATCCTGTGTGATTGCACGATTCCCGAATCGAAGTGACGAGGCAGTGGAACCTTCACTCCAGGAGTCATCTGGACGTGCATGCCCTGCTGCAACGCGGCCAACCACAACTGTAGGCATGATTCCCTAGGGGAGACGTTGGAATCATGACAAAGAAAAGTCAAAATGGATTAGACGTACTCTTATCGCAATCGCCAACTCTTGAATGTAACCTCCGACTGCCTCGTTACGAACTTCGAACACCAGTAGAATAACTATTACGGCAGAATAGAGAGCTGCGGATTCTATAAGTATCTCTATCACTCTGTGATATACACGCATCCCCGCAGAAACCCCGCCCACTTTAAGAATACGATAAACAATGAGAATTGTGCACCATAACAAAGTCGCCATTATGAGCGAGGTGTATAGCACAGCCCAGTTGACAACATTCTCGAGGTATAGAGCCTGGGGTGGCAGATGTTCGACATCAAGAGTGGAGTAATAAGTTACGATCCCTCTGCTGACTGGGTTTATATATGAGCTAGTGAGCGGTAAAATTATCAGAATGATGAAATCAAAGACATACTTGCTGCCAAGGTAGTGCAAACAATCGGAATGAGTACAATGCACCATGACCGACCCCAGACAGTCCAACAGCGCCATATCTGGTTGGAGTTCATGAGTGAGGATTCTACGAAAATAAAGACTGAATCCCATACCAAAGTAGCATCGGCCAGAATCGTGCTTAGAATTGCCTCGATTCCCAGAGGCAGTAGAGACCTCTTGCCAGGATCAGAATTGTATGCTTCCCAGAAGTTTTTCCCGTTGGTGATAAAAGTTGAGACCCCCTCTGTCCATTCGCCATAAGTGCCGACCATCGCCACGAGATACAAAAGCAAGATGATAAAAACGAGAAAATATCGGCTTCTATTTTGGCAGTTTTTCCTCGAAACTAGTGTTACAAATCAGAAATGCAGGTCACAAGAAAAGGAAGGCACAGACCAACGGCCCACGGGGTGACAGCCACTACACCGGTGTAAATTCCTAAGACATGATTGGTGGACGTTCTTCCGTCAATAATTTGATTGCTCTCTCACCGTGTGTTAATGCACGCATCATAATCGCATTGAATTCTGCGTCTAGATTGAGAAAAATGACTTTGATCTGGCTGTCGGTGAGTTCTGGTATGGCCATCTCGGAATATGTTCTAGTAGCCATGATGTTGACTCTGAAGACAGAACGAAAGGAGGATATTGCCTCTTGCTGCCATTTGATCAGCTCATTATATGGTAGAGCATCCTAACGAATCCATCAGAAAGGCACAGGGTCCTCATCCTTCTGATGATGATGCCAAAATTCCATCAAGGCGAAGCACGTACAAGTTTTCTCAGAGAGCCTGCCACTTCGTCGTGGATTCTTTCCTCACTGAAACGACGGCCTTCAAGTTCAATTTTGGATGTAGATTCGGTGCGAGACGGTATCTGGCACATTTAATCGACATTCATTATGCCCCCAACTGCTGTAAACGCTATCTATACCAGAGAAGATGAGTGTGACCGGAGGCTATAATGCGTACCATCCGCTGGTGCTTCCCATACTTTGACAGGATTATATGTCAGCTGGAATGTTGTTTGATTGTGATAGAAGCGCAAAACGCTGTGAAATCTTCGTTAGCCCCTATACAGATGACGAGCAATGAACGAGGTTGACCAGAGTTACAGGACAACTGCATATAAGGTGATGCATCTAACAACGACATGGCAGTTAAAGATGCATGTACTCTTGGCGGTGCAGATTTTTCGTCGGATGTATTCACGTGGGAGACATCTGACGTCCCTTTTAAAATTATGACTCCGTACATGACAGTGTGACCCAGGAAGCGTACCGTTTTTAACAATCTAATGAGCATCGACAGGCTTGGGACTGTTGGTCTCATCAACAAGATGGCTGTAGCGCACTGCACGAACTGATAAAGCATGGTCATCTGCTTCCATCAAGAGAAGATCTTCGCAGAGCCTGGCATCGAGAAAAGACAGGATGGTAGATGCCGAGCAATAGGAAAACAATCTACCAGTCATCGCCATCCTTACTCAGTCAAAAGGGTACGCTTGAGTTCTAGATGCCGCGGTCAGGACTGGCTTCATTTATAATTATCTTCCGAAAGATGGAGAGTCCTGATTAGAGGCCTGTGTGAATGCGTCTCGAAAGAAAGACAAGTCCCAGAGCCACGTTGATGAAAACAGACATTTGAGTGGCAGGAAATATCGAAGACACTGCGTTAATAGCAAAGCTGGGTTTTGCGCTATGAGTATCATAAGCATAAACTCATGCAGGGAGATGCCGTCAACATACCATAAACATACACGAGTAGGCGAGTCCCGACCTCTGACGTACACGCCACAGCAGCCATTCCGAGCTCGAAGTCTGGATGACCTCTCTCTCGGAGCGGAAAAGGGTTTCGGCATCACAGAGCATCACTGGCACAAGGAGTTCCGCGCATGAACTCTCCCAATGACCGTGCTGACTTTAAGGACTGGTTCAAATCCCTCGTGCAAAAGGCCGACAAGGCCCACCATCGCGACGCTGTTTGCGATGATTACCCCAATGACATATTCATAGATATGCTATCGGGGGGCCCATCGGGGTCGACGACGGTGATGACAGACCTTTCGTGCCTTCCGCAAGAGCTCCCAATTTTTCTCCATCTTCCTAGTCCTGAGATCTTGTCCAGGGTCCCCAGCTAGAGAGTCGGGGTTCATGAGTCACGCCAGTGCCCCACGCGTAGGCATTGTAATCGACGAAGGGAAGAGCAGCAGGGTCATCAGAGCGTATCTTTAGTTCTGTTTTAGTTTTTTCAGAATAAGAACAACATTCCAAAACTCACCCGAGAAAAGCCAAAGGTACGTTCCACAAACTGAACTTGATGGTGTTGCAAGACTGCTCTGGGTTCTTCGAGATCAACAGTTCCTCATCAGCGAGCATTGCGGTAGAAATGGTGAGGCGGCAGAGAACGCTGTCATCAGCACTGAACAAGGAGCACAACAACGGTAAACGATGGTGGTGGAACGAAAGAAAGGGGAACAGCGTACCGTCACGTCACGGCTTCTGTTGACCTCCGACCCCGACTTCGAGCACTCGACTTCTATTATGGACTTGCAATTGATATTCCTTCCAAAGGCTACTGCTCTCTCTCTCTTTTCTGACGGTGCTCGCTTTCCGGCTAGCTCGAACTTGACCTCGCAGACCAGTGCTAAGGAAATATCCGGACCGTACGTGTAACGGACGGGCCCGTCTTATTCCCTTTTTCGTATCATAAACCCGGACTCTATTTGATCTATGCTTATCTATGCACTCCACTCTTATCTATGGTATAAATACTCGGTCATGCCTAGAATTACAGTAGTCTTTCTTCCTTTTTCCCCCCGAATCAAGGTGTCTTTTACCCGGTCTTTGATTCGTCCCCGTGTGCCGCTACCGACTTCTATCGCTAACGTCACAGTACGTCTTCTAGTCCGTCCTTCTTGTTGAGCCAAGGCAATGCAGATTCTCTTCTTTACTGCAACTGAAACTTTGGACTACGAGAATTCTCACAACAGACGACGGCTGCAGCGTACTGGAGGCTCTCGTATGCTCATAAAATCAATATGGATGTGCGCTTTCGCTCTTCAAGCTTGTTGTTTTACTTATAGCTATAAAGATCTCTTAATACTAGTTCGTAATGCCAAATAGAACAGCTGATAAAGAATTTGAAGTTAGAATGGTGTGTTCTGGTTTCTTTATTATGTTGCTTTCCTAACACCGCCTAGACCCTTTTCTTTCAAACCTTCTCGCATACACTTATACAGTTTTGTTCTCAACCTTTCGATGGTGATTCAATGCTTGCTGTGTCTTGTATGCGTGTACAGCGACTGAACCTCTGTGTTAATCCTTCCTACGTGTCTGCCTTGTGCTTTAGCTAACTTTCCTATCAGAATTTTGTTCTTCGACGGGTCATAATGAAGTCCTTCTGATTTCTACTGTATAGCCGACAATTGCCAGTGAGTATCTGCTCATCGCTCAGCCTCGGTTTTCTGGCAATACTGGTTCCAAAAACAACAGTGAGCGTCGAGCGGTGATGAGCCTCAAGGCTCTGTACGCTCAGAATTTGCAGATTTTAGCATTATAATAAATGCCTTGTCCACTTAGTGGACTTTCCCTAAGTCAACGATTGCAATCATGGCAATACCCACTTTTACCACCAACTATCCATCCCAACTCGAATTCCACATCAATATGTGCCACTTCATTAATGCTGCCAGGCACCTGATTGCAGATCTCACGGAATTAGGACCATCATTGATCACTCAGCACAGCCATCACTGACATCAGCATCAAGTGTCACTTAATAGAATGCCGCTGCCAAAGTACCTATTCCACAGCAAAAGACTTGATACCATGACCTTTCCACCAGCGTTACTAATGCTGTTACAACACCAAGACAATGCCGCATGCATCTACTTCAGTGTACTACCTTCAGTGTACTTTGCCGCAGCAACACAGCAGCCCAAAAGTCTGTATGTCAGCAGAATTCTTTCTAATCACTAAGTCTATACACGGTAAAACTATTGAAGGTTTGATTTCATGGCTTCAATGCCACATCTTATTTATACCTATTTACCATTTTACTTTACTTTGACATTTTCGTACCTATTGTAACTTGACTCCAACTACCCACTGTCTCTGTACCTACGACAGAATATACCTGCCTTTCGAGTCAACCACATCCTCTTTCCGAGTCGCCACCACCTAAACTCCAACAAAAACTGTGTGGGTGCTGTTACTTTAGAACTCTGGGAGCACACGTTTGGTATCATTTCTTACCAATCGATGTACTAAGGACTTACTAAGGACTCGTTTCAAGTATTCTAATTTTATTCCGGACTTGTAGTATAAAAGCTAGTGTAGTAGTAGTTATCGGGACACACAGGTTATCAACGACAAGTAACTAAGTTGCTACAACCGCTATCTCTTGTACCCACTAGGAGACAGACAATAACAGCATAGTCACTCCAAGTTATACTCTCTGTCACGGCTTTTCTTCTAATGGTATTGGTGTATGCTCATATTGCGCCAATACATGGAATTTCGTGTCCACAACTTGCTTTTATCTTTTATTCTGCCAGCATTGTTTCACTTTCACCAGCCAGCATTGTTTTACCAGTCTTCGCTTTCTACGTCACCATCGTTTCACCCCAGTTCAGCTCAGTACAGTTACATCCCTGTGTGGACTCAGATTAGGATCATTATTGCCACCAGCAGTGTCTGTCATGGAATTTCGGTCAACAGTTTCAGTATAGGACCTTCAGTCACAGTATTTGTTATCTTGCCATCAGTTTCAGCATAGGATCACCTGCCTTGGTATTTGTTATCTTGCTGTCAGCTTCAGTATAGGATAGTCTCCGTGTAGACTCAGGATCAGTATCAGTTTCATTTTACCACAGTTAACCTCAGTCCAGTTTTAGTTTCATCATTGCTCAGTTCCGTTCATCGTTTGCTGCCACTAGTTCCCCTCATATCATTGCCAGTTCATCTTATCTTCATTTTACTGCCAGTTTCTCGTTTCTCGACTACAGTCTTCATCTCTTGCCATCACGGTATTTGTTATCTTGCCAATGGTATTGCTCTTTGATGGCATTTTCTCTAATTCCATCAACCTCACCCACAGCTTTTACTAGTTAAATTGCCATCACTTCATTCACGGTTTGCCGGTATTCCCAGTTATACCGGATTCCGTTCCTTCTTGTCTATCAAGACCCTTCCTGGCTTACAGCCAACATTTTCTAGTACTCGATCATTAAGGGTACTACTTCGCTGACTGAAAAGTCACAGTGTATACTTGCATTCTTGAGGAATTCATCGCACGGAGGTGCACTGAAACACTCGCACAACAACAAAGCCTTTATTGCCGCTACGCACCATTTGCCGTGAACTCCTCTAGAGTTTTGGTTTTTGCCATTGCCACAGAAGTTTAGGCTCATCAGCAGAGCGTCTATGGTCATTGGAAATTATCTTCATACACTTCCAGGAACTCACGATACGTTTTCTGCTTTGTGTACAGTATTATGTTATGGTATTTGGATTCCTGCTCGAAGGCACTTGACACACACTTTGCCCCACTGGTTTGTCAAAGATGCGCAAGCCGCACGTGGCAATCTGGCAATCGGATTAGAGTTGAAGCCATGCGAGAACCTTCATGTCTCTTCTCTGAGGCTGTAATGTCCAAAAAATACAATTTATCCCAGTAACTACAAGGGAACCAAAAGTACATTTTCCCCAGTAACTACTGGAGCTGTCAAATACAATTTATAGGCCTTGTCAAATTGTATTTACTTTTGACGTGTTCTCAGTGAAATATATATTTTTGGATTTACTTTCAGCCATTGTATGCTGCCTTGACTCCGATTGGCTGCCTGATAGATGTGCCTTGACTTTCCCTTTTTATCACGCTCTGTTTTTGTCAGGAACTATATCATCAGTGCACGTGGAAGCATGCCTAATTTTCCATATCCTCCTGCCCTCCTACTCATTGCCTGGGTTCAAAAAAACAACACAGGTGGAAATAATATTTCATATACTAGTATTCTACCCATGGTACATTTAGCTGAATCATGCACTTAGATGCATTTACCATGGGAATATAGCATTCCCAATCCGGTAGGCTTAAAAATGGATTTCCGGAATTTGCTGGACAACCCCTATACTGGTTGCAGTGACCAATGGGTCGCAATTGTACAGTCATGAAGCTCTTTTAGCCCTTTAAAATATAATAGATAGTGTCTATTGGAATTTATATATCATGTATAGCTTATTTATCTATAACTTCTATCTGACTTGTAGATAAATATGAATTATGATGTCAAATGCAAGTACTCTGCATCCTTTATCTCATAGTACACATTCAAATGAGAATACAGAGTCAATAAAAGTGTAGCTTTCATCTATTCTGAGTAGTATATATCTGAAAATGTACCTGCCCTGAAGCCCTGACACAATTTTATTTCGGTCAGACAAAAGTGCATCAAGAGCAAAGTTTTAACAGTTCTTCTAAGCAATGAAGTGAATTATGATGTTTACACAAGCAGATCGCTGTGGATTGGACACTTTGTTTAAACAATATACTATATAATCTTGCATATGCAGCCAATCTGATTTGTTTTCATGGAACATAGAACAGCATACAATAAGTATATGCTAGCAAATGAACCAAAATGTGGTTTTTCAACCATAAAATACATATTAATCAAGGCTGGGATGTATGTAATATATGGAAAAGTATACAACTAACTGTATAATACAATATCATTATATTCCGATGATTTTCGGGCCTTTGGGATGCAGGAATGGAGCAGAGGATGCATCCCCAGGATGCATTCCACTCGCTCAATTGCTCCAGTGATATGCCTGGTATCAGGCTACCCGTAGATTTTGCGATTTTACATCAGTTTATGCAATCTACAAGTGGTACAGAGAGCTACAGTGGAGGCTTCGTGCTGGTAGCTAAATACTACATAAAGAATGAAAGCACAGCAGTACAGAACAGACTTAGAAATGACGTCTCAAAGAGTCAATTCTACCAGCCATCAACACACCAAGCTAAGCCCTACCTAAACAAGACTATTACAGTCAAATCTCAGGGACTCATCTGTATGGAGTATAAAAACCAAGAAGTTGAAGAATGGAATGAACTAGATGCCTCATCGCCTCGACGAGTAGAAAAGAACCGGTCAAGAAAAATTGCTGAGTCGAGAAACAGATCAGCTTTCAAGATCAACTCAGGCTAGGAAAGGAATAACCTTGGAAGAATGAATAGCTGCATTGGGTACTGAGATGACCGACCTTGATCGTGCAGTGATCAACAGAATATAATCTCGGACCTGCAGTCGATTGCGATCGGTGGTTACATCCTTGAGATCCTGCGCATACCGCAGTATTCCATACATACGGTGTGCAGCAAGCCTTGCAGATGGAAGAAGGAGCACCCACGGACTAGTAGGGCACTCCTCGGTGACAGAATAACCTGGCGCAGTTGCGTCGAACTGAATAGAAACTATGGAATGGCATGATACTTGTAAGATAGTGACTCCCCATTTGTATTAATTCCAAAGCTCATACCATAATTACTGTAGATATGGGCTCCTATACCTAGAACACGAATCATATAAATTAGCAGTGACTAGATGCATAACGGCAGGAAAGCATTCCCCCATGTTTGTGCTAGTAGCCTGTATAGCTACCTAATCAATCACTGGTTTTATTGCATATCCTCGACTGAAGTGAATTAAATTACCAAAGTCAACCCATAAGGGCGACTACAGTAATCTAGAAGAGTTAAGTAGGAAGTAGAGCTGTCCCCACGTTTGTGCCTTGCTAGTTAATTAAACTGCTCTGTGGACAAAGGCCTCATGCTCTCTCTCTCTGAGATTAGCAATCTAGACATGCTGAGTCGACTTTAAGTCAAAAGATCTCATCTAGTTGAAGTAAAATAAGCCCTAGAATGCTTTAAGTTCGAACAATCGTCAGGTTCAAGGAACTCCAGAGTCTGTGTACTCTTTGCAAGTCTTGTACTTGAAGTCAGAACCTGTGCATTCTTTGTAGACCTTGGAGTCTTTGGTTGTTTGATTATTTGAAGTGTCCGCTAGAAGCTCTTCTAGATGATGTCAAAATGAGTATAACTTGCTCGACTATACCTTGCAAAACAAGTTCATAAAACCGCTATCGCGGACTAGTGTACTTTGTGTAAAACACATCAAAAGAAGAATTGAAGTTGTTTTCAGACAAAACCCCACTAGGTTATCTAAATCTAAGTACATCGAGAGTGCTTCTATCGTACTCACCCTCGAACTTATATACATTGATGATAGTGTGTGTGTGTGTGTGATTTAGTATCTAGATTGACGATCTAGATGCTTGTTTCATTTGTGCGCTGCCTGTTACCGAGCACATCACTGGTCCGTGAAACCACAGAGTGATCAGGTGGCTGTGCCACTTCTATTTCCGCTTCTTTCCCTCACTATATGCAGAACGACGACAGCGGCAGCAGCCAGGACGGTAACGGCAACAGT